TATCTCCGATGTCTTTTGTTAGGTTCATTCCTATGTAGTTTATGTTTTTTGTTCCTATTAAATAAATGAAAATTTTTTAAGTTCCTATTTGCTGCAAGTATATAAGAATACAATGGATTTTCTAACATTGGACTATAACTTACTAGTTCTAGTAGTAGTTTTGTAGATTCTTCCAGAAATCTCCATATAAACAGTGATCTCATCTTCAAACAGGGACAGCTTTACTTCTTTATGACCCAAATGCCTTGTTTTTCTTTTTCTTGCTTTATTATACAAGCTAGGACTGCCAGTACGATGTTGAATGGGAGCAGTGAAAGCAGGAATCCTTTCATTTCTTCCAGTTGTAACAGGAAACAATTCAGCTTTTCACTGTTGAGTATGTGTTTGGTATGTACCCTTTAACAGCATGAGGATTTTCTTGTTTGTTGAGAGTTTTTATTATGAATGGGTGTTTAATTCTGTCAAATGCTCTTCTGCAACTGTTGAAGTGATCGTAAGGGCAAATGAAATTGATTTTCAAATGTTAAACCAACCTTGTATTCCTGAGACAAACCATATTTACTCATGATGTGTTATCTTCTTGTTTATTGTTGGATTCAATCTGCTGTTATTTTGTTAAGGATTTTTACATCTCTATCCATGAAAGACACTGATCTATAATTTTCTTTCTTTTGTCTTTGTCAGATTTTGGTACTTAGATTAGCTGGCTTTATCAAACATAGAAACTAGCATCATAAAATAAAGAGGGTCATTGTTCGCCCCTCTATTTTCTGATAAAGTTTGGTGCTAGTTCTTTCTTAAATTTTTGCTAGACTTTACCAGTGAAACTGTCTGGGTGTGTAATTTTCTTTTAGGGAAGATTTTTGATAATACCTTTTGAAATTTTTGAAGATAAATAAAAAACTTTAGTGAATATAGGCCGTTCAGATTTTTTTGTTCTTTTTTTCCCTTCACTTTCTGTTTGTCGGAGGGAGACGTGTAAACGTGGCAAGAGAAGAAATGTCCCGGGGCTTCTTGACTTTCTCCATCCCAGCGCCCCAGAACCATGCCTGGCACAAAGTAGGCATTCTGTAAATATTTGCTGGGTTAATTGGTTTGTTGTGGTGATATTGCCATTGCTTGACATCTCTGGGAAGCTCTTCTGTCTCTTCTGTGCACATGGGACGTATCACGGCTGTGACACAGGGAGGTGGCCCCTGGGTCAGACCAGCTGGCCTCCGCCGGCCCACATGCCGTGCTCTCCCACCGTGACTGTTCAGCGTCCACAGCTGTGGTGGACAAACCCTCTGAGTCAGGGCTTGCCAAGGGGAAAAAATACTTTCAACCTTTCTGTTTTGGTTTCTTAAAATGGTAAATCCTATGGTTGAAATTACTTTTCATTTTTGAACTATACTTGAAATACCACAGAAATACAGGAAGCTTGGTCGGGGCAGAGGGGTAAGCTGTCTAAAATTAGGAGGAGGGATTGTCCTAGAGGCGTGTGTGACTTACCTACCTGACTGGGAATGTGGTCTGAGATGGCGGCAGCTGACCAGTACATTAGTTACTTGGGGCGTTAGTGTGGATAGCCCGATTTGGACTGGGCATTTCTGAGAGGATGTGACCGCTGTGGCCATTTACTCTGTTAGCTCTCGAGCATCTAGAGGGGGTCTGTGCCCACTTCCCCTTTGCAGCTCCGGGGCTGGGTCTTTGGGCACCTAGAGCAGAGGTGGGCTGGGGGGAGCTGAGAACAGCAGTGGTGCTCCCCAGGGTCCTGTGGTGGTCCCCAGGGTCCTCAGATTCAGGGAACACCAGCCTCCCGTGCTAATTAGAGTGCCTAGGCCAAGTGCTGGCACCCACAGTACCCCTGCCCATGCGAGTTGTCAGGTGGGCACTCCATCCCTCAGGAGGGAGCTCCACGGACCAGGACGTACCCTGGCCGGGACGAGTTGGCCAGCTGTCGTCTGGCTCCTGCTCTGCTTCCCGCATTCAGTGCGGCCTTGGGAAGGCATGTTCTCTCTGGACATCCATTTCCCACTGTGTGAGCGGGTTTGGAACAGATGGTCACCCGTGTCCCGGGCACAGTCATGTGCCTGGCAGCAGTCCCCTCTGAAACCTTCACATCATGGTGGTTGGCTTCTTTTCAGTGTGACAGTAGCATGTCTGGAGATGTTCTCCTGAGCATTGGTTCTGGGGGAGAGGAGCTGACTGTCCCTTTGATCTTGCCCGGTGGATTGCCTGGGAGAGGTGGGGCCGTCGCACCACCAGGTTCCCTGCCAAGGGGCTGGTAGGGGGCTGAGAGGCCCCACGGCGCAGGTGCTGCTCCCGCAGGCCCCGTTCTCTGCCAGGAGCACGACTCCAGAGCTGCCTCACACAGCACGGAGCAGTGTGACCGCAGTGGGCATGGGCGTTATCCCGGACGGTTTAGCTCCCAGACTGGGTCACAGGGAAGCTGAAGGCGGGACTCAGTCCACTGGGCAAACCACAAGGGCACATTCCATATGCACCAGGTGGGATGTGTCAGGGTCTTATGCTGAAGCATACCTTGCTGTAGTGGCCATCACTTTTGCAAGGTTTTCCATCCTAAATTGCTTAGTGTGAGCATACATACACACTTTTCAGTGGTGAGTCTTCACATAAATGGGAAGAGTTCAGTTAACATGTGCTACCTGCCAGGCACTTGGGTTCCTCTGAGAACAGAACAGAGACCCCTCCTTTGTGAGTCAGAGGTAGAAAGGACGGACAAGGTGCAAATTACATCTTTTATGTATCCCATTGCATTAACACCTCCACATCAAATTCTTTTTATGTTCTTCATAAGGTATATATGGCAATAATTATAGCTATCTTTCTAATAAGGATGCAAGGAAATCATTTCTGTCAGGGATTACAGCAAACCTCTGTCGAGGGCCAGATAGTTTAGGTCTTGCGGTTTGTAGGGTCTCTCTCTCTGTCCGTATGTAGCTGCCCGGGTAATATGTAAATGAATAGGTGTGGCTGTGTTCCTGTAAAACTTCATTTAAAGTCTGTCGTTTGCCCTGTCCTGACTTACGTCCTGAGGTTTGCAGTGTTATTATTCCAACCTTACTGTTACTCTGTTAGGCAAATAAATTGTTTACCTGGAGGATAAAGAGGACTCCATTTCTGTGCCTTGGTTTTCCTCTCTGTGTGATGATGAGGATGGCGTCTCAGTCAAGATTGGACGAGAATGGTGTCTTGGTTAAGATTGAGTTTGGGATGTTTAACAGAAAACCCAGGTAACAAGTTTATATAAGGTAGAGGTTTGTCTGTCTGCCCTTGAAGAGACCAGGGCCCGCAGTCTTGGGCCTGCATGGAGCTGGACGGTCAGCAGAGACCCCGGACTTGCTCTCTCAGGTCTTCGCGTGGGGCCAGGGGGGACATGGGCCAGGCCTGCGTGGTCTCCGGGGCTTCCTCCTCTCTGGGAGCTGCCCCCAGTGATGTCCCTTGCTTCAGGGGTAGCGTCGGCCAGGCTCAGAGGCCCTCGGGAACAACAGGCTCAGTTTGGATGGAAGAAGGAGAAAATTCTAGCTGCTTGTCTAGGCAGCTAGAAGTTTTTGTTGTCCCACATGTTGACCTTTTATGGCAAAAAAAATGCCATAGGTATATGTTAAAATACTTTCTGCTGTGGAAAATTTGGAAAATACAGAAAACCAGAAGGAAATAAAAAACCCCTGAATCCCACAACCTGATCTGTCAGCTTCCAGTTTTTCAGGCTCTGTGTGTCCTGCTTTTTAAATCTTGTGTTGTTGTTTCCTTTGCACAGTGATGTAGTATAAAAATGCCCTTCCAGAAATCTTTGTAAACCTTCTTGTCCCCTTTGCCTGGCATTTTGTCCGTCTGTATTCTGGCTCCACAGCATGCTGCCTGTAGCTAGTCCATGTGTTTTTTTTACTCATTCACCAGAAGCATTGGACGTGTAAAGATCCTTGACATGAGCGCTGCAGTTAAAGGTGTGCCCAAGATTCTTCCTGGGGGGCACACCTGGTGAGCGAGCAGGAGCAGGCCTTTTAACCGTGGGCCACTTGCTCTGGGAAGGCCTAGTGCCTCTCAGCTTGACCTTAACTGATCAGAAAAGTGCCTGGCGGGCCTTGTGCTGCAGAGGTTATGAGCTTCCTCCTTCCCTTGATACTCGTTAACTGTAATGTTTCTGTAGGTGCACTTGGGTGGGTGGATGTGAATGTGCCATCCATTAGTCCCACAGAAAAGTAAATCACGACAACATGGTGGTGGCCAGTTTAAGATTGCCAGAGCTCTCCTGTTCTTCTTCATCCCCCTGGCGTCCATACCCACTGCCAGGGGTCTGTCCTTTAGATTTCATGACCTCTGACATAATGATAATCCTAGGTGTTTGAGCTGATGACTGGGAGCTGCTTTTTCCCTCTGGGCAGTAGCCAAGAGGGAGATGCAGTTATAGGCCTTTCTGCTGTTACTGCTCTAACAAAAAGTGCTCTGACCGAGCAGCTGAAAGCGGAGGATGCTACGAGCTGCAGGAGTGACCGCCAGGGGGGAGCCCGGGGAAGCCCCGGGAGCCCGAGGCCCTGCCTTGGAAGTGCTTGTTGCACCTTAGAGCCCTGTGCGTTCTGCCCATCTCCCTGACCTAGCCGCAGCAACTCCATCCATCGGGCTCCTTCCCTCTTTTAAAAGGTAAATTCTATATTTACTGTAATATTTCTTCACCACCTTAAAAATTTGCACTAGAGTTTTATTAGGATTGCTGTTGTTTGTTTAATGCTCGGTTACAACGTTGCATAGGTTGGAGCCGGTTGGCCCCAGCTCTTTTCTCCCCAAACTTAGTATTTTTATTGTGTACTTCTGCAGAAGGTGAGGGTTTGCAGCAATTCAGATACTTCATTATAAATGCCTGTAATGTGGTGCTGATGCTAAGATTGTTATTTTATATAAAAGATTATTTTTTATTGTATTATTTTTAACACAAACAATATGTTTCATTATAAAGAAGTACACATAATCAAAACAAACATAAAGCACTCGGAAGTCTGATCGCAGAGCTCGTAGGTGTAAATACTATTACAGAGATTTGTGGTTCCCGACAGGGATGGGAGGGGGAAGTGAGATCTGCCCATAAAGGACGTTTGGCAGTTGGGAGCATTTTGGGCTATGACAAACTGGTGGGGTGAGGAGCCTTCTGCTGGCATGCCCGGGGATGCCACTTGACACCCTACAGTGTTGCGGGGGACAACAAAGAATTATTCGGCCCCAAATGTCAATAGTACTGAGGTTGAAAAACCCTAATAAAGGCAAATCATTTTTTAAGTGTTTCCCTATTAATATGAGTAAATACACTTTAGTTTCACAAAAAGTGGGATTGGTTATACATATTAATGTATAACCTGCTTTTTAAATTTATATTATGAACATTTGTGTCCTCCCATGAGTCCATAAATATGCACTCTCCTCATTCTTTAAGGAAATGCCATGTGGTGTGCTGTTGTGTGGTCACGCCTTTATGCGTTTCACTGCTCCTGGTGTTTGGAGATGCAGCCTACTTGTAGGGGTTTGCTGCTGGAAGCGTGGGGGGTTTGTTTGTGTGTTTTGCCTCCTATGTGTTGGCCTCCTGTTTCCCACCTGCCGTTGGGGAGCCACTCTCTGGGGCATCCCTCCCACACTGGGTTGCCCTTCATGGGTAGTGGCACCCCCTCCACCACCTCTTCTTGGGCTGGTCTGTAATCTCTAAGGTTTACCATTGAACACATATCAAAGCTTAATGAAGCACTGTTGAAATATTGAATAGATGAATAACCTCAAATATTATCATGTTTCAGTTTTAGGTATAACTTTTACTTTTTGTTCTTTAAAAAAATCTGTCTTCTGATAGGTTATTTATTACATGCGGGTCTAGCCTCTGGGCCCGTTGGCTCTGCTCCCTGCCCGGGCATCCCGTGTTCCTGGTGTCTGGTGTCCTCAGGAGGGCTGGGAAGTGGGGCGCGGCCGAGGGGGCCTGGCCTTGCCTGTGTGCTCTGGCCCCCGGGCAGGTCCAGCAGCTGTGCTGGGCAGCTGCCCCAAGGCCGGAGATGAGTACAGCTTCAGAGAGAAGGGTGTTCAGTTGGCGCTCAGCCGGGGCTCTGCTCTGGGGCCGGGCAGCATGTGGAGTGCCTGGAGGGCGGGGCCTCTTTCTGGGGCTGCTTTTGCACAGGGGCGTCCAGGAGCCTTGTTTGCATGGTGGTATCTATTTTTGTGTTTCATACAGCACCGCAAGGAAGTCCGTTGTCTACGCACATCCCAGCTGTTTTGAATAGTCTGGTCTCAGGGGGCTTCAAGGTAGGGATTCGTGTGCTGCGAACCCAGTGCTTGGGCAGCATGAGAACAGCAGGATGTGAGTAACAGGAAGTGACAGAAATTACCCAGCGTGTCAGATGCTTACTGTCGGCCACCTTTCTAAGCCCACAGGCCGGGGAGCTATATTTAGCAGAGCACATCTCCAGGCCTTAGTCCTGCCTGGGGGCTGCCCCTTGCTCCTCTGTGGTCAGTGGCCGAGCGGGCGGTGCTGATGCATACTCCGGCGTCCCTGGTCTGCTTTGGCGATATACAGGCTCTTGTCTGTCGTTTTTAAAACTTGTTTTTTGTTTCTGCTGGGCCCCTTTAGTTCTGGTCCATTTTAGCAGTTGGAAATGTTCTGAAAGAGGGCAGAGTGGCAGGTAAGAATTCCAGGTGATGGTGGGTGATAAGGCCACTGGAGCTGTGTGAAGAAGTTACAAATGTGAGGATTTAAAATGAAGTAGGGGAAGGAATTGGAAATTATTGTAAGCGTTTCAAGGGCATTGATTTTTGTCTTGTATTTCTTAGAAGTGGAAGGCTGGGGTTTTTAAAGCTGCAGGCTTTGTGGTGCAGCGTCACCCACATGTTAGCAACAGATTTTGGTCCCCACCTGGCCAGACAGAAAGCCTGCCGTCAGGATCAGCTTCTCTGTGATGAATTCCCATAGTCTGAGCTTTGTCAGGAGCAATTTCACCCCGCCACAAGCTCTGCGGAGCCTGGGAGTCTGCCCAGGCGGGTGCTCACTCCTTCCTGGAACTGCTGTGGACACAGGTGGTTTTCTTAGTGGTGTTGGCCAGTGCTTCAGCTTCAGGCAGGTGCCGACCAGACACTCACATGGGCCGATTGGTCCCCTGTGTCCAGATGTCTGCTCTGACTGTCAGCTTGCTGCAGGAGCAGCTGGGGAGCCAACCATTTGCTCTCATGCATTACCTCGTACGCCCTGCCATGTGCTGGCCTGCGGACCAGCACCTTCCTGCTGGGGACAGCGGTGATGGCTCCCGCTGCCAACAGCAATTGTGGCCTCTCTCATTCACTCACTGAGTGGCCCCGAGGGGCAGGCACTGACACCAATTTTGCAGGTTAAGAAGCTGAGGCCTAGAAAGGCAAGTCGTTTGTATCAGTGCCTCTCTGGTAGCTCAGCCTGCTCTAATGCTCTGCTGTACTGTCACCTCTGCCACACCTCGTATGAAGGCTTACTGAGCTGGCTTGTCCTGAGCCGCAGGACACGTCTCAGCGTGCTTTGAGAAGCCTCAAAAAGTTAGTTTCTAGGGCTTGATGTTAGCTTCTGGCAGCTGCCAGAAGGGAGGTGATTCATGGAAGGGGGGTGTGGAAGAGGGTTTTGTTGGTCTCTACAAGCTTCCTTCCAGCGCTCGGGCTAGTACCTCCCCGGTCCACCCTTCCTAAAGCACACCAGCATTATTTTCATACATTCAGCCAGCTCTTTACGGTTCAGGAATCTGTTTTAGGATGAGAAATTTGGGAGGCAAATTGAGAACAGTTGTGTCTGCCATGAAATACATGGCAGCCAGTGGAGACGGAGGGGTGGGGGTCTGTAACCATCAGGGATGGGCACCTAGAGCAGGGCATCAGTGCACCAGTCACCAGCAGAATCCCCTGTAGGCATGGTTTCAAGCTGACTATTCCATTCCCTTCAGTGGGGCTAAACTAAATGCAAGGCAACTATATATTTATACTGTAAAATGCAATAAACTACATACCATACATGTGTATATATACATTTATACATATGTATATGTAAACACAATGAACTATAAACTATACATACAAGACATATTATGTGTGTCTCTTGTTCTGGCTTGGGTATTTAGTGTATTTTAGTACCAAAACATTAAACATTTAAAACGTTATTAGGCATTTGAAAAGTAGCATAATGAACAACTACATACACCTCCAGCCTGAGAAAGAAACATAATGGATATACTTGAGTCTTGTGTTCCCTTTCTTATCCTAGTCCCCTCCTGACCTCCCTCCCCAGAGGCACCCCATTCTGACTTCGGTGTTTTATCATTTGTTTGCATGTTTTTTAATGCATTCTCTACTCATAGATGTAGGAATAAACAATATGTATGTAGTATTGCTTAGCCAGTTTAAAACTTTTAAATAAATGGCATTATACCATGTATCTATCTCCCGCAACTTGCTTTTCTCACCCAGCTTTGTGTTTCCAAGGATTATCCATGTGGATTCACCTGCCTTTAGCTAAGTGGTTCAAGGTTTAATATAACTGATTCCTGATTCCTGGAATTAAATCAGAACTTCTGGGGTGTGGGGTATGAACTCTTTGCCAGGGCAGCTCGAGTTGGGGTCACAGTGCTCGGTGGTTAGTTTTCGTGGCTTTCGTAGTGGTCCAGCGCATAAAGGGTCCCAGCGTTGACTAACGTTTTCCCACATTTCACCATGGTAGTCAGTGCTGTCACAGACATTCTTATACTGTCTTCCTGGGCACATGGGCCTGAGTTTCTCTAGTGTGTGTTTCCGGGGTAAAATTGCCGGGTGTGCACATCTTGAGCTTGATGGCATGTTGTCAAATTGCTCTCCTGAACTTAATTTTTGTAAATGACCACTAGCAGTAGTAACTTAGGAGTGATCTCATTCCTTTTTTTAGTGTAGCCAGGCTTATGGTAAGGTAAAGACCTTGAGACTGAGATAAGACACTGGATATGGTCAAAGATTTGGATAGACACCTCGCCCTCTGCACGTCCAAAATGGAGCTGCTGATTCCCACCCGCAGCTGCAAGGCTTGTGCACAGCCTTCCCATCCCCGATGGCAGCTGCGTCTCCCAGCAGAGAAGTGGTGCTTGTGGGCGCCTCTCTGTCTCATTCCCCCTCCTGTCTCTCAGGAAACCCTGTTCCTTCAGGACTCTTGGGAGGGCAGCCGCTCCCTTTTTCTCGCTGGGGGATTGCTAAGCACGGTCCCAAGAGCTGTCTTGACTTCTGCCCTGCCCCTCTGCTCAGTTTTCAATAAGTAACCGGAATGATGCATTTTATACCTAAGTCAGATGCCAGCCTTCTGCACAAATGCCCCGTGGCTCCCCGTTTCACTTGGAGTGGCCGCCAGAGCTCGTCTGGGTGCCTGCTGCGTCTCCAGGCTCCTCCTGGCTCCTCTCCCCAGGCTCCCTCCACTCCTGCTTCAGGCCGTTGCCTGCTTCTTCCTTTCCAGTCTTTGCCAGTGAGGCCTACCTTGACCCTCTGACCTTTCTCTCCTCTTTCTTTTTCCATAGACTTATCACCAGCTAGTCCTCTCCATGCTGTATAATTCACTTCTTTATTATAGTACTCGTTTCCTGTCTGCGTTTGCCTCTGTGCTCCGTGGCAGCAGGGATCTTGACTGTAGGTGTAAATGAAAGACTGCCTGAATTTATTTCTGAGAAGAAAGGAGGAACGTGGGGCCTGAAGATGAGTGTTGGGCGCAGGAGAGGCATGAAGCGGAGGGCGTGGTGGGACACCTGGCAGCGCCCAGGGCTGGCTGGCGGGAGGTCAGGTTTAGGTGAGTGAGTGGGACCCAGGAAGGGCCTGTCTGGTGGGTGGTGAGATCTGTGGGTCTGGAGCTGGGGGTCCCACTTGTCTTGGCAGCATTTCTGGGTGTTCCCAGAGTGCACCTGGTGTTGAAGGGTGCTGGGGTCTGCCCACCCAGGAAGTGCATGCTGTGGAGGGCAGGCCTGTGGTTCTGGCGTCCTGTGTTCACCACGGACGTGAGACGTTGCCTCACTGATTCCTCAAGCACTGCTGTATGTAGAAGTGAGTCCTGCCATTTCCGGCGCACCTCTGTCTTGTGCAGGCTCGAGTCCCAGGCCCCGTGTCTCCGCCCCGTAGCAGTGAGCCCTGGGACCCTGTGTGCACTTACTTGGTCATGCGTTCCGAAGGATCTGATTGGTTTTCATTGAGAGTGTGTACCAAAGGCGTGTCCACATGGTGTTTCCTTGGCAAGTCAGGTGCTTCTGGAGTTTGCAGTATCCATAAATGACTGTAACAAGATAAGATTGCACATCTAATTTGTGTGGCGTCAGACCACAGGTGCCCTTGTCTTTAAAAAAATACAGCATTGTTCTGGGTTAACTCCCAATTTTCCCAATCTAAACACATTAGCTGTTAGAAGATGTTGATTGTGGTAACTTTTATTTTGAGATCATATTTTCACGCAGAACTGACATAGTCCAGAGGCCCTCTGTGCCCTTACCCAGGAACCCCCCACCCAGCAGTAACCTCTTGCAGCACCGGCATGCAGCATCACTGCCAGGATGGCATCTTGGCAGTGCCAGGGCCCAGAATATTTCCATCTCAACAGGGATCCCTGGGCTGCCCTTTCAGAGCCACACCCACTCCCACCCTTGACCCCTGGTAACCACTCACACTTCTTCAGTTCTGTAATTCTGTCTTCCAGAATGTGCCGTGAATGGGATCGGTGGCATGTAGCCTCTGGGGATGGGCTGTCTTCACTCAGCATGACTCCTGGAGATCCCGCAGGTTGTTGTAGGCCGATGTTTCTTTTTATTACTGAATAGTAGTCCATGGAACGGGTGCTCCACAATGTGGTTAATCGTTTACCACTCAAGGGCATCTGAGTTGTTTCCAGTTTTTGGTGATTACAAATAAAGCTACTATCAACATTCATGGACAGGTTTTTGTGTGAGCAGAAGTCTTCATTTCTTTGGGGTAAATGCCCAAGAGTGGAATTATTGGGTCACACGGTAGTTGCCTGTTTGGTTTTTTAAGAAATAGCCAACTGTCGTGCAGAGTGGCCGTACCATTTTACCTTCCCACTAGTGGGAGCCGGTTTCTCCTCATCCTCTCCAGCATTTGGCGTCACTGTGCCGTGTAACCATCGAGGAGGCCTTGGTAACACTGCATTGTGATTTTAGTCAGCATTGCCTTTGTGGCTGTGATGTGGAAGCCCTTCTCTTGTGCTTCCTCTCCTCTGTGTCCCGACACTGATGGGCTGTAGCCAGCAAGCACAGATGAATCTGTGTGACCGTTCCTGGACACCAGCTGGCAGGGTGCTGGAGCACCTTGTTTCCTGCCTGGCGAGGTGGGCGTGGGGCCGCTTCTCCCCTAGTGTTTGGCTGGAGAAGAGTGCTTGCTGGCTGCTCTGCTACTGTGATTCCTGTCTCGTTAGGCTGCCCCTTGGAGAGAGCAGACTTCTCTGGTGGGCTTTGAAATTTTTTCTGTGCCCACTGGTGTTTCTGGCTGCTGGCTTCAGTTCCATCTCTGGGATGTCCGAGGCAGAGACCCCAGGGGACTGAGCCCCATGCCATTCCCCAGCCCCAAGGCCCCTAGTCGGTCTGCTGTCTTCCCCCCACCCTTCCAAGTCTTGTCATGTTTTTATATCGAATGTCCAGGGTTTTCGTTGTGCTTAGCCAGAGAAGTAGGGAAGAGTACATCTGATCGCCTTCCCCGAGGCCCAGGTGTGCTGGTTACTGGTGTTCTGCTTTGGATCCATGTATCCGACCAGCATCCGAGCAGTGCCCGGTCCAAGCTGTGTTCGCCACGCCTGCTCATCACGGCCTCTGTACTGTCCTGGGTTCAGGGCCTCATGTTTATTATTGGTAAGCTTGTTTGGTTTGGCCTGTGGTTCCAGCATGACCAAGGACAGGATCTTCAGGTTTGTGTCATTTAAGGTCTCAATTGCAAATGAGAGGCATGTCCACATCAATCTGAAATCCCACGTCACTGGCGAGTCTCTAGCTGCCCTTGTTGACATCCTCCAGACGTTATTTTTCCACCTCGTATTTTGAGCTCCTGGGAACCTGGTCAGCCTGGGAAGGGCTGTGGTCAGATGGCTCAGTGAGATGTCCCTATCATCCCTGCACTGGTCTCCAGGCTGGTCTCCCTGCCAAGAAGGAAATGTGACACGCCATGCACTGCTTGTTCTGAGGGAACCTGGGAGAGCTCTAGGGGTGTGCCAGTTCCTTCCCTGCCTTCAGCTCCTTTACTCCTGGCTTTGCTCGCCCTGCAGTCTGGCCAGGAATCGAGGTGGGAAGCCGCTGTTGGGTAGAGGTCAGGAGCCAGCCTGCCTGGTGAACTGCCCCCTACTTCAGTATCTCTGACACTTAGGCCAAGTCACTATGCAGGCCACAGTTTCCTCCCAGAGACCTACTTCATTAGGTTATGGAGAAGATGAAACTGGAAAATACTTGTAAACATCTTGCAGATTTCCCGAGACTCCTGAGTGCCTGCGCACAGTAGTTGTCACTGTGAGCTGACACCCTCTTAATGGCTAACTAACCCCCTTATCAGCTAGCGTGTATGGAATTCATGGGTCCACCTTCTCCATTTAAGCATCACTCCTGCATGTCTCCAGCACATCTCCTTTTTCACCTTGATTTCTCAAAGACCACTACCTATGGCTTAATCACCTCCCTGGCAAATTCTTCCGAGGACACCAGAAGGTAATTGCCCGGTTGGGTGTCTTAGACTTGTTTGGAGTTGCTGGGTGTTTTCTTGTATCTTCTGGATGGAAGCAAATGTTATTAATTCAAATACAACTTCTAAAGCTCTGGTTTTTTTGGTCTTTGACATATATTATAAACTTAAGGCTTAATGTTTTTTAAATAATTGTTCTAATAGATAATGCAAATACGTGACACAGAAATCAAAAGGATAAAAAGGTATAAAGTTTCCCAGCCCTCTAATGAGGGGAGGGGTTAGTATTGCTTTTTCCTCTGTAGCCACGCTAGTCCTGCAGTTGCCTTGAGCACTTACCAGTATATCTTGGAGGCTGTTTCCTGCAGGCATGAAGAGTGAACAGCCTCTGTCTTTTCAGTGGCTGCTTGGTATTCTGTTAATGACTACAGCTCGTCATTAACCTTGATCTGGTATTTGAGTTGTTTCCAGTCTTTTCTCTTTACACTGAGTGTTGCATGAATGACCTTGAATTACTTGTAACACAGTAATACCAGTTCTCAGGAGGGCATATTTGTGGGATAAATTTATAGAAGCACTACTGCTAAGACAAAGTGTGTATTTTAAAGTTTACTAGATTTCACCAGGTGTTCTCTATAGGAGTTGTATTAATTTATATCGTAATGTGTAAGAGTCAGCAGAGCATGGTCCCAAACTCTTGATCTCTGTGGATCTGGTAAGTTAAGAAAAGGAAGGGAGGGGCATTTTGTAATTTTAATTTGCATTTATATTATGATTAAGACTGAGCATTTCCCCCTATGTTTAAGATCTATTTCTAGCACTGTTTTACTAGCTCTCCCAATCTCTCGTACTTACTCATACACTTCCATCATCTTTTGCCTATCTGTTACGTATTTAGTTTTCTAACCAGATTTTGTCCAAGAGTCTGGGCAGCTGTGCTATTTTTCTTTTGATTCAGTAACATGTTAATTTATTCCAAGTTCTGCATCCTTTTTACTGAAGTAAAGCCTGCAGATGGAAGAGCATACCTAGTACAAGCAAGCAGCTTGGCGAGTGTTCCAGACCAAGGAGCAGGAAGGTCGTTAGCAACCCCCAGCAGTCCTCCTTGGTGCCCCCTCCCCAAAAGCAGCTACTAGGAGCAGCTAGCTTCCAGCACAGATACGTTTTGCCTTTTTAAAAATTTACTTTATATGTGCATAATGAAATTATATAAACAGTCTATGTTCTAGCTTTCTGCATTGTAAAATTCATCCTGCTATTGTGTTAGCAGTAGATGATTCATTCTCATTGCTCTGTGATGTTGTGTCCGTTGTATTAATGTGCTTCTGTGTATCTGCCCACTCTGCCAGTGCTGGCTGTTTGGCTTGTGTCCACTGCAGCCCTGTTAAGAGTAGCAGTGCCATAGGCAGACATTCTTGTGCATGTCTTGATGAGGAGAATACATGTTTGTGTTTCTTTTGGCTGTATTGGTGGAATATCTGAGCCATAGGGTATATATAAGTTCAGCTTTACTGTTTTCCCAAGTAGTTTCCCCAAATTGCATTCCCACCAGCACTGTATGGAGTTCTGGTTGCTCCACGGCCTCACCAACATTTGATACTGTCTGTCTTCCAGTTTGGCCACTGTGAAAGGTGTATCACACTGGGGCACACCCCCTTCCTAGATGACTGAGGAAGTTGAACAACACCTTTTTGTGTGTCTTATTTTTTTGAAATAACTGTTCAAGTCTTTTGCCCATTTTTATGTTAGTGTGGCTGCCTTTTTCTTACTAATTTCTAAGTTCTTTAGGAGAATTCCAGCAAGTGTCTAAGAACTCAACTGTGTATTGCCCTCCCAGTGCTGCCCCTCAGCATCGTGTGAGAAATGCCCCCACGATGTGCTCTGTTCTTCCTCTGCACCATTCTTTCAGCTCCATTGCCTCTCGTGTCTTTCCAACCTCAAGGTCTGGGATGTGTTTCACTTTCGAGCTACATCATCTTGCTTTAAGTATAGCTCTGCTCTGTCCCTTGGTGCCAAGTCTGTGTATTCTGGTCATGATCCCAGCCGGCTACATCTCTGTAATGTCACTCATTTGTCCTGTCAAGTTAACTTGTAATTTGCGTTTATCACTTGAGTTTGTTTGAGCTTCTTCTTACCTTACAAATTTGCTTGAAAAATATAGAGCATCTTTTGGTCTCCGAAGTCTATTTTTCTGTGTGAAGGCTGGATTTTGTGGGTAGTTCTAACATTTTGCACCATTCCTTCCTTATTTGTAGCAGTTAACAGCCTTGGCCGTGATCCACACAGAGGCACACTCTTATTATTCTGTGGCACATCTCCCCTCTACCTGCCTTCTTTCTGCCCTCGTGTGAACGGGGTGAGCAGCTAGGAGGGAATAACCCAAAGGTCTCATCCAGCGCCTGCTTCTCCTCTGGGTCCTGTCCTGCCCACTCTGTCTCCAATATCCAGGGAACAGAAAGTCCTGTCCAAGACCTCTCTCAGAAACAGCCTCCAGTTTTCCTTTCCTCCTTAGGAGACCCTCCTGCCGTTACTTCTCCCATGTGTGGGCCCCAGGTGGGTGTTAAGGAGCAGGAGCCTCTGCTGGTGCCAGCTGGTGTGTGGGGCACTTCCCCAGGGTTGGAAGGCTCTTGAGGGCCTTGCAAGGAGACCGAGATGAGGGATTTGGGGTCATGACCAGTCCTGGGGCAACTAAGAAATAGGGATTCTGTCTCGAAGGTGGCTTGGTGCAGTCAGAGAGAAGCAGAGATTGATCACAGTTGGTGGGAGTCTTCTGCGATGGGTCTCATGATCTGGAAGGCCAGCTGTCGGCACCAGAATGGCCTCAGAGGATGATGTCCATGTGGACAAGTCATCCTTGGGTCTATGAAATAGATGACACCTTCCCACCAGGCCCAGAGCCTGGAGTAGCACCGAGAGTGATGGTGGCCGGCACTTGCGTGCAAGGGGCTCCCCTCAGCTCTTCGTGTACTGGCTGCCCTAAATCATACACAGTGCTGGGCCGACGTCACCGTCTCAGCCCCAGTGTTGCGATGAGCACCGGGAGGTGTGGCGAGGGCAGGCAGCTGTTGCCGGTGACGCAGCTCGTCAGGGCATCCGGGCGTGTCCTAAACATTGTGTGCTAGGCCCTGTGACGCTCGGTCCCAGTCAGGCTTTTATCATGGCCCCCTTTCCAGAAGAGGAGTGGAGATAGCCTGTCTGTCCATGTTTCCCAGCCAGTCAGTGGCCAGGGGCTTCAGGTCTGGACCTGAGGCTTCTTCGGGCAGGTACAAGTAAGAGTTCTTTATAAGGCTGCAAACCAGGTTCTTGGATGTTCATCTGGTGATCAGGGTTTACTCCCTGTGGGAAATTGCACAGAATTAGCAAATGATGTCATTTATCATTTATTTCATTAACTCACTGTCTTTAAACATAGCACTTTTGTCTATAACTTTCTGTCCATTGGTGCCCAGAATCCACAAAGCTGTTCCAGGAAACGTCCCTCGCTTGGCATGTGGAAGGTGGTTCCCAAAGGCCCATCTTCTCAGATGACATAGCAGAGTTCTGGAATGAGGTGGGCACTTCATCCTGGAAAGGTTGTCATGGGAGTCGTAGAAACAAGACCTAAAATAGAATGGGCATAGAAGTCTCATTGTTCTCTTCTGTAACTGTCACGTTGCACAACTCATAATCCCTGTTATGCGAAGTGACGTACATTATCTTTCTGTCACTACATTTATAATGCTGATAAAAATGTTCAAATATTAAAACTCACCCCAAAGTGAATAATAGATAAGTGCTGAGATTTTATAGACAGTTACTGATGAAAATCCCTTAAGCACCAACCCCAGGCCATCAGCAGTCAGCCCTCCCACAGACTGCCCTGCCCACCTCATCCAAGCTTTTGCCCCCCTTGTGTTTGCGGCCCCTGTCAGTGTCCGGAATTGTTTCCTTGTCTGTCTGTCTCTGCCCAGTGTAAGTTCCGTGTGAGCAGGAACGTTGCCTGTCATGTTCTTGGAATCCCAGGCCTAAGGCAGGCACTCAGCACGTGTTTGCTGGGCCCGTGGGTGTTAGGAGTGCCAGGATACAGGCTGTTTGCTGGGCTGAGCGTGAAGGAGAGCTGCTGCCGCCTCCCACCCTCCCACCCAGCTTCTCCAGGGCTGTTTTCTCTGTCTTTCAGTCTCCCATCCTTTACCTCCTTCTACACCCAGTCTGGCTCCTATGCGTGGTTACCCTGGTTACCCTGCTTATGTGGAAGAATGAGTGGTGCCATGCATTTGCGATTATCCTTTCCTGTGATCAGCTTTGTAGGTAGTTTATGGAAATTGTAAGAGATAATCTGTAAAACACTGTTTCTAAATCTTCTGTTCAAGAAACATGATCGTTTAATAAGTTAAATTGGGTGTTCCTAATATAAAGTAAAGAAAGCCATAAGAGGGGCAAAATTCCCAAAGTTAAATAACATGTTTTATTGGTGAAGCCGTGGGGAGCCAGGCATTTTCCTAACACTGCTGCTGGGAGCGTGACGTGGTACAAGCCCTGTGGAGGAGAATTTGGCCGCAGGCAGCAAAATTACACATGCATTCAGTCTTTGTCAGCGCAGCTCTACCTGTAGGAATTCATCCCCCGAATGCCCTGGTAGAAATATGAAAAGATCAGTGTAAAGGCTACTATTGCAGTTTTCCTACTTGAAATAGGAAGGGATTTCCAACAGCATCAAATTCTGTTACTACGGAACTGGTGGGAAAGGCTCCGGAGCTTCTGTTCGGTCGAGCTGTGTGCGGCCGTGTGTCGGAAAGGAGCCGAGGCGAGGGGGAAAAACGAGAAGCAGCAGAGGTGGAGAAAAGTATGGGCCGTGTGCTAGGGTTTTAAAAGGGGGGAATATGAGGACATACATGTGTGTGCAAATATCATAAGTGGAAAGATAAACCATGCTTTTACTGATGTATTTTAAAGCTGCCCGTGGGGAAGGGAGGGAACCAGGATGGGAGGGGGTCAGTTGTAAAAGCTAGGCTTTTGACTGAACGTTATTTTGTAAATTTGACTTTGGAACCATGTTCCAAACCAGATTTACAAACCAGGAATCATTATAAAACTAAATTAAATAAAAGATTGGTTTTTAAAAATTTTGACAAGACATTGTCAAATTTTTCTCAAAAAAATTTATACCCTGTTTAGCCTCTATCAGTACTTGAGAACTCTTTCCTCCCATTTTTTCCCCATAGATCTTTGCCAGTGACAGATTGTCATCTTTTAAGACATTGCCAATCTCCTAGTGAGAACTAGTCAGCTGTGTTCCCCAGAGGCTAGAGAGGTTAAACATCTTCTATTCATTCTTAGTCATTTTGTATTTCTTCTGTGAATTCAAGTTCATTGAAAATGCAAGTTCCTTTTTTCTTTAAGAAAAACATTTTCTGTTGATTTATAAGAAGTCTTTATGTGTTTTGAATAGAATTTTCATTTGTTATTACCAGGTTCATGACCTTGTTTCCAGTCAAATGATTCAGCCCTGAGTGTAGTAACTGGTTGTTACTCTGTTGTTTATTAAAAGATTTTGTACAAGAACATTTATGTTTAATACATTTGACTTGCTCATATTATTCCCAGCGTTATGTGGACCAGACTCTTTCCCTAAACTGTTCAAGTGCTGGACCTCAATTTGTGAGCTCTTTGGAGCTATAGCAACTGTGTCTTTTAAAAAAATTTCCCGTGGCTTATTACCATGTCTTAGTAGTAAGTAGTTGGTAAATGTCCACTTAAGTTGATTTTTGGTGAATGTTGAAACTAAATGTGATTGTCTTTGGTTTGAGATTTTTCTTGTTTTTTAGTGACCCATGATAATCATTTTTATGTTGTATTTGATTGACTATCTGAATGAAACATTTTTCATTAAAAAAATGTACAACGACAGTCAGTTTTTAAAAAGTTTTTATGCTATAAAACTTAGTATTTGTCTGTTGTTCATGTCCTGTACATTTGTTTCTTTCTCTAGGTCATCACTCCGTGTAGGAAACTCATCCTGTGTGCTGATAACAGAAAAGAAATGGAAGATTGGATTGCAGCCCTGAGGACGGTCCAGAACCGGGAGCACTTTGAGGTTAAGGGAGGAATACACCCGCCCCGTTGCCCTCTCCTTAGCATCCTGCCATCCACGTATCTCCATGCATGGACCATACAGTCCTGCAACTCACTTTCTCAGCGTGTTCCTTATAAAATAAGGCTTCTTGCCCCTCCTTTTGGCTGACCCACCAGATGGTGACCCAGCCCTCCTCGTTGAAGCATTTCAGAGGAACACCTTATCGTCGCCATCTGTATTTTCCCCTTCCAGCCCACCCAGTACAGCATGGACCATTTCTCAGGGATGCACAATTGGTACGCCTGTTCCCACGCGAGGCCGACCTACTGCAACGTGTGTCGCGAGGCTCTTTCTGGGGTCACATCCCACGGACTGTCCTGTGAAGGTACGAGTGATGTGTTACCTGCTGGGAGAGGCAGCCTGAGGTTGGACCCAGCAAAGCCTTACAAATCCAAACATTGTCGCCCCAGGTCACTCAGGACTAAGGTGATTTCTGTGACTCCATGCTTTTTTATTTTACCTACTGAGGAGTCCCTGATAAATCTTTTCTTATAGTAATGGACCAAAATAATAAAAAGGAGGGTAATAAGGAGACATGAAGAGGAAATATAGAGGACACGGAGGGTAAAGATATTAAAAATATCTCTCAGCCCCAGTATAGTTATGCCAGCTCTCTGGGTGAATCAGGTTGTGGATAAATGTATTAAAAATTGTCTTCCAAATCTAGAGGGCAGGGTTAACAGTGTTTGGGCAAGAGTAGAGATAAGCTGACTGTGCTCCAGCCGACCCCGGACAGTTCCCACCTGCCGCCTGGGTTTGTACAACCTGTAAAGTTAAGAATGGTTTTTACATTTTTAAGTGGTTGAAGAAAGTTAAAAGAAGAACATTGATTTGTGACACAGACAATCACATGAAATTCAAATGTCAGTGCCGGCGCATGAGCATCGTCCATGGTGGCCCTTGTGTTGGGGGCAGAGTTGAGGAGTTGGGGCAGAGACCATGCATAGTCCACGAAAAACCCACACTGGTTCCTATCTGGCCTTTTCCAGAAAGTCTGCCAACTCATGGGTGTACCAGGTGCCTAGACTCTTTGGGGTCAGTCTGCGCACACCCTGGCAGTTTAGGTTATAGCATGGATTGTTCCCAACCTTCCTGGCCAACCAGGGCGGTTCACACGGGGCCACCTCCTTAAGCCGGAGGCACCTGGCATGATCTAGGCTTGAAGGGTCACGTGGTCACGTGTTCATTCTCCCACAGTGTGCAAATTTAAGGCCCACAAACGGTGTGCTGTGCGTGCAACCAACAACTGCAAGTGGACCACGCTGGCCTCTATCGGGAAAGACATCATCGAGGACGAGGACGGGGTACGCTTTAGGGAAAACTCCCCACAGGCCCCCCGGGGGCTGCTGAGCCCGTGTGCCCCGCTGGCCTGTGCTCGGTGCTCTTCTGCACAGGAATGCGTTTGAGTTGCTCCTGCCGTGTGTTTGGGGGCTCTGTCCGGCCTGCTGCCGGAGCTCTGCGCGGTGAGTCATGCTGTGCCTGGCGCAGGAGCAGTGGTGCGGACAGTGCTTTGTCTGTGGCACAGACCCTGCCCTCCCTCTGCTTGCAACAACAAGAACGTCTTGGCTGAGTTTATTTTGGCACATTGGCCCAAGGGCTTCCTCGCCTCGGTGCCGGGCTCCTGGGTGGCCCTCGAGTATGTCTCTTCCTGGTCTGCAGATCGCCATGCCTCACCAGTGGCTGGAGGGAAACCTGCCTGTGAGCGCCAAGTGCACAGTGTGTGATAAGACGTGTGGCAGCGTCCTGCGCCTGCAGGACTGGCGCTGCCTCTGGTGCAAGGCCATGGTGAGTGAGCGCGCAGCCTCCAGGCTGCACGTGGTGCACTCTGGCCCTCTCCTGAGTCCTGGCAAATTCCCTGATGGGAACAGCAGGTCAGCCTGACTCCGAAAGTGCCTCCTCCTCCTGCAGCTGCAGGGCTGGGAGAGTTGTGCGTCCAGCTTGCTGGTGACCTCTTGTGACATGCGTATACTGGTTTCAGGTGCACACGTCATGCAAGGATTCCTTACTGACCAAGTGCCCACTGGGACTGTGTAAAGTGTCAGTCATCCCTCCCACTGCGCTCAACAGCATTGATTCTGATGGTGGGTACCCTGCGCTCTCCTCTGGCCATTTCCTCCTGCCTCCTCCATGCATTCTCCCCTCCCCACTTGAGAGTTGGTTATATTGGTTATTTTGAGTCAGGCCAGTCTCCCCAAGGGGTGGGAGGGGCAGGAGTTATGCACAAAAGTGGTAAATGGTGTTCCTGATGGCCCTTGGGCACACTTCGTGCCCAGGACTTTACTGGATCCACTTGACCATTAATGGAACGAGTCGGAGACTCTTCTCTGCCTTTGATGTGAGCTGTTGAGGTTGTGCCTCTCCGTCATCGAGGCTCCGCCTCGGAGCAGGTACTGGTTAGCACGGCCTTCCATACCTGCTCTCGCCTGTCCAGATGGTGTATGATGAGGTATGTTAACGGGTGTTAGGGGGCAGGCAGGAAACGGGCTACAGGTCTCCAAGGACATCAGCTCTTCCAGATGGAGAGCAAGAGGGAGAGACGGAGCAGCGAGGCACATGGTCTTCTGAAATTTAGAATCCTTGCAAACAGAAGGTCCGGCTGGATGTCCCTCCCTCCCCGGTGAGGAAGGCAATGTGGAGATGGGTTTCCCAGTCTCTCGCTGGTGGCTGGGCGTGTGCATGTGAGGCACCGGACTCGTGCGGGTGCCTCTTTGCTCAGGAGTGACAGCACCCCTGGTGTCCTTCCTGGCCTTCATGTTCCTTCTGGCCTTTTCTGTCCTCACTGTCCAGGCTTCTGGAAGGCCACATGCCCGCCGTCCTGCACCAGCCCGCTGTTGGTCTTCGTCAACTCAAAAAGTGGCGACAACCAGGGAGTGAAGTTCCTCAGAAGGTTCAAACAGCTGCTGAACCCTGCCCAGGTCTTCGACCTCATGAATGGAGGACCACACCTTGGGTGGGAAGCTTGGAAAATATATCTTCCTTAGAGTTTAAAAAATTTTGAAGACACTACATGCTTATTAAAAAAAGACTCAGATACAGACATTTAAAGTAGGAAATAGAAGATGTCTTTTTTCAGCCATCCCCTCCCCAAATGCCACTTGCAGAAGTACCCACTCTTAGTAAAAGTTGTGTGTCCCTCTGACTTTCAAACATGTGTTTCAGTTGTATCTGTGCACACGTGTGCTTTCAAGCCAAGTTGCCTACTGACGTGCTGTCGTGTGGCATGTGACCGTGTGGGGTGTTCGGATGTCAGCAGTTACAGATCTGCCTCATTTCTTTTTCATCCTCCGCTTGGTGCGGAGGAGGAAGGTTTTCTCCAGTAAGGCCAAAGGGAGAGTCTTCACCTGGGGAGGGTGCAAGAGGTGGCTTGGCTTGGGGGCGTGCTGACACATGCCCAATGACACAGGAGGAAGCAGCAGCGGAAGGGTGCCTTCTGCCCACTAGCTGGAGACTGGAGGTGTGCTCCTCCTGGCTGGGGACATTGTATAGGTCTGCAGAAAACATTTGTTCTGTAAATTCTGCCCAATAACTAACTCCTTACTTGCTTGGAAACACCAGTTCAAGGCAGAGTCTCTAAGAGCCCACCTAGCATGTGAGGGAGATTGTCCAGGATGTTTGAGTGGACCGTGCGTGCAGACCTGCTCTGTGGTGTGTTGTTCTGGAGCCAGAACGCCTGGCAGGGAGGAGTGGGCACACCGGCCACCAGGGGGCCACAGTCCGTGTCCCCACTGGCCGGGGTGCTGTTGGAGGAAAGTCTTACACAGCGACTCCAGAACCCGTTTCCTCATGGCAGCCCTCAGCACGTTCTGCAGGTGGGCTTGCTAAGTGAATCAGGCACGCAGGTGCACACTCACTGGCTGACAGAAGGATCATTTTAGTTAAACGCTGGGGCAGCAGGGGGACCACACGGCCCTGGTGGCGATGCAGCAAAGGCCAGGCATTCCTCAGCATGGCAGCAGGGCGCCAACAACTGCCATGGAGTGGTGCTGGGCAGGCCAGGCAGCACTTGAAAAGAGGCAAGGGTAGATTCCGAGTGCGTGCAGATCCCCCACTTCGCAGTAGGGGTTCAGTGTGAATCTGGGCGACTGGTGAAGCCTTGCGGAGGTGCAGTGGAAGTTGGGCTAGTAAGTTCCTGTTTCAGGGAAGCAGCCTCAATCTCATAGCAAAACTGAGAGACAGTCCTTTGTTTTCGGATTCCCGGCCTGATGTATCACCTGTGCTGCAGAGAGCAGGAGGCCTAGAGAGGCCAGTGCTCTCAGGGGCCCGCGTGGCCGTGTCCCTCGTGACCTGAGTGCTGGGTGCAGCTCTGTCGCTTGAGAACCTCACCTGTTTATGCCCCGCGTCTTGTGCCCTGCCGCTCATTCCTCTGTCCTCTGAGGCCTCCCTCTGGCTCAGACTCTGCTAGCGGCAGGCCCAAGGAGCTGGGCCCCTGCCTGCAGGGTGTGCGGCTCACAGAGGGACAGCCAGGGTTCCGGGACAGGGTGCAGGTCCTCTGGGAGCCCGGTGAGGGGGCAGGGAAGCCAACTGGGGGTCTCAGTTTTGTCTCCTGGCCCAGCACGTGAAGTGAGAGTTAGTTAGCATTTTGGTGGCTGAGAGCGAGGTGGGGGCCTTCTCGGCAGAGGCTGCTGCATGTGCGGAGGCGAGGACGCAGCGGGGCAGAGGAGCTGGGGCAGGGTGACCGCTGCCGGCCGGGGAGGAACCCTTCCTGGAAAAGAGCGGCAACTTCTAAAGCTAGATGCCCGCTGAGACCTGTTGTGGGAAGATGGTGCAGATAGCATAGAATGGAGGTGTCCCGAGGAGACTATAGTAGGTAGGAGGCTCGTGTAGTGATTGCAAGGGAACTGATGGTGCTCTGCGCTCGGAGGAAGAAAACCTAGGCTGCGGAGGCACCCATGGGACACCTGGGTGGTGTGATCTGGTAGACAGGTGCAAGGGTTGTCCTTCAGGAAAGCCTGGAGGTTATTGTTTGGGTCCCTCGGGGTCATCGGTACCTGTGTAGTCCCTAAGTCCAAAATGTAGATAAGGCCACTGAGGAGTAAGCAGAAGGCTGCAGGGTGTCCTGAGGGGTCACTGTGTGGAGGGGGCAAGGTGACCAAGAAGGTCAGAGGCAGGAGGTGGAGGTGCAGTTTAGAGGGGAGCAGGGTGGGTCACGTTGCCTGGGGGATGGCGTGGCCTAGAGGCACAGGGAAGTGTGGACAGAGTCCTGTAGCTGGGGGCTCCGAGCGAAGTGAGCAGTGCTGGCAGGATGCAGGTGGGAGGCCATTGCTCTCAGGTGCCCGGCGGCTCCCTGGTTGCCCAGCAGGCTGAGAGCGTGCCTGGGCCCAAGCCTCCAAGAGACTTATGCACAGAAGGGGACAGAAGGGCAGCTGTGAGCAATGCGGACAGGCCTCTTAGCCGAGGACTAACTGGTCACCATCTGTCCATTAGAATATACCACATTTCATTGATGTTCTCTTTTCTCTGCAGCTTACGTTTATTCCAGAAGTTCGATACATTCCGGATTCTGGTTTGTGGTGGGGATGGCAGTGTCGGCTGGGTCCTCTCTGAAATCGACAGCCTCAGTCTTCACAAACAGGTACATGGATGTGGAGGGGCCAGCTTGGGGAAGCGATGCCCCAGTTAGAGAGGCCGAGCCATTGGGAGAAGTGTCTTGGCACAGTGAGGGTCTCTGGGGAAGAGCAGGTATCTCCGTGGCATAGTGGGGCCTGGGACTCGGCTGCAGTACAGGCCTGGGAGCTTCAGAGCAGGAAGGGAGTCTCAGAAAGACCATTCCAGTCCCTGAATGTCCCAGCGGCAGCAAGCCTGGGTGGGCTGCTGTCACGCCAGCTCTGGGCCGTGATCAAATCTGCCTGTGCCTCTGCTTGTGAGGAGGAGACAGAGGTAGACCCGCCCCTCAGGTTAGAGTTAGGATGCATTGGAAGTAGTGGTCTTTTGTATTAAATTTAAAAATAGATTTTCATGATTATTAAAAAAAAATAAGTTCATTGATGTTTCCATGTCCTGCACCACTGCTGACATTGCAGGGACTACCTTTGAGGACTCTCCATCAGCATTTATGTAGTACGATGCGAAATGCAGTTGTGATCTCAGCACACCCACATCGCCACTGTGCTTTGCGATCAGTCTGTGGCAGGTACCTGGTGGTGCCGTCAGTAAATGATCTGTGGGATGGTTTTCCACTGGGCAGAGCTGTGCCAGCGCTGGGCTAGCTGACCTCCCCCCATTGATGGAGGCTTAGTACTTCACGGAGGCAACTCTGGTGAAAACCACATACACACTTTCCCAATTAACATTCTCTTTTGAGGGCTCCAGGTTTGAATCTCTGTATGTGCCGCAAACTATTTGGGGCTGTCCTAATTTACATTCCTGATGCCACATAAAACTGTCCTTTCCCATACACTGGCCATTGTTCATCTTTTTAGTTTTTGCCCAACAGAGTAGACAAAAATGTTTTATTTTTATTTCTTGAGTACTGTGAAGTCAAGCATTTCAGTTAACTTTGAATTTTTAAATGAGTCATGTGTTGATGTTTTTTGCCTAGTTTTCTACTGGGGTATTTACCTTTTTAAAAAAATTGATCTCTGGTATCATTTCTATATTAGGGATAAAGTGCCTTGTTGGTCATATTTTTTCTAGTTGGTCAGTTGCTTTCAACATACCTTTTAAAAAATCTTCTACCTGACTTGAGCATGTATTGTTTCAGAGACTTAACATTCTTTCCCCACTCTTAGTGTTGGTGGTCTTTGTAGGTTGGGCAGACTTTTCGTTGTCACTATTTAGTCCTGGGCACAGGCCTGAAGTCGGAAAGTAGGCTGTCTGAGCCCCCCAGGTGACCACTGGCCTCCTCCAGGCGGCCTGCTCAGGCAGGAGAACGCTGCCCCCTAGAGGTGGAATGACAGCAGTATGCTTGGTCCCGTGTTCTGTTGCGTTGGCTTCCAGATGACTTACAAGTTCCCTGTGACCAGTCAGGAAGACAGGGCCACCATGCTGTTTGTCTTCATCCCTGCAAACGAGTTCAGCAAGCGTTCATCTCCTTTGGCTTCCCTGTAACCACCCCCTTCAGTGCTTCTCCTCTTCCTGGCCGCCACTCCCTGCCCCCGGGTGCCCGCAGTGCCTCCAGCCTGGCATTTCCAGCCCTGAGCCCCCACTCAGTGCCACCAATCCCCAGTCCCTTCGCATCTGAAACACCACCCCCCGGACGTCTAAGCTGGAGGTGTGAGGAGTCTGATTCTTCCCTCGCGCCCCCTCTTCATTTCTAGTTAATCACGGAGGCCCAGTGCTGCCCCCCAGAGTGCCCAGGCCACCCTGTGTGCCGCTGGCCCTGGGCCTCTGTCCGTCCACTGCCCTGAGGGGCTGTCCCACGGCAGTCAGGCTCACGCACCTGCCCTGCCGAGTGTCCCTTGGCCGCCCCTTGGCTCGAGGATGAAGGCCAGTGTGGCTGCTGCTTTGTCCTCTGCTTCTGTGACTGCCTCTCCACTCCCTCTGCCTCCTGACCGACCTCTGACTAGGCAGGGCGCCGCCTCTCCGCCGGGCACCCCCGTGCCTGCACGTAGTGCGCTGTCTGCCCCTTCCTCGTCAAGGCTCTGCCTGGTGTGCCTGCTCATGCCTGCTGCCTGTCCTCATCCTCGAAGAGGCAGACCTCCCCTCCAGCTTGCTCTCCCCAGCCGGGCAGCAGGACCTCCCGCGTGGCTGGGGTGGGTGACCGTGTGCTGTGCCATGCTTGGGGAGGGCCTCCGACCTGCCTGCACACTGCATGTCAGATTGCAGGGACAGAGCTCTTGGGCAGCCAGTGTCCAGGGAGTGTCCCATGGCCTGGCGGGCTTCCATGGGGGGCTCAGGTGGGAATTCCAGGTGGAGGGGATGCAGTGCTTGGCATCTCTCTGGGAGTGGCAGGTGGAGGGGTGTAGGTTGAGCCCCGGGGCCTGCTTGGGTCTGGCGGCCTGACTGTGGAGGTCCTACACCTGGTTTTGGTAGGATCTAGAAACCACTGAAGATGTGTTTAGTGGCATGAAATGCTAGTGGTGTTTTCAGAGGATGAACCTGGCATTAATGAGTAAGACGCTGTGGGTGAAGAGAGGTGTGGGGAGGCATAGAATGGTCCACTCTAGGGGCTCAGATACCCAGCAGGAGGTACAGGACCGTGTCCATAGCAGTGAAAATGAGAAGGAGGGGGAATTTGGAAATGACCAGGGAGGTCCTAGAGGATTCAATTGTCAAGATGTGGCAACAGATGAGAAAGGTGCTGTGGGAGAGATGGGGCTCACAAGACTCTGGAATCTTCTACGGGATTCAAAGGACCGTCTGTCTGATGTAGCGGGCTGTGCTCAGAACGTAGCCGCCCCGCCGCTGGAGGTTGGCCCGCGCACTGGGTTTAGCCTCCGATGCAGGTGAAAAGGAGGGCGTCTAATGCTGTGTCTGCCCCGCTGTGTTCCCAGTGTCAGCTGGGCGTGCTGCCTCTCGGCACGGGGAATGACCTGGCTCGCGTGCTCGGCTGGGGCTCAGCCTGTGACGACGACGCCCAGCTCCCACAGATCCTGGAGAAGCTGGAAAGAGCCGGCACCAAGATGCTGGACCGGTGAGCGGGGCAGTGCCCAGGGCTGCGCAGCGGCGGCTGCTCAGACAGGCCGCCCTGGCCGGTACTTAACTGGGGCCCCAAAGACCTTAGGCCCTCTGCAGTTACTCATGAATATTGGACCTGAGCAGGAATGCTTCCTTTGAGGTATCTTTAACTGTGGTCAGGTTATAAAAAGGTAAAAACAGCTCGGGTTAGGAACTGTCGCAGTGGCCAGCTCCTCTCACATGGCTGCCTGACCCACTGGGGCCTTTGGAGGTGGCGGCTTTGTCCCCATGGGCCACCTCAGCCCTGATCTGACACCTGTCAGCAAAGCCCTCCTCACTGCATAGTTGAGCAAGTGCATTCTCCCAGATTCTGTTCCCAGGAGGATCAGAGTTTGGGACAGTAACCATACTTTGGCATCCTTCTTGAGGGAGCTGCTTTTGGTTCTGGGCTGGATGTGGGAGGTTGGCTGTGGGAAGCGCTGCGGTCCTCTGCCAGCCCCTGCCGTGGTCTTCAGCAGCGCCCCTGGGGCTCTGTAGCTGCCCCTACGGCTGCCTTCCCTTCCGGGGCGGCCTGCCTGTGGAGCCTGTGCAGTGTTCACGCAGCCCGGAGAGCTGGCTGGTGGCTGGGGGGTTTTAGCTCTTGGAGGAAGGGGAGACCCATTTCTCCTGGCAGCAGCATTAATGGGGTACCTCCTGCCTTCTGCAGAGCTGCAGTGCCCCCAACTTGTGACAGTTGTTCCCAGCAAAGCCATGTTTTGGGACCAGGGTCCAGATTCAGGGCTTGCAAATGAAGTTAGAGATGTTTTAAGGTCGAGTCCCCAGGCCGTGACCAGGCGCGGGGCGGCCCTGGGGCTGGGCCCACCCGCCTTGAGCTGCCTGTGTGTGTGCAGGTGGAGCGTCATGGCTTACGAGACCAAACTCCCACGGCAGGCTTCCTCCTCCACCACCGCAGAAGACTTCAGTGAGGGCTCTGAGGTACTTCCTGGTGCCCGTGGCAGGAGCTTGCTGTCCTACTCCCCGGTTTCCACCGCGTCCCCTGCTCCTTGGTGACGAGCCACTCCTTAAACATCTGCCCTAGTGGTGCGGGGTCAGCCGAGCTGGGGCCGAGTGGATTCTTGACTGCCTGTGGGCTTTTGGGGTCGCTGGGGGCTTACCAGGGTTACCCCGGGATTTGGGGTCCTTTGTGGCAAGGCTGTCCCAGGACTGCCCGCTCTCCCGGTGTGCACGCCTGCTGGGGCCCCAGGTCCCTCCCTAGGCCCACCCGCTCCTCTCTGCTGCTGCGGCCCTTGGTTCGCTTATGCTGGTTGAGTGTTCAGCTGCCTTTCATTTTATGGGGGTCTTACGATTTAGCGGTTTTCTCAGGGCACGTTGCTGTGCTCATCCCCACTGGGTGAGCAGAGGGAGGACTCTGCCAAGGGCTGTCTCCCCATCAGGAAGGTCAAGGACAGGGGACTAGGGCAGCTGTCAGCAAACTATGGCCCCCAGGTCAAATCTGAGCCTGTGAGCAGAGAATGGTCTGTACATTTTAAGGGAGGAAGAATTTGTGTGCAAAGCCTAAAATATTTACTGTCTGTCCAGTAGTGGAGTTTGCTGACCCTGGGCTAGGGCTCCTTACTGGGGTTGGGCAGCGTGAGTGGTGAGGAGGGGGATTTACCTCGAGAGAAGGCCAGGGCCAGGTCCGAGTGGGAACCCTGTATGGATGAAATGAGTTCAAGATTACAGCTCCCAGAACAAGCTGCTGGTGGCAGATCTCCTGCTAAGTGGCTTAAGGTATCCTTGGCATCATTTTTGTTAAGATCCGCCCATCCACAGCTTGATAATGCTTTTGAAATCTTTGAGATAGCGCTAGCGACCAGGTCAGTGTGAAGTGAGCTGAGGCCTGGGCTGGCAGGGGGCGTGGCTGAGGAGGTCCCTGGACCCCCATGTGAGGCTCTCAGTCCCCAGCCTGGCAGTCATCCGCTGTGTTTTGGGGTGATCGTAGGTGCAGCAAATTCTCTTCTATGAAGACTCGGTTGCGGCTCATCTTTCTAAGATCCTGACCTCTGACCAGCACTCAGTGGTGATTTCTTCAGCCAAGTGAGTGCCTGCCGACCCTGGGGGAGCAGCGGGCCACCTGCACACGTTCCCAGCCAGGACTGTTTCTACAAGCGTCTCCCCGCATCTCCCCCTCTAGAGTACTCTGCGAAACGGTGAAGGACTTTGTGGCTCGAGTGGGGAAGGCCTACGAGAAGACCACCGAGAGCTCGGAGGAGTCTGAGGTCATGGCCAAGAAGGTCTGGCCCCTGGGCCCCCGGGGGGAGGGCAGCGACAGAGAAGCACCCCACCCATTGCACCCGTTTCCCATCCAGTGCTCTGTTCTGAAAGAGAAGCTGGATTCTCTCCTCAAGACCCTGGATGATGAGTCCCAGGCCTCATCCTCACTGCCCACCCCACCCCCCACCATTGCCGAGGAGGTGGAGGATGGGGACGGGGCAGGCGGCGGCTGTCTCGGCACGGGGAATGACCTGGCTCGCGTGCTCGGCTGGGGCTCAGCCTGTGACGACGACGCCCAGCTCCCACAGATCCTGGAGAAGCTGGAAAGAGCCGGCACCAAGATGCTGGACCGGTGAGCGGGGCAGTGCCCAGGGCTGCGCAGCGGCGGCTGCTCAGACAGGCCGCCCTGGCCGGTACTTAACTGGGGCCCCAAAGACCTTAGGCCCTCTGCAGTTACTCATGAATATTGGACCTGAGCAGGAATGCTTCCTTTGAGGTATCTTTAACTGTGGTCAGGTTATAAAAAGGTAAAAACAGCTCGGGTTAGGAACTGTCGCAGTGGCCAGCTCCTCTCACATGGCTGCCTGACCCACTGGGGCCTTTGGAGGTGGCGGCTTTGTCCCCATGGGCCACCTCAGCCCTGATCTGACACCTGTCAGCAAAGCCCTCCTCACTGCATAGTTGAGCAAGTGCATTCTCCCAGATTCTGTTCCCAGGTGGATCAGAGTTTGGGACAGTAACCATACTTTGGCATCCTTCTTGAGGGAGCTGCTTTTGGTTCTGGGCTGGATGTGGGAGGTTGGCTGTGGGAAGCGCTGCGGTCCTCTGCCAGCCCCTGCCGTGGTCTTCAGCAGCGCCCCTGGGGCTCTGTAGCTGCCCCTACGGCTGCCTTCCCTTCCGGGGCGGCCTGCCTGTGGAGCCTGTGCAGTGTTCACGCAGCCCGGAGAGCTGGCTGGTGGCTGGGGGGTTTTAGCTCTTGGAGGAAGGGGAGACCCATTTCTCCTGGCAGCAGCATTAATGGGGTACCTCCTGCCTTCTGCAGAGCTGCAGTGCCCCCAACTTGTGACAGTTGTTCCCAGCAAAGCCATGTTTTGGGACCAGGGTCCAGATTCAGGGCTTGCAAATGAAGTTAGAGATGTTTTAAGGTCGAGTCCCCAGGCTGTGACCAGGCGCGGGGCGGCCCTGGGGCTGGGCCCACCCGCCTTGAGCTGCCTGTGTGTGTGCAGGTGGAGCGTCATGGCTTACGAGACCAAACTCCCACGGCAGGCTTCCTCCTCCACCACCGCAGAAGACTTCAGTGAGGGCTCTGAGGTACTTCCTGGTGCCCGTGGCAGGAGCTTGCTGTCCTACTCCCCGGTTTCCACCGCGTCCCCTGCTCCTTGGTGACGAGCCACTCCTTAAACATCTGCCCTAGTGGTGCGGGGTCAGCCGAGCTGGGGCCGAGTGGATTCTGACTGCCTGTGGGCTTTTGGGGTCGCTGGGGGCTTACCAGGGTTACCCCGGGATTTGGGGTCCTTTGTGGCAAGGCTGTCCCAGGACTGCCCGCTCTCCCGGTGTGCACGCCTGCTGGGGCCCCAGGTCCCTCCCTAGGCCCACCCGCTCCTCTCTGCTGCTGCGGCCCTTGGTTCGCTTATGCTGGTTGAGTGTTCAGCTGCCTTTCATTTTATGGGGGTCTTACGATTTAGCGGTTTTCTCAGGGCACGTTGCTGTGCTCATCCCCACTGGGTGAGCAGAGGGAGGACTCTGCCAAGGGCTGTCTCCCCATCAGGAAGGTCAAGGACAGGGGACTAGGGCAGCTGTCAGCAAACTATGGCCCCCAGGTCAAATCTGAGCCTGTGAGCAGAGAATGGTCTGTACATTTTAAGGGAGGAAGAATTTGTGTGCAAAGCCTAAAATATTTACTGTCTGTCCAGTAGTGGAGTTTGCTGACCCTGGGCTAGGGCTCCTTACTGGGGTTGGGCAGCGTGAGTGGTGAGGAGGGGGATTTACCTCGAGAGAAGGCCAGGGCCAGGTCCGAGTGGGAACCCTGTATGGATGAAATGAGTTCAAGATTACAGCTCCCAGAACAAGCTGCTGGTGGCAGATCTCCTGCTAAGTGGCTTAAGGTATCCTTGGCATCATTTTTGTTAAGATCCGCCCATCCACAGCTTGATAATGCTTTTGAAATCTTTGAGATAGCGCTAGCGACCAGGTCAGTGTGAAGTGAGCTGAGGCCTGGGCTGGCAGGGGGCGTGGCTGAGGAGGTCCCTGGACCCCCATGTGAGGCTCTCAGTCCCCAGCCTGGCAGTCATCCGCTGTGTTTTGGGGTGATCGTAGGTGCAGCAAATTCTCTTCTATGAAGACTCGGTTGCGGCTCATCTTTCTAAGATCCTGACCTCTGACCAGCACTCAGTGGTGATTTCTTCAGCCAAGTGAGTGCCTGCCGACCCTGGGGGAGCAGCGGGCCACCTGCACACGTTCCCAGCCAGGACTGTCTCTACAAGCGTCTCCCCGCATCTCCCCCTCTAGAGTACTCTGCGAAACGGTGAAGGACTTTGTGGCTCGAGTGGGGAAGGCCTACGAGAAGACCACCGAGAGCTCGGAGGAGTCTGAGGTCATGGCCAAGAAGGTCTGGCCCCTGGGCCCCCGGGGGGAGGGCAGCGACAGAGAAGCACCCCACCCATTGCACCCGTTTCCCATCCAGTGCTCTGTGCTGAAAGAGAAGCTGGATTCTCTCCTCAAGACCCTGGATGATGAGTCCCAGGCCTCATCCTCACTGCCCACCCCACCCCCCACCATTGCCGAGGAGGTGGAGGATGGGGACGGGGCAGGCGGCGGCTGTGGCCCCACTGGGGACCGCTCTGTGGGGCTGGCGTGCCCCTCCCGGCCGCAGATATTCCGTCCTCGGGAGCAGCTCATGCTAAGAGCCAACAGCCTGAAAAAAGCGATCCGCCAGATCATAGAGCACACAGAAAAAGGTACTGGTCTCTTTGTAGCAAGGTAGTTTTTGACAGGCAAGCACTGGGTGCTCCATTTTTCCCTGAACACGGTGATGGACATAAAGGGACCCACTGTGAACACACAGCTGGACTGCCTGAGGCCACCCCGGCCTGATCACCTGGCTTGGCAGCACTCCCTGCCTAAGGACGTGCTGGGAACATCGCTGCCTGTTCCTAAGACGCCAGCTGTGAAGGGGGCACTGGCATTCCAGGAAGTGGAAGACAGGCCGAGCGGTGCCCCCTACTGGGCAAAAGGTGCCTCGTGGGCACATGCAGGGGGCATGTTGGAGAAACCCGTCCCTGGACAGGGACCCCCTCCCTGGAAGGGTCCCAGCCTGTGGGAGCTCTCCAGGCCTCAGGTGCAGCACGGCAGCCGCGGGCCACACAGTGTGGCCTTGCCGAGTCAGAGGCGCGGCTGCGAGGGAGGGGCGTATTTGGAGGGGCTCTCAGGACGGGGGGTGCTCTGAGGACACCTGGAGAGAAAGGCCCTGTGCCCTGGAGAGAGGTGGGCGAGGCTGTAGTTGAGGAATGGGAAGAGAGGCTAGAGCGGGGCTAGCTGCATGGAGGGGTCGGGACTATGTGAGCTGCCTGGAGCCGTGGGTGGAGCCGTGGCGGGCTGGCTGCAGTGGGGGGGCCTGCGTGGGATTCAGGACGCCCGGTGACCCTCCCTTTTCCTACGAACCACATTGATCGGCGCACCTCTTTGCCTCCAGCCCTCAGGCCCTCATTTCCCTCCTCAGCAGGTTTTTCTCTTGTCAGTCTTGGTCTGTCTTCTCTCCCATCACCCTCGGAAACCATTTCATACCCACTCCATGCGCCCCAGGCCTTTTGCCAGCCCCAACCTTTCCACTGAGCAGACGGACCTGCTATGTACGGGAGTGAGAATAACGAGGTCGTGACCCCTCCTGCACACCTGTCTCCTAGCTGATGGTCAGGTGGGGCCGTCATGTCCGTCCTGGGCTGTTCTGCCCTCATGCCATCAGTCACTCACCTTCTCTCCAGGTCTAGGGCCTCTTGGCTGTCCTTGGTCCCCCGCCTGTTGGCACAGAGGCCCGGATGCCTGCTGCACTTGCAGGGTGCTGACCATGGAGAAGGGTGGGGCAGGGTGGGAGCTTCGGGGTCTCAGCCTTCAGCCAAGAGGCCACTGGAAGAAAAATCCAGCATGAGACGGGGCAGGGAGTCATGCCAGCAGTGCTCATCTGCTGGGCATGACCTGTGGGCCTGGCGCCCTGTGCTCAGCTGCAGACATCCTTCCCTTGCACAGCTGTCGACGAGCAGAACGCCCAGACCCAAGAACAGGAGGGCTTCGTCTTAGGTCTGTCTGCGTCAGAGGAGAAAAGGGACCTGAGGTCGGACAACAGAGTGTGCCACAGCGAGAGTTGCGGGGCTGCCAAGAGCAGGAGCCTCCGCAAAGGTATCGGCGGCCTTGGCGACCCCAGGACTGCAGCCGGGCCTTTTGGTTTTGCAGCACCAGAAAGCTCGCCTCGGAGGTTTTAGGATGCTTTTTCATAAATGCTTTGGCCACTTGTTAGTACAGGAAGTCGTGAACACACGGCCTGTTCCCGTGCACCACCTGATATGTGTGGTCTGTGGCCAGAGCCTCGCTGCTGAGGAGTGTGCTTCCCTCAGAAGCAGCAGCTCAGGCCCAGCAGGACTCAGGGTCTGCTGGCTGCAGCCAGCCAGCGCTGTGTGCAGGGCCACCTGGGAGTGCTCACCCCCGTTCCCCACCCCGTGCTTGTGCCTGCTGTGCAGAGGTGCTCCCTCCCTGCCTGACATGCACAGGCCCTGGGAGGTACCTGCCTGAGCGCTCACTCCACGGTCGTTACCTCCCAGAGCTCCACTCTGCCTGCGCACAGACTCCCACAGCCCTGGCTGTGATCTGGGGTGAGCTGCCCCATCGCTGCCTCAGCCTCCTCTGCCCGGCCCAGCGCCCTCAGTGGCCTGCATGCAAACCTGATGCTTCTCTGCCCCGCCTCGTTCCTCCTCCTCTCTCTCTGGGCCTCCTTATTTGTCTCGCATGCCCTCCCTGGTGCTGACCGTGGTTTTAAACCAACCCTCACCTCCCTCGGCCCTTCCACCTGGTCATTTGTCTGATGAACTCGCCCAGTAGTCAGTAATGTCCTATTTTAGACAGTCTCTGGCTTTCTGTTCTGTTTTAATAGTGGCCAAATCCCCATGTGAGAAGCTGATAAGCAAAGGAAGTCTGTCACTGGGCGGTTCTGCCTCTCTTCCAGCCCAGTCAGGAAACCGGGACGGCCTGCCAGCACTGAACACCAAGATCCTGTTCCCCAGTGAGTGTCCCCGCAGGTGGGCAGGGCCACAGCACCGGCGGGGGAGCGGGGGGTGGTGACCTGCCGGCCAGTGAGGCCCAGGGCCTGTCACTCGCCTGGCACGGGTGTGTGGGCTTGAATGAGACTGGTCCTTGTCCTCCAAGAGTTTATAGGTCTGTGGGAAAGATAGAGCTTCAAAGTCATAGTATGAAAAGTGCCCTTATTTATTACTAAGGGCAGATGGCACCCAAATTCCATGGGGGAAGGGGGGGTGGGTCTGTGGTGGGGGGCCAGGAACACCTCACTGCGGAGGTAGTACTCAAGCTGGGTGCTGAAGGGTACGTAGGAGTTCTCTGGAGTGGAAAGGGAGGGTTGTGCTGGGGAGCCAGTGCCATCGCCCCGTTATTTCTAGCAGACGGTGCAGCATGTGCCCCGCCTGGCCCAGGAGGCCTCGGGGATCTCTGGAGCAAGTCCGGGGAGTCCTATCAGCAGTTTCAACCCCGTGACCCTTGTCCTCCTCCCACCATCTGCTCCAATAAGTGATTTGCCAATTTCTAGGTGAATCTTCACTGAGTAGATAGAATATTGCAGAAGTCCTTGGGAAATGTGTCTCGGGAGATGTGTTTGGTTAATCAGTGCCCAGGGCGTTAACCCCAGGGGATGGGCTGGCATGATGTTCAAAAGCAGGGCTCCATCACTGCCTTGATGTTATGATTTAAAATGTCCGAATTGGTGCAGGAACCTGGGGTTCCAGTCGCCTGGGGTACTCCTTGATTTTTTCTCGCTTCTCATGAAACAGCTACGAAGCTGCACGAGCGAGCGCCCGAGCTGTGCCCTCGGAGGTCACTCGGTGGGGCCCCCTGCACTGATGAGGGCCACCTTTGGGAGCAGTGTTCATTATGTCTCAGAGGTGTTGGTTTCTGCCACCCAGTTTGTTTATTTTTGCTCCATGATCATGGATTTATGATGGTGATTTTTGACCTGCGACTATTAATTGTCAGAATTTGGACATGTTCATGCATTATTTCAGACACATTTAAGTACAGTGTTGTGAAGACTACGTGTCCTTCAGCCTCAAAGTCAGGAGCTTCTCTGCATGAGGAGCCCCGACAGCACTGTGTCTTCCTCTCCCTCTCTCCAGATGTTCGGGCTGGGATGTCTGGGTCTTTGCCTGGAGGGTCAGTCATCAGTCGCTTATTAATTAATGCTGACCCCTTTAACTCCGAACCCGAAAACCTGTGAGTATGGGGGTAAACCAAATAGGCATATTGTTAAAATCTGGCCAGAGCACAGAAAGCGTTTGGAATTAACTAGAGAAGTCCATAAACAGTCGACTAGGCGATCCTCTTCCCATTGGTGTTTGCTGATAAGGAAAACCTAGGAATCCTGAAGCCTCAGCTAAAGAGTGGGGTTGGGTACTTCCTGTGACGGGTGCAGCCTGTCGCGGCTCATTCCCAGGTTCCTGCAATGGGCACGCGTCAGTGGCACCTGGATATGCCTCCTGTTCTGAGTTTTCAGTGGGTTCAGAGCTTTGCGTGTGTTCTCTGTGCTCACTCGCCAGTGTCCTTGGCAGGCGCCGTGTGGCCGCCTCTTCCCCACAGTCTGTGCCCCTCTTGCAGGCTGCTGCTCCCCCTTGTTGGGGCTGCAGAGTCAGGATGCTGGGGCTGGAAGCTCCTCTGTGGTCCCGGGGGATACTGCCCTGGTTTAGACTTGTAGGGAAGAATGCCCCAGCTGTGCTGTGCTCCTCACACCGCGTCCTCTCCCAGTGTCTGCGGCAGTGAGGACGTCTGTGCAGCGGGTCAGTGGCATCTGTGTATAGAGAGGCCATGGTGGACACAGGTGGCATTTTGAAAACCCAGTCTAGATTTTCCTTCCTGCTGACGGTTAGCAAGTTGGCAGCCAGAAGCTGGTGGCAATTTGTTAACAGGCATGGTAGGGGAGAGTAACAGTGAGAACCACGAGGTTCACAGAGGCTGTGGTTTGGGAAGGTGGAGCTGAAAGCACGCAGCGACAGCCTCTGTCCCACTGTGTGCAAGATGGCGGCCTCTGTGCAGACACCTGCTGCCAGGTGCTGGCCTGCGTGCACATCTCAGCGCCCTCGTCCCGGGCTGGACACTGCTGGGGTCTGTCTGCTCCTCGCACCGGCCGCCCCCGGGCCCACCCCTTCCTGGGCCCGACTGGGGCTGTGGTCCTGGCCCTTCCTGGTGGGGTTTGCTTCAGCAAGGCCAGAGCTGTGGCCGCCTGTGAGCCGCGCCCACGGGCCTTCTAAACTGGAGGCTTCGTTTGTCTCCTTCATCTGAGAGATTGAAATTCCATGTCTGGCAGCTCAGGCTGTGGGTCTCCCCTTCAGACGGGTGAGACGAGAGCTGCTCCCAGCACAGGGTCTGTCCCGGCAGCTCTGGGGCTTGGGTCCCCCTGCCTTTGCCTACAGTGGCCTCCTGGGGCTGGGCCCTCCCCACCTCCCAGCGGCCTGTGCCTGACCTTTCCAGCTTCTCCCTTTGTGCCTGTGCTGTTTCTCTGGGCTGGGTCCCCCCGTTTTCCTAGGACCTATAAACACTGGTCAGCATGTGGACTTCAGCTCGGAAAACAGTTCTGTCCCAGAGCGTTGCTCTTAGTCAGCTGCTGACACTTGGATGAGGTGTGTCATAAGCGCACGTACACGTGGGGATTTCTTCTCAGATAAGGCTGCAAAGCCGGTGCGCCTGCAGTAGAGCTGAGTTCTGACCCAGGCGGTATTCCTGAGCCTGACAGTCTGTTGTGTTTGTGTGGGATCTTCCGCTGGGACCGTCTACATGCCTGTTTCCTTGCTACTTCCTCTCGTGAAGGATCACCCCTCCCTTTACCCACCCGCACTGCTGGAAACCAGGCTGACAGGGCACGGGTGCTGCCCCTGCAGCCATGGGAATGGGCATCCGGCTCCTGTAGCAGGACAGCAGGGCTGGGCGAGGCTTTGCCAGCCGCCAGGTCAGCTGCAGGGGCAGGACTGCCAGCTGGACAGGAGACGCTGGAATGAATGGGTCTTGTCAGTGGTGGGCTCAGGAAAGGGAAGGCCGAGGTGGATGTTCTCAGATTTGGAGACTGCTTTGATGGGGCCTGGGCAGCACCAGGGTGGACGTTGCTGGCGGGGGACGTGAGGCAGCACAGCCACTTTGGAAGACAGGCTGGCAATGCCTCAAGACCCAGAGCTTCCCCGCAGCCTGGCAGTTCCTCTCCTGCAGATGTGCCCAAGAGAAATCACAGTGTGTTCATGCTAAAGTGTGTGTTCAGCTGTTTGCAGACAGTGGCCCAAAAGTCAAACAACCCGGGTGTCCATCAGCTGATGGGGGAAAAGTGAGATCAGTAGCCCTACAGTGGGGTGCTATTCGGCCTTGAACAGGGATAAAGTACTGAACATGGGGGAGCCCTGAAAACCTGTGCTCAGTGACAGGCGCAGATGCAGAGGGCACTGTCCTGTGATTCCATCAACAGGCACATCCATGGGGCTGGCAAGCAGACCAGTGGTTGCCGGGGCTGGGAGGGGTGGGGGCCGCTGGCTGAAGGGCATGGGCTTCCCTGGGCTGATGAGAAGTTAGCATTAGTGAGTTACATGACTGTGTGAGGAGCATGCGTTTCAGGTGGGTAACTTTGTGGCTGTGTGAATTCTGTTGCAAAGCTTCTACCAAAAAAAAAAAGTGCTGTGTGTTTTGCCCTCGGGTGGAGGTGCTTAGAGGCTGGCAGGCTGGGAGGAAAAGCTGCTAAGTAGGGTTTTTGATTGGTTGGAACCCTGCTTTGCAGAGAGTATTATACTGAGAAGTGTGTCATGAACAATTACTTCGGCATCGGCCTGGACGCGAAGATATCCCTGGACTTCAACAACAAGCGCGACGAGCACCCCGAGAAGTGCAGGTGGGCGGGGCCTCACGGGCGCTCCCCCGCCCCCTCCTGTCCTCCTGTCTCCCTCCAGCTGGTGGGCGGTGTGTGGAGTCGGTGGGGTAAAGGGCGTGCGGAGTGCTGAGGCAGAAGCAGAAGACACACAGCCGGAGGGCCTTGTCAGGAAGGGAAGTGTTTTCCCGAGGTTGGGGAGGAAGCAGGTGGGTGTCCAGGATGCCAGCCTGACGAGGGTTGCACCCCTGGGCCCAGCCAGGTTGGGGCAGATGCCAGAGGAGAAGCCAGTCACTGCAGTCAGTTGGAATGGGCTGAGTCTCTTAAGTTGCAAGTCTGTGATGACGCTATAAGGGACAGGGGACACAGTGCGCTTGGAAGTTACTGTGCGTCCCCAGCGCCCTTGGTCAGCCAGTCTGGGTGTCTGTCCCCACGTCAGCCAGCCCCGCCCCAGGCGCAGGCACAGCAGGCAGCTCCACGGTGCAGGCAGGGCTCGCCCCACGAAGCCCCTGAGAGCACACGCCTCACAGCAAGACAGCCACAGGAGAGGCCCCCGAGGGCTTTTGTAGGGGGTGTTCAGTTCCTTTCCTTAGACTGCCATCTCCTTAGTCTTCCCGCCCGGAGAGAGGATGGAGAGACTCGGAAGGTGCCCTCTGGGCTGCAGGGGAAACCCCCTCTGTGGAAACACGAGGAGTGAAGTGGAGTTAACCTCTCCCACCCGGCCCTTCCCCACAGTCGCCCCGAGGAGAGAGACTGCTCAGCTCTGGCGTCCTAGGGGAGCGAGGGGGAGGGGAGGCCTCTGTGGGTTTGGCCAGAGAGCGGCCATTGGCGCAGGACAGCCTGCAGAACTGCCCTGTTTGGTGTCTTGACCGTGTCCCCCCACGTGGTGCCCTTGTCTCTTGGAGGGGAGCCGCCTGGGAGGTGTCCCACTCATATCTGAGGGTTGCCCTGGTGATCACCCAGGGTCTGTGCCATTGGAATTCTAGGAGAACAAAAACAAGCTTAGGATCTCCAACAGTCTCTGGATTCTGGGTCTCCTGAGTGGAGGAAGGTGGCTCAGTGTCCCCAGGGGCGTCCCCATTACACATGCACTTGCTGGTGAGCCCGAATCATTTAAAAACATCCCTCTTAGTTCAGATAGAACTGGCAAAGGCATTAAAACACATAATTTAGCAGAGTAAAATAGATGAAAACAGGGCATGTATAATATAATTTTCCAACCTTAGGACCTTGATACATAATCTTGAATTTGTTATCAAGAGCTTTAAAAAGGTCTCTTCAGAAAAATTCCATTTCTACAAATCTGTCCTAAAGAAGTAATTAGAAATGTGGGCAAAGAGGTGTGTACAGGGGTCCACCACTATGTCATTTATAGAGCTCACTGTGGGGGAGCAGGCTGGGTCCGGTGAGAGGGATTATGTGGCACATGCCATAGGGAAATGCCCCGCTGTGCTCGGCCACACCTCAGGGCACAGCGTGCGGGGCAAAGTGACCCGTCTGAGGAGGCTGGAAACTTCATTCCTCTTTAAATGAAGTACCCGGAAAAGAGTAAGGAAATACACTGCAGCATGCTGGGCAGCCGGACACACGTGGGAGTCAGAGAGATTAGTCCCTCCTTTGTTCTGCACTTGCCAAATTGTCTCTGGTAAGCATAATTTTTTATAGCTAGAAAAAAATAATGATTTATAGGATTTTTGTGAAGTTCTGTAATGGCAATTTTTTTGCCTTTCAGGGCAGGATTACTTTCTTGAGAATGTTACTTTTTAGCAGAACTTCCTGTCACTAAATCTGCCTCTTTAAGTATATCTTACATAGACGCACTGTAAGGACAGGCTCCGTTACGTGGGAGCCCGCTGTTACGAGGGTGCCGAGCCAGGCTGCCTTGTGCTCAGATCCCCCCTGCGGAAAGGAGGTGAGTGTATAAAGCAAGCCGGGGCCCCCGTCGGCCTTTGCTCTCCGTCTGCAGGAGCAGGACCAAGAACATGATGTGGTACGGCGTTCTCGGCACCAAAGAGCTGCTGCACCGAACCTACAGGAACCTGGAGCAGAAGGTCCTGCTGGAGGTGAGCACGGGGCCTCCCACGGCCGCGGGGGGCGGGGCTGCCCAGCGTCCTCACGGCGCACAGAGCCCCTGGGCCCTGTGGCTCCCTTGGTGAGAGCCCTGCTGCGGAAGGGCCTGGGTGACCCCGTGTGTCTTCTCCTTTTCCTGCCTTTCTGCTGCTCAGTGTGACGGGCGACCCATCCCACTCCCCAGTCTCCAGGGAATTGCTGTCCTCAACATTCCCAGCTATGCTGGAGGGACCAACTTCTGGGGGGGCACCAAGGAAGATGATGTACGTATGAGGGTGCTGGATGGTGTGGGCCCAGGCTCGGGGCGTGGGTACCTGGAGTGTCAGCCACTTCGACCCTGATGGGGCATCCTGGCCCACCTGGTGTGACATGGAGGGATGGGTGGGATACCTCCCTTGTGCTGGCCGTGGGGGGACAGTGGAGAACGAGGCAGGGTCCCCAATTCACAAGAAGGGCCTCTGAGAAGGACAGATGTGATCAGAGGAACTGGTGTGATGTGGGAGCTGAGAAGGCTTCTAGGAGGAGACATCTATGCTGAGACCTGCAGGGAGCCTTGGGGTTGGCCAGGTCACGTGGAGTTGGGGGTGGGGAGGGCAAGTTGGGGAGGCTGCTCCCGGCAGAGGGAACAGCATGTGTGAAGGTGTGGTGGCGAGAGGGCGTGGTGCACAGAGGAAGCTCTCCGAGGGCCATGTGCAGCGTGTGGAGTGCAGAGCTGTTAGAGCTAACGTAAGTTAGTAGTCAGAATGGGGTTGCATAAGCCTGGGACGAAGTTTGGAGTCTGTGCCAAGAACTGTGGGAGGCCTTAGTAGGTTTTAACTGGGGGTGTGACTTCCTTTGTACGGAATCGCTAAGAAAGATAGTTGACTCTAGTTGCATTTGCATACATACTATATGCTGTCGCTGTTCTAAGTACTGTGCACATTTCCTCATAAGAACCTCCTGGGAATATACCAGTATTATCCCCATTTTACAACTGAGGAAGAGAGAATTTTAATTAAGTAACTTGTCCAGGGTCCCATGGCTTGAAAGTGGCAGCTGCAGGATTTGATCCCAGGCAGCCGGTTTCAGGGTCGGTACTAGAAGCCGTGTAGTGGCGTATTCCCCTTACCCCTGCTGCTGCAGCGAGGATGCCCCGGGCCCTGTGTCTAACCAGTACAGCAGCCCCAAGTGAGAAGAGTGCAGGTAGGGCATGCTCGCAGAAGTTAGAGCAGCGGTCAGCTCTAACGTGGGCCCTTGCAGACGTTCACAGCTCCGTCATTCGATGATAAGATCTTGGAGGTGGTCGCTGTGTTTGGCAGTATGCAGATGGCTGTGTCCCGCGTCATTAAGCTGCAGCATCACCGAATTGCCCAGGTACTGCCATGGCCCTGCAGGCGGGGTGGAGGAGCCTGGGAGGCAGCCTGGCTCACAGGCTTGGAGGGGCAGAGCCTGGCCCAGAACTGCAGTCCTTGATAAATGTGACCCTGGTACAGAGCCGGCCAGGGGTCACCTTCCAGGATGGCCCCTGGCGCCTCCTCCTGCTTCAGAGCCCTTTTTCACCTGCTGCATTTGACAGTTAAAAACCAGTCCTTCCGAACTAGGGCCAACTTGAACCCAGCCTGAGTTCCCTGTGCCAGCTCTCCCTGTGGTAGCGGCTGTGTCCCAGCCCTCCTGGGACGGGGGTGAGATGAGACAGGCCCACTGAACCCGGCCCAGTGCCTTCAGCTTCCGGAAGTGGAGCCTGAGTTTGGGAATGGAGGCTGAGTGAATGTGACCTGTGGGCCCTTCTAAGGCCCAGCTGGAGAGGGGAGATGGGGCCTAGGCTCCCCGAGGACTTCTTGCAATGGATTGGGAAGGGCCTGCCTGTCAGTAGGGCTGGGAAGGTGGTGTTCTTACAGCACACAGAGTATACGGGTGGGGGGTGCTCATAGCACAGCTCACCTGCACCCCAGGCTGTGATCATCCAGTGATTCCTGCCCCAGACTGTCTCCATAGGGTGCTGCTTCGATTTTTCAATTTTAACTCTTCGGCAGTAGTTTTTGTCAAAGAGAGGACTGGCATGTCATTAACCTCTTGTTGGGAATGTGCTCTGTTCTGGCTGGGAGTGTTGGCGCGGGCCCAGGGACCCAGCGGCCCTTGGTGGTCATGATCTCCCCGCTGCCCTCCTGGGCTCATGCCAGAGCAGTGACTTCTCACTGCCGGTCCCAGACGCAGTGCTGTGCGGGGGGCGCAGGGCGGGCTGAGCTGACCGCAGAGGCGGTTGGCTGTGGGCACCCTAGAGGTTGCCTGGCACCAACCGGGGCACAAAGATGGGAGGCTCCCACAGCGCTGAGGCAGCTCTTTGAGGATCCTTGGTTCAGCACGGTGCATGAGTAATGGCTCAGCTGTTCCCGCAGTGTCGCACGGTGAAGATTTCCATCCTGGGAGATGAGGGCGTGCCTGTGCAGGTGGACGGAGAGGCCTGGGTCCAGCCCCCGGGATACATTCGGATTATCCATAAGAACCGGGCCCAGACGCTCACAAGAGATCGGGTGAGAAGGCTGCCTGTGGGGACCCGGAAAGAGGGCCCCCGCGCTTGCCCGGGGCACCCGTATGCATATTCTGCGAGAAGACCTGGAGCTGTTAGTGTTTCCTAGGAGTTTATTTTTGTCGCTAAGGCTAAGTGAACAGGGCTGTAACTTGGAGGACCATTCCCCCTCCGCAGCGCACAGAAGACTTCTGTGTCTCCTTTTCTGGTTGCCGTGCTGGTGACCCGGTGATGTTTGTTGTTAGCGTGAGCTTGCCTCTGAGACGCGGGAGGTGTTAACGCCGAGTTCCTGTGCCCTAGGCCTTTGAGAACACCCTCAAGTCCTGGGAAGACAAGCAAAAGTGCGAACTGCCTCGCCCCCCATCTTGCTCTCTGCACCCGGAGATCCTGTCCGAGGAAGAGGCCACCCAGATGGACCAGTTTGGGCAGGCGGCGGGAGCCCTCATCCACAGGTGGGCTCTTGCCCTCCTGCACGGTTAGCCTGCGCCCCCTGCAGCGCTGGGCCCTGCCAGCCTCCGGGCTCCGCCGTCGTTGCTGGGCGCAGGCGTTGAGCTTCACTTGGGTCTTGCGTGCCAGTCGGTCTCCGTCACGAGGCTGGGGGTTTTGCTCACCCTGCACTTTGGTTAGGTCCACTTTGAGAGGTTTAGGTCTTTGAGAGATCGTGTGGAGTTTTTGTAGCTGGAAGCTTAAAACCCACAGGCGTTTTCAGAGCCAGCTCAGATTTTAACGCCTATCCTGGATTCCTAAGAATATTTCACTTGCTGCCCCCTTTACTGCCCCAGAGAGCTGCTTTGACCTTGCAGCAGTGTTCACAGCTCTGCCCACTGTCTGTGCTCCCCGCCCCTCTGGGAGGGTCATGCTCAGCCTGTGACCGACCTTTGCCCTCTCAGTTGCCACATCCGATGACCCTCTTCAGATGCTGCCCGGTTGTTTTGCCACCTCCTGGTGTGCCCTCACCCCCTGACCAGCCCCCCTGCCTCCTCCTGGCCTCCTCGCCATCCTTCCTTGCCAGGAGCACTGTGGTCCTGGAGATTTGGGGATCTGCCTGCCCTTCTAGGCTCCTCTTCCCATACCTTCTCCCCAGGCACCAGGCCCTCGGCCAGTAGGCTGGGAGCTCTCACGGGCATCCAGTAGGCGTTTCCGGCTCAGCGCGTCCCTCTGGCTCCATGTCCTTCCCCAAGAGCACGTGTTCTCCGTCTCAGGTGGTCGCTCCACCTCTGTCCCCCCAAATCAGTAACCACACCTCACTTCTTACTTATTTACCCAATTAGTTGCTGTGCAACCAGCTTCTAGCTGCCTTCCGTTTTCACTCTTGTCCCCGCAAAGCCAGTGGCCTCCTGGTGGCCTGCCGGGAAGGTGAACATGCTGTGTCCTTGCCTTGTTTGAAGTCCATCGGCAATCCCCCGTTTTCCCTGGGGCCAGGGCATGTCGCTCCCCACCCAGTTGCCCTGACTGTGCTCTCTGCCTGCCCCTGCTGCCCCCACCCTCCATGTCCAGCCCTGTCACTGCCTTATATTTGGGTGGCTCCCTTGGGCAAGAGGCTAGTGCCTGGGGCTGTGTCCCAGGGTCTGAGCCTTTTTTAAGCCAGGATTGTCCCCCTTGGGAGGGTCCTGTCATTTCCACTTAGCAGGGCAGGCACAGCCCCCTTACAGGAAGGGTCAGGGCCGCCATGCAGGAGGCCTATAAACTGGGCTATTTACCAGCTTGCCATTTGACAGGGTGTTAAGTTTCATTTTGGGCATTTTCTTGCAGGATCAAGTTGCTAGAAAAACTTAGATTTTGATGTTAGATTTCTTGTTTAAGATCTTTTGTTTGCCATTCGTCAGGAAATGATCAGTAAGGTCATCCTGTGCTGGTTATTATGATCGAACCAAGCCCTCTGGGCTTAACCTTGGCTTAACCTGGGCTTGTGCTGAGGGAGGTGACCTTACAGGCCCCCTCCGCCTGACCTGAGGAGCCCCTGTTTTCCTTGCTCTCTAGTATCCGGGAGATAGCCCAGTGCCATCGGGGCGTGGAGCAGGAGCTCGCCCACGCTGTCAATGCCAGCTCCAAGTCCATGGACCGCGTGTACAGCAAGGCCAGAGCCGCGGAGGTGCCTGCGCCGCTCAGGTCTTCCTCCCCCGGACCACTGGGGCCCTCGGGGCTGCTGCATGGAGCCTCTTCAGGTTCCTCTACGGGGCTGAACTGCAGCTTTGTCCTGGAAATGGTGAATAACATCAAAGCTCTGCGCAGTGAGACGGAGCTGCTGCTGGCTGGCAAGATGGCCCTGGTGAGCTGAGAGGCCAGGCCCCTGCTGGGCGTGAAGTGGCCATTGTTGCACAAAGGGTGGCACATGTTAGTCCAGAATTTCTGGCCTTAAGAATTTGGGACTCGGTGTCGGAACGGGTCTCAGAGGTCATCTAGTCTGACCACTGGCTGGTGAGACTTCTGGCCACATCTCAGTGTCATCCCCAGCTTGTCAGAGACTGTGGACAGGAGCACCTTTGTTGGTGTAGATGAAGAAGATTTGGTACATATACACAATGGAATATTATTCAGCCATAAAAAAGAAAGAAATCCTGCCATTTGCAACAACATGGATGGATCTAGAGGGTGTTTATGCTAAGTGAAATAAGCCAGACAGAGAAAGACAAATAACATATAATTTCACTTACATGTGGAATCTAAAAAAAAACAAAATGAACAAAACAGCAGTTGAGAGTCTTAGAAGTGACTGATGGTTACCATGGGGGAGGGGTTGGGGTGGGTGATGGGGACAAAGGGGCACAAAATTTCTCAGTCATAACAGAAGTTGGTCACAGGAATAGTAGTACAGCATGGAGAATATAGTCAGGGAATCTGCAATCTTCCTATGTTGACAGATAGTAATGCACTAGTGGGGGTGAGGATTCAATAATACGGTGACTGCTGAACACTGTTGTATACTTGAAACCAGTATAAGATTGTGGATCAGCAATACTTTAATTAAAAAAAGAGTGAAGCAGAGAAAGTGTCAGCCCTGCTGCTGTCATTTTCAGATAAGCTGGGTTTACTGCATTATTTATGACAGGAGTTGATTCCCACCCTGATGCGTCTCAGAAGGGGGGGTTCTGAGTGTGGCCCCTGAGCTGGTGCTCTGTGATCGCGTCTCCTTGGGAGGTCCTGTAGGGTGCGCTCCGCCTCTGCAGCGGTCTGCGCTGGGCCGGCCGGGGGCTTTGCTGCGGCCCTCACTCCTCGCTGCTGACAACCGCTGTGTCTCTTTCCTCCCCGCCTGGAGCAGCAGTTGGACCCCCCACAGAAGGAGCGGCTTGGGGCTGCTCTCACTGAGATGGACCAGCAGCTCCAGAAGCTGGCAGACACGCCCTGGCTGGGCCCGCCCCTGGAGCCCGGTGATGACGAGGTAGGCAGGTCCCGGACCCCCAGCTCGGGTGCCCTGGGCACACTGCTCCCCCTCTGATGCCTGCGGTTAGTGTGCTCTGCGCGGATTGGGGATGAGGATGGTGTCAGTCTTGCAGCCCTAGTATGGCGTCTTGAGACTTGTGCCTTAAAATGCTTCCAAGCACAGAGACAGACTAGCAGGCAGGAGGGAGCCGGGAGCCGGCATCAAGAACCGTCCTTGCTGAATGGGGCAGATGGAGACAGAACTGTGGGGCCCGGCCAGCCAGGGAGTACATAGACGGCAGGCGGAGCCCAGCCCCGTGTGTGCCGTAGCCCAGGGACACGTCGGCAGGATAAGTGGCAGCTTCCCTGAAGCCGCTGCTGGCAGGGATGGAGGTGGTGTGGACTCACAGCCATGCTTTTCTTCCATGCATCCGCCTGCCACGGTTCCAATAGCTGGATGTGCAGCAGGCGCACAGGCAGGGGAGCCCAGGAGAGGAGCTCATTGGATGCTCAGTCTTTATGGCAGCATCTGGGCAAAGGCAAAGCCTAGACTGCCTTCCCCCCCAAGTGCCAGGAGAAAAGGTCACCAGAGGGCAACACAGGCTCACGAGATAAAGACCTGCTGCGCGCTTCACACTGGGTGCCCGGCCACCAGCCTCGTTGGTTGGAATCTGTAGGCCGCACGGCGAGCATGCAGAGCAGGGCAGCCACGTCCATGTCTTTCCCGAACACACGGCATTTGTTGACAGGTGCAAACCCTGTGTGGAAAGTGGGCTCGAGGCCCTCTAGGCAAGCAACAAACCTCGGTAACTTAAGAACAAGGACTTTGGGTTACAGGGTCAGGCCAACCTTATCAAAATTGGTTAATTATAAGGTTTTCATTTAAAAGAAAGTTTCTAAAATAACGATATATGAAATGTTCAACAAATGTAACAGTAACCTAGCCCCATAATTCCAGACTAAATCATTGGAACCTGTAGAGTGGACAGTGAGGTAGGGAGTCTGGGCCGAAGACGGGCAGAGGGAGGGAAGCACATTAAGTCCCTTACCCTGTGGTGGAAGGAGGAGTTCTTGACTGACAACTGGGTGAATGTAGGGTCAGTAATGTTTTAAAAAACTTTTAGGTAGTTTCTAGTAGAATTGAAGACTTAATGTCTTTCCAAAGCATTGCAGAAGACGAAACACAATGCGGTCTGTACGGCAAAAGAAAGTGAGGGGCTGGCCAATAGCTGACAGCATGAAAATAAGATGATAGAAACAACAGAGCTTCCACTCTTAAAAGCGAATTATTACCAGATCGTGTTAGAAAAGAAGTCTTATCACGTACTGATCATAAGAGCCCGGTTTTCTCTCCAATAAAAACTTATGACACAGAAAGATTAAGAAGACAAAATTAAAAAAACCCAAAGGAGCCACACTAATATAAAAATAGAATTGCATAATTAAGACAGTAAATGATAAAGATCACTTTATGTTGTAAAAATATGATTTTATAATAAAATTTGTTTTTGTCTTCTTGATCTAGCAATCACTATTGAACTCGGACTACAAAGTACATGCCTCAATTTATCTTTGTGGTTTTGTGTTTCTGCTTTATCTTATCTTGAGGCTGTGTTATCAGGTAGATGTAGGTTTTACCATGATGTAAAGACCTTTAATAATTTGTATTTTTATTTTCAAGTCCACTTGTTTGGTAATTTTTTTTTCATGCTTTTATCTTCAAGCTTTATTGGAATTGTCTCTCTTATAAATAACATATGCTAAATGCTGGGGTTTTCTCCAGTGTGGTATGCTGTGCTTCAGAGCGGCCCGATTATTGGTATATTTAGATATATTTTTACCATATTTTGTGGTTTGTATTCTTCCCACTTTCTTTTTCTCCGTTTTGAGCGATGAGTCTCTCTTTCCTCCCACATAATTTTGTTTGTGCTGTACTGGTTTGGAAATTCAGTCGACTCTTGAACAATACAGGGGTTTGGGGCACTAACCCCCAGCACAGTTGAAAACCCACCTCTAAGTTTTGATCCCCTTAAAACTTTACTAGTAACCTATTGTTGACTGGAAGCCTTACCAATAACATAAAGAGTTGATCAACACATATTTGGTACGTTATATGTATTTATATGTGGTATTCTTACAATAAGCTAGAGAAAATGTTTTTTCAAATTGTTGGAAGTTTCCAAAAAAGTTTTCAATATATTTATTGAAAAAAATCTGCAGTTTATTTTGAACTGGCTCTGTGCAGTTCAAACCCATGTTGTTTAAGGGTCAATATGTTCTCTATTCTTTTAGTGACTACCCCTCAAATTTTAATTTTGATTTACAGGCACAAAGTATATGAAGTGAAAACTAAATTGTAGTGTGAGCCATCACACAGTCCATGATCAATTATGTGCACTGTATCACAGCATTTGAGCAAAATTGAAAAGACGTGTATAATAGAATATATACAAATATATATCCTGTTTTTCTATAGGGAGAATTTTATGCTCTATAAAGGGGGAATATGCTCTCTTTTCTGTTGCTCGTAGGACATTTTCAAAATGTTAGTATAGGCTAGACCAGCTCCTGACAGCAGGAAACACCAGTACCATTATAGAAATTGAGAGTAAGAGTTTAGAAAAATTAAAGCAACTGACAGAGAAATTTTATTTTACATTCAGAACATTGAGGTTTGTATTTTGTATGTCCTTTTAAAAGTTTCCTTTTTCCAGTAACTTGCCTTACTGTGTTTCGTTGAAGTGCCAGATCCGGTATGGCTTGGAGATGTTTAAAGCCGGCTCTGGACTACGGGGAGACCTGAGATAGGGACTCGGAGCAGAAACTGGGCTGGCTGTCAGCTGTCGCCCCCTGCGCCTGTGCCCTGCCTGCCCGGGATGGGTGGCTTCCCCCTGCACGCGGATTCCATCCGAAGACACAGGGACAGCCAGGATTCCCTCTGTTCATGCGCCGCGCGGTAGTTCAGGAGTGTTATTTGAATTCATGCTGCAGCAGGAGGTCCGCAGCCTGCCCAGGCTGCAGGGTGACCAACCAGCGTGTTTGTTTGGACCTTTCTGGTCTTAGTCCTAAAAGCCCATGGAACAGGGATTATAGCTACAGTGCTTTAAGCCTCAAAATGTTTTAGAAATAAGGCACCAAATGCTGTAGATGTGCCGCAGAAACAGACAAAGCCATGCGAGGCCCCCAGGATGTCTGCCCCAGTGGGTCCTGTAAGCCATGTCTGAGTGGCTCTGGTTTTAAGAGTTCTTGTATGTGCACTGGTTTTGCCGTAGCTGGTGGGAGTGGCGCAAACGGTGCCTGAGTGGAGGTTTATTTGCAAAAATCGGAAACCCTATAGCGCCAGCTGGGCAGAGCAGTGAGGTGGGGCAGTCCCTGCAGACAGTTCTGCATGGGGCCCGAGGCCCGAAGCCACAGCCCGGAGGCCCAGGCAGGGAGGGAAACGCGGCTCGCTCCTGGGCCGCACTTGGGCCCCCGACTTCTCCAGCCTCCTCTGCTGGCCACCTTACAGCTCGGAGCATCCACCCTCTGGGGCCCTGGCCCAGGTTAAGAGATGGGGATGAGGCACAAAGGGCCGAGGGGCCTTGGAGGGGATGGTGCACGTTTCTACTGGCATAAAAATCGGAATCATTTATTTGAAAGCAAAAAAAAGTGGTAAGTCTATGAGCTAGGTCTTTGAAAGTAAAGAGAAATAAACTACCCGTTAGCAAACACCATCAAGGAAAAAATGAACAAGATGAAGTGATAAAGGGAATATGGCAGTAGATAAGAAAATAAGTTACATTCGGAGAAATGCTGATACATTTTAAAATCTTGATGAAACTTTTTCAAGAAAATTTCAAATTACATAGATTAAATCTGAAGTCATTTAAAAAAAGCATCCATAGAACACCTTGGAAAAGTACCCTAAACATTGCTTCCATAGGAAAAATGTCAAGGAATGTGTGGTTTCCAGATACAAGAAACAGTATCGAGCCTCCAAAAGGATGGCCAGTATTCTAGTTCATTTTTTAAAATTTTGGTAAAAAGTGAAAAATGTACCACATTTGTCATTTTTAAGTGTATAGTTCAGGAGTGTTATTTGAATTCATGCTGTTGTGAAAAGAGATCTCCAGAAGTTTCAAACAGTTATTTTTAAAACTAGCACATCTGATTCCAAAATTCAGTAGTATCAGTAAATGTATAAAAGTCATAGAGTTGACGAAAGAAGTTCTTTATAAAAAAAATTCCAGCTGGAAATCACAGGAGTAAAAGGCATTTTGCGTCTCTGGGGAACACCTAGATTTGGGCAGCTGATGAATGCAGCCCGTCACCCAGGACATCTTCAGCCCCAAAGGCCCCTCTCAGTCTGTCCGTCTCCTCCCGGTCAGGGGTGGAGAGGGTTGAGGCCAGCCAGGTGGGGCCCGCCTCACACGCAGACCCAGGCCCTGCGGACAAGCCAAGCCCAGTGTCCCGGGGCTGCCTCAGGGTTCTGAGGCCAGCAGACCTCGAGGAATGTGAGCCTCTGACCGCAGAGATGTGATGCGCGTGAACTCATCAGGGGTGAATGGATTCTTGGTAGCGCTGAGTGTGATACCGGTGCTGTATTATGGTTTAAAAAGTATTCTTGTCTTTTCGAGTTGCATAGTGGAGTATTCATGAGTGGGTCACTTTGGTGTCTGAAATTTGCTTATTTTAAAAGGCAGGGTAGACGAAATAAGATAACATGTTGATAATCAGCCTCATTGAGGTAGTCTATCCATCCTATGAGTTAATGAAAATACCCATATTAATAATAAATGTATTGCTCATGTATGCATTTAAAAAAAATTACAAAGTCAGGAATAGGATTTTGCTTGGATCATGTCACAGAGTATGTACCCTGCACTGCCCACACCGCCCCCCGCCTCCCTGACAGGCAGGTGCTAGCTTGTTGAGGGCGATGGCCTCTGGGAGCAGCTGTTAGAATCAATAGTTGGCAATTTTGCCAAGTATAAGAAATTTATAAAAATAAGTTACGTGGATACTCAAAATCGTTGATGGCCAGTATCATTTCACAGTCCTCCCTCATAGTAGAAAACCTAAAACACATGCCTTGGATAAACCCACGAGGGCTGTAACAAGCACAAGAAGATTGAGCGGCGCGGAGAGCACATCCCAGAGATGCCCTTTCTTTCCCTGCTCTGGGTTTGGTGCGATTCCAGTGAAAGTTCCTATGGAGTTTTTTTCAGTGTGACCACATGTGCCCGGTCAGACTGGAAGGAGTCATGAAGCTGCAGCCTATCCTTGCGGGTTTGTGGGGATGTAGGCAGATAGGACCCTGGGGCAGCGTCCAGGCCAGCGGGGAGGAGATTGGCACACCTGAAAGATCAGGGGATTATGCTTTTTTTGCAAATGGGGGTTGAGGTGGTTGGCATACACAGGTTTGTGTGTGCGAACACTTCATCACGCCGGAGACGCCTGTCCTAGCTTCTGTGGGACTGCAGTCAGAGGAGAGGGGGCCCTGTTAGCCCTGCCAGGCCCCTGCACTGCTGGGGGGCAGTGTGGCTACTGAGAGGGAAAACAGGCACCCCAAGGCCCTCTTATTTCCCTGCCTCGATGATTCTGCCTCAAGGAGAAGATTCCAGAGAAAGACTGCAAAGTACAAGAAAAGCTGTATTTTTACTCAGAGCGCTGGTCAGCTTCTAGCTCCATCCTGGGAAATTGGGGGGCACATAGCTTACCAAGTAGTCTTCCCACAACAGGGCTGATAGTATTCACAGAGCTTTTTAATCGCATCAGAAATGCACGTCATAAAATGAAAAAATGCAATATGAAAATAGACTGTGATCACTGTGAAACCACTCTCAAAAGGCATTGGAAATCAATAGATAGAAGACTAAAAATAAGGGAAAACACAAGAATAAATGATCGGTGGAACACACGCCTTTCTTAGCCTCTGCCCTCTGATGGTAACGCGGCTGCCTGGCCAAATTCGGCTCTGATCCTGTTTCTCGCTTCCACCCGCCAGAATGTGATGTTGGATCTTTCCAAACGCAGCCGCAGTGGCAAGTTCCGCCTGGTGACCAAGTTTAAGAAAGAGAAGAACAACAAGAACCGAGAGGCGAGCAGCAGCCTGGCAGCTCCGGGTACCTGCCCTCCTGCTGCCCTTCCCGCCATCCTGGCCAGCGCCGTGCAGGCCTGGCCTGGTGCGCTCCCCTCGTGGGCCCTGGGCAGCCCCGGCCCGGCCTGCCCGGGCGTCTGCCCGTAGCTGTGGGGCGCTGGTCATTGCCACTCCCTGGTCTCCCTCCCCGTGCACTCTGGGTGGCCGGCCACTGAGCCGCCTGCCTGCCTGCCTACGGGGGGGGGTGCGGGGTGGGGACAGGACAGCAGAGGTGACGACTCTCAGAGACATGCTCACACTCGGGCTGGGAACCGGCCGCCAGTGATTGTGGGTGGTGAAATCAACAGCAAGTGGCACTAAAGGACATTTTTCCTTTGGGTCAGTAATTTGGGTCTTAAATCTGAAGTGCCGCTCCTGAGTATGGCTGTCCCCAGCACCCTTACGTGCCAGGCCCCAAGCCTGGATTGGGGCTGCTGGTGGCTGCCAGTAAGGGCAGCTCCATTTGATTTTTCTTTGCATGTTTGTGCAGAAATTGGGTTTCTTTTGATGGTGCCTCTGACTCAGTGAGGTCTCTGCATGCCTCCCTCCCTGCTGGAGCCCGAGTGAAATGAACCCTCTAGAAGGCGGAGGGAAAGCTGGCTCAGCTGTGCAGATGGGCATTTCCCTCCTATTTGGTGGCGTCTGGTCCCTCCTGGGACACTGGGGAAATGTCCAGAAGGCTGATGGCCGACCCGCAGGGATGGACAACAGCTGCTACAGCCCAAGCCCCGTTGGAGTGGGTGGCTCCTGACTGCTTTGCACAGCTTGGGGTTGTGTGGCTGCTGGGGTGCCTGGGTGCTGCTTCTGGGGTATCGGGTGTGGCTGCTGGGGCACTGGTGGCCCCCTGCCTCGCGCTGGGCTCTGGGCACTCACTGCACTGGTGCTTCTCCGTCTCCGACAGTTCACCTCTGGGGCACAGAGGAGGTTGCCTCCTGGCTGGAGCACCTCAGTCTCTGTGAGTATAAGGACATCTTCACGCGGCACGACATCCGGGGCTCTGAGCTCCTGCACCTGGAGCGGAGGGACCTCAAGGTACTTCCACAGCCTCTCCTGGGACCTGTGTGGGCTCCTCCGCCCTCCGTTCTTCGTCCCCTCCCCCGACCTGCCACCGCCCAGCATGGGGTGGTGTGGGGCGGTGCCAGGCCACCTGCCTTGACAGTGATGCCCCCGCTCACGGCAAACACAGCAGAGCGATGGGGCCCTTGCCTCGTCCAGCTGGGCAACGAGCCACTTCAACATCAAAAACCCTGCTGGCAGACACGACCCTGTTGAGTCAGCTGGGGAGCACTTGGTGGGACAGCTGCACGCGGGGTCCCTCGGGCCACAGGGTCCCATTTGGTCAGGAGGCTGGGCTGCTGGCCGCACCTCCCCTCTCTGTCCCTGCCCTGCCCCCCCCCGCCCCTCTCCTTCCCTCCCCTCTTCCTCTCTCTTCTCCTCCCTGGCCCGTGTTCCATTTGCCCCCTCCCCTCCTCTGTCCCCTCCCTGGCCCATGTTCCATCTGTCCCCTTCCCTCCACCCCTCCTCTGTCCCCTCCCCGGCCTGTGTTCTTCTGTCTTGCTCAAGGTGCCCTTGCTGAAGTCAGAAACTTTAGGGTCGCACCTGCGTGCTTGTGATTGACACTGTTTCCACGTCATGTGGCCATTCCGTCATGTCCCCCTCGTTGGTGTGCACCAGGCCAGTAGGGAGGTCGGTGGCCCTGGCCAGCGCTGCCCGGCATCAGGGTGTTGTCCTCTCGTTGCAGGACCTTGGCGTGACCAAGGTGGGCCACATGAAGAGGATCCTGTGTGGCATCAAGGAGCTGGGCCGGAGTTCCCCTGCCACCGAGGCCTAGCCTCGGCCCTCTCGGCCTGCGTGCTCCGCCCTGCCCGCGACTGAGGCCCTGGGGGCGCTGCCGCGGCGCCCCCATCCCTTCTCCTGGTGCTACCCCTCTGCCCGCGACAGGACGCCCCCCAGGCACCCCACCGCGGCAGCTCCGGGCCTGACACAGCAACGCAGCTACCTTGGGGACCGTGCCGTCTCCAGCCTGGCATCGGGGGTCAGCCTGCTGCTGCCGTCTGCCCAGCTGACCACCAGGCCACACTCACGGCCCTGGGGTCCTTTGGTGGTGCGCCAGCTGCTGGTGACCCTCATCAGCAAGGCCCTTACCATGGCCCTGCCCTCCCTGGTGGCAGCGTTCCCAGCCATGGTCATTTTGGTCTGACGTGGAGAAAAGGAAAGCTGGCTGCTCGGGCGGTCGGCCCCAGGGCTGGGGAGACCCCCGCCTGTGGCCTGAAGCCCTCCGTCCGAGGCTGCGCCCCCGCCTCCTGAGCTGTGGGCATGGTTGTGCGGCGTGCTGTCCCCAGGACGCCGTGGCCTGCACAGCACTGGGGGGCCGTGCGGGAGGGTGGCCGCCGTGGCTGGGGACGGTGTCTGCAGCAGTGCAGTGTTTCCAAGAGGAAGCCCCCTGGGCCCGCTCGCCCCCTCCCTTGGTGGTGCGTCCGCCCTGGGCGTGCGGCCGTCCGAGGGCCGTCCTCTGCCCCTGGCCCTGCGGGTGGCTCCTCGGCTCCGGCTTTTGGAGGCGGTGAGGGACCGGACCCCCCGCCCGTGCTGCTGTGCTCCCCACCCCCATGCCCTCCCCTCCACCCTGTGATGGCCGAAGCTTGCAGGGACATGCAGCCCAGCCTGGAGAGGGGTTCTTGATGCAGCCCTGGGTGAGGGGCAACTGCACCGGCCAGGCCGTCACCCCACCCTCTGGTTTGCTTCACCCTATTTGTCCGTGGGAGGCGCTGGGCAGGAGGTGCTGAGGGCGTCCTCAGAGGCTCCCTGTAGTGGGGCTCCCTGTGGGGCTCAGCCCAACAGCATTTACCTGCCATCAGCTCCACAGACCCCTCTGCTGGCCGCCCTAGTGGCATGTGCCCGGGCAGGCCCCTGCCTGTGGTTTGGGGGTGCCCCCACCCTGGCGTCTCTTCCCGGCCCAAGGCTCGGGCGGAGGCCCCCGCCCCGCGTGGAGCAGTGGGGTTTGTTTTTGGCCGTCTTGCGCCCCATGTGCACGCTCGCTGCCCCGTGGAGGGGCGCCCTGGCAGCTGTGCATTGCCTTTTCCTGACACAACCCCCGTTGCAGACGGCAGGTGGAGGGAGACCATCTAGCCTCCAGAAACCGATTTCCGAGTAGAACAGGCTGGGGAAGACCATGAAGACCCGGACCCGTGGCCCCAGAACAGGTCTGCTCTGTGCTGGGGGCGCTGGGGGCTCTCAGTTCCCCGAGCAAGCGCCGGACTAGCGAGAGCATGGGTGAGAGCGCGCGAGCGGTGGCGGCCACCCCTCGCCGGCAGTGTCCTCCCTGGCCAGGAGCCCCCTAGGTTTGGGTCAAGCGTGGTGCTTAAAATTAATATGTTGTCAGTAATGAAAGCAACACTGTTTACGTAAAATAATTTTTTGTGATTCTAGTTAAGTTAGAAGCGAAGGGAATAAACCAGAGTGTTGCATGCGGCTGTCGGGAAGGGCCGGCGCGCTAGGCTCCTTGTGGTCTCTGTTGCTGTACATGTGGGGCTGCTCTTCCGCCCGTCCCAGTCCCCTGCCGGGGGCTGGACATTGCCCCTGGTTCTGGGGGCGTCTCATGGCCCTGCCAGCGTGGGAGGAGGAAGGAAGGATCCTGGAGTCTTGGAGAAAAGGTTTTGTGCCCTCGGGTGGGGCTTACCCCTCATATTTATGATTTTAATTTATACAGTGCCCACCGTGGAAGCAAATGCCTCCTGTGTTGCTATGTACATATCCACATCTGGGGTTGTAAATAAGTTGTCTGTGTATAAATAAAACAAGCCTGTTTTTGATGTTGTGTTGTCAGATTTGTTGTCATTCCTGTGCTTTGACATAAAATACTTGTCGCCAAAATCTTTCCAAACTGGGTTCAGAATTGTGTTTCTCCACTGCTAAAAATAAGTTGAATTGGTGGTGGCTGAAAAGCAAAACAGAATGGCATTGTTTTTTTTAGGGTGTGGCTTCTAGAATCTACTGAATTAAAACCTCAGCAAGAAGGCGGAGCACTGGGTGACTGAGCGTCTCAGACTTAATTCCCATGCAGCCTGGGTCCGGTCTCCTGAGGCTGGGCCACTTTACCTAACATTCTAACCCTCCTAGATCTTTTATGTAAAACTGCAGACCAGAAGCTCTCCTCCTGCCTTTTTTTAGTCACAGTATCTTTTTCCCCAGGGTGTGGCATCTCCAAGCGCAAGGTCGCTTTGTCATCTGTTTCCTGGGGTGAGGGTTGGGGCCTGGAATCATGGAATCAGAAATCAGTGTACAAACGGGATGCGTGGGCTTTGGACATGTCAGTTGCTTCCCCAGTGGCTTTCTGTTCCTTCTTTCCTTAACAGAGCCCCAGTTTTGTCCTGGTTACCCCCTTCCTCCATGAGGCCATCCAGGATCCAGCCTCGTGGTTACAAGATGGCTGCTACCATTCCAGCCATCATCCAGACATGACCATGCCCGGGGAAAGGTGTGTGTACTTGTCTCTTCCTGAGATAAAAGGAACCTTTTCAGAAGCCCTGGCCTCTGATCTCCCCAAGGTCTCACACTCTAGAACAGCATCACGCACCCATGACGAAACCCACGTGTGCACAGAATAGGCCCATGCCGGTGATGATTGCTCACAATGCTCATGTACATTTGCAAGACTTTATGCCCGGTGCTGGCCTAAGTACTTTACACGTTAACTCATCTATTCCTCCTAACAGTCCTACCAAGTGGATATTTTACAGATGAGCAAATAGGCTCAGAGAGGTTCACAACTTGTCCCATGTCACACAGCTGACAGGTGGCAGAGATGAAAGCATGGGGCAGGTGGGCACCAGAGATCGTATCTTAAGTGCTAACCCGTGTCCTAGGCCTGACAGCAGGCTCAGCTCCCATGACGGGTGAGGCAGTAGGGCCGTGTCACATGCAGGCACCCTGGCCCTAGCTGCCTGCTGGTCGCACCTAGAGCAGGAGCAGGTCTGGGGAGGGCCGGCGGCCAGCCTCCCTCTCTTCTGCCCCAGGGTGGGCACCTCGGATGGCGCTGGGCTCCACGCAGGCAGGAGGTGAGGCAGGCAGATGCCGACCCAGAGGGGAACGGGGGATGCAAGCAGAGTGAGCCTTATTTTTCTAAAGTGTTTGCTGTTAAGAAGTGACCCTCAGCGTGCACTCTGAGCAGATATCAAACTCGATCTCATCCGACGGAAATTGAGAGTCAGGGTAGGACTATGTGCTGCTTTACAGCTCAACCCAAAATGTCATGGCTCGAACTGAAAAGTTGAGGGCAGGTGTGTTTCAGGCATGTGGGGACCCTGGCTGCTACTCGGGGGCGTGGGCTGTGTGGGGCAGTGTGGGGGTGGGCGGGTGGGGGTGCTCGGAGCCTCCTGCGCCAGCCTGGACGTAGCGCTGTTAGAAAATCCTGGAGGGATGTGGCCACGTCTCAGTGCAGGGCTGGGCAGTGCCGTCGGGGAAGGTGGGTGGCCGTGGATGGTGCTCCTCCTGTCCCTGCCCTTGGTCCCCCAGGGGGCATGAGGTCTCCCTAGGGAAGTCCCTCAGGTAACACCCACCTTGCCCCACCTTCCTCGTTTAGATGGCTTCCAGGTGTTAGCAAGGTGGGAGAGGAAGGGGGCCCTTGTGCCCCAAGCTGCCCCTTGGTGCTGTCTGGTCAGCAGTGTTCCCTCCGCCACCACGGCTGGCACCTGCCGGCTGGGGCACCAACCTTGCCCCTGTGGCCTGCACCTGCCTGGGGCGCCGACCTTGCCCCCCGCGTCCTGCACCTGCCGGCTGGGATGCTGAAGTTGCCCCTGGAGGCTGATGGCCGAGACCCAGGGGTTGCTCTCAGCCCCAGAGGATGTCCCTGGTGCCATCACCTCACCCCTGGTGGCTTCAGTCCCTTCCACTCTGGTCTGTGCCACAGGCTCCTGGCTGTGTTTACACTACATGACTGAGGGTGGCTGGGCTATTAGGCCATGGGGCTGGGGGCCCGTGCAGGGGGGACAGTTCTGACTGCCTCCCCCTCCTGCCCCCCCCTCATCGCCCTGCAGGCTGCGTGGAATGGAGGGTTCCCATTCGCCACTCCAGTGTGGCAGCGCCTGCGGAGGGACTCGGCCACAGCTGGTTGTGGATACAACTTTTGTTGGCGGCTTGCCAAACCCAAGTTCAGGTTTCTCCTGAAGGAAATAAGCTCGTGTGACTATTACCTTGTGTGGACCCTGTCTTTAAAATATTTGTATTTTGTTCACTGTGTACTTCCCTGCACTTTAATTTCTAAAAATATTGTATTGAAAATGGATCTTGATTACTGAGTTTTTGGGTGCCTGTATGTCTTGTGCTCACAGCCTCACCTCACCCTAGTTCTGGCCCTGTGTTACGTAACCTAAGTTGCAGTGTTAGAAGCTCAAGCTCTTGGCATTCGTGGGAGCCACTGCTAGACGCTTTTAAACGTCGGTTCTCCACGCCCCGAGAGGCCCCGCTCCGCCTGGGGGAAGCAGTGTGACCACATTCTCCAGGGCCTCTCCGGCAGACCCTGGTGACGTGACGAGGTTTTGGCCAAAGACGTGTAATTACTGAGACTTGCGGAGTGTTTCCTGAAACTCGCAGGACTGTGCCTTTCTCATTCCTGCCGCGGGCCTGGAGCCACTGCGGCCCAGCCACCTGCGCGGGGTTCAGTCACCAGCCAGGGAAGAGTCCTGGCTAAAACAGTCTGCAAGCGGCGATGACAGCGCCACCAGGCGAGAGGCTGCTTCCCTGGGGCGGGGCCGGCGGGAACTGGGGCAGCCGGAGGGACCTGGCGTCTGTGTGGACCACTCTCGCCGCTCCACTGCCCTCCGTGCAGTGCGGGGAACTTCCCCATGCGAACTCACTCGCACTACACTTGGGACGCTCCAGACAGCGCGTGCCTGCGACCAGAGGGAAGGAACTGCCTGTGCCCTGGTCCGGGTGGGGTGAGGGGGCCGCACAGTTAGGTCTGGCCCAGAGGGAAGCCCACCCCTCTGGAGCTGGACTTTTGAAGTCTTGGGGACTCCCGTGTGTCCCTCTGCCGGAAAAATGTCACAGGTGAATGCATGTTTTGTGCGAGGTGGTTCACTGCCGCTGCCAGTCCCATTTCCCTACAAGGAAAAGAGAACCAGACACTTCCAATTTCTTCCAGTACAATTTTCCCTATGAGTGTGAATCTTTAAAAAACCAAAGCACACTTTGGTTACTTCTAAAACCATTTTAGATTGCTGACACTGTGTGGGCGGTGCCCCCTCAGCATCTGAAGCCCCCGGGGGAAGGCCAAGGGGAGGTGAAGCAGTGCACACCAGAAAGCACGGGACTACAGCTGTGATGGTTTATTTTTTCCTTAACAGAATCTTACAGCTCTCTCCCTGGAGCCCCATGGCACCCCTGAATTAGTGGACAGATGGAAGGCAGGAGGCCTATGAGCAGAGACCCTCCCAAGGGCCGCAGGGCCCCACGAGGCACCTGCTGTCTTGTAGCGCCACGGAGGCCTTTGGCATCTCACAAAAGCTTTCCAGTGTTTACACCAACACTTTATGACCTAAAAACGAAAGGACGGGGCACACAGCAAGGCGTGTCAGCTACAGGACAGGGACAGAGGAGAGGAGCCGCACGGAAGGGCTGAGCGTCCCGCCAGTCAGCCCCATGTTCATGGTTTGGGGCTCAGAGCAAGTGGGGGGCAGCTGCGAGGATGTCGGAGCCGCCATGTGAGCGTCCTGAGACGGACTTAGTGTTTCCGAGCCTGAGAGCAGGCACCACCGTCCAACTTCCTACAGAACAACTGCTTCACAATGCACACGAACACCTCATTTGGGACCCGACAGACAGACACACACACAGAAGAGATTCAAGTTTCTAAGGGAGGTTTGGATGTGCAGGAGGGGAGCAGAGGAGGGGGGAGAGGCGTGGGGCCACTCGGACACGCTCGTCCGCACCTGCGCCTTCTTTCCTTCCTAACACTTGAGTGCTGTTTCACCATCAGTGGGAAAAGAAAGGGCTTGTGAGGAATTGTGCGGAATTAAGATGGTAGCCGTATTAGCAAGCATCTCATTTGAGGTAAGAAAGTGAAGAATTTATTCTCTCTTCTCAGGAACCCTGCCTTCAGCTAGGTTAGAGTCTGAGAAAGTGAACTAGCGTCCTAACCAGCTGGTTCACTGACACAGATGCTGTATTGTCTTTAGTGCCAATTCAGTCTCTGAAATCCGACAGAGCCACGCTGAGCTAGAGAAGACCTTTACTCCACATTTCCTTTTCCTCCTGTTTTAGGCAAGGCTACTCTCAACTGTCAACAAAGCTGCGCCAGGCCTGTCTGCCATGACTTGGCCTCCCTGCCAGGCTTCCAGATGAGGGGCTCTGGCGTCTGCAGACAGCAGCACCTCAGAATGTTCTGGAGCACCCCACCTCCCCACAGGTCAGGTGATACCTTAGAGGTACTGAGCAGCCACCGACAGCCACACCGGGGCTCCCCCATTGAGCAGCAGATGCTAACTTAGAGGATGTCCCATCTGTGTCGTCCTTCTGGAAAGAGAGCTAACACCTTAGATTCAGTTCTAACTCAGACGGAGGCGAGATGTGCTGTGCGGGGCACGGCCCATTCCGTCACAGCAGAAGCCCAGCCAGTCCACCAGTGTGAGATGGGCTGTCCGACCCTCATCCGGTGCAGATACCAAAAGTCATGTGAACAATGCAAGAGCAGAGAATGGACGTGTGCATTTTAACTGGCAGATTTGTGAGAGGTTAGCAATGTGCCACTTGTCTACGCCTGCAGTTAATACAAAACAAGTAAATCTTATAAAAACAGAGGCTGGGGTCAAATGTGGGCAAAATCTGATTGGCACCTGCCAGACACCTGCAAGTGTGTGCAAGCCCCAGGGGGAGCTGCTGTGAAGCCGAGTGATAACGTGCCATCTGCCTGGCCTGAGAAGAAAATGGCCCTCTGCTCGTGAGGAAGCCGAGGATTTGGAGTCCACTGGCAGGAAACCCAACAGACCTGCTCTCATGGAACCACGGCGCACACTGCAGCAGGAGTGCAGAGTCCCTGCTCCCACTGGCCCCCTGGCCCCACCAGGCCCCGGGACGTCAGCTGCTTCAGGACGTGCACCACCTTGGGAGCCCTGCGCACAGGGACGCCAGCAGCTGCCCACGCTATCTGAAACTTCCGACGTGGATGGAAAGAGAGGCCTCTGGCCCGCGAGGCCGGGGAGGTGTGTCTGCACCCGGGAGGACGTCGCTGCTCTGCGCACTAAGGGCTTCTCGGCTGTGGGAGACACAGAGGGCACTGCTGACTTGCAGCCCAGACACTGGGCCTCATCAGGTCGAGGGTTTGCAAGGACTCCAAAATTGACTCCAACTTTTAGGAGCAGGCGAGAATGGGTCTCCGGGACGTGCGTTTGCAATTTTGACAGATATTTCTAAACTGCCTGGCCAGAGGACCTCTGTCTACAGCCAGCAACCCACGTACAGGATAGTGGGTGCCCACAGTGGGTCAGACTAGGGGTCCAATTTGCTAGGTGTAGCTGTCTACAGCAGTCATCTTCCCTTTATCTTCTGAATCAAAGTGTAATATTCATAGAAGCACAAACTGTAAATATTGAGCTCCATGAATCGCTCTAAGTGCACATGGGTGACACACAGAGGGCATGTCTTGCTCGCTGCTGTCACACTATGCCTGACACACTGCTAACAAGACACGGAGGGGTTGGAGGGGAGGATGAGGTGGTGAGCAGGGGCCACTGAGGCAGGTGAGTTACAGCAGAGGCTCCCGTGGCAACTCAAGAACAGGAAACCCACCATGCCCGAAGCTCTGACAAGGGGGGCAGGCCAAGCCATGAGGAAACTGGCAGTGAGGCCGACCCCGGCACCCCCGCTGTGGCCTGCTTGGGGCGGCAACCTGGGCCCCAGTGAGAGGTCCCGGCACGTGGAGTTCAAGTACTGGTGTGAGCAGAATGTTGCTGTGGATCCCGACAGGTCTGTGTGACCTGGGGCAGAGAGCGGGTCCACTGGGGGAGGCGACTCGCGCAGAGCTGCAGAGGGGGTTGCAGCCTGCAGGCGAGGGCAAGGTTGGGGTGCTGGGCAGTGAGGTGACAACCCCCGAGGGCACGTGGGCAGCCAGGAGGGGTGGTGGATGGCGTGCAGTGCACGAGCCAGAGTGCACGTTTTCAGGTGACTGAGACCCGAGGTGCTGGCAGGGGAGAAGACCCAGGAAACAGGGGCAGGTGGTGGGCGCAGGGAGAGGGAGGGTGGAGGGGCCGAGTCCCCAGGAGGGCCGGCGGGCCCCTTACAGCCGGTCCTGCCATCACGCCCCCCCACCGCCCTGGCCCGCCAGCGTTCTAACCCCGATTGGGGCCTTCAGCTGTGAGCTGCCCACAGGGGTCGAGTAGAACCTGCCTCGAGGTGAAAATCCTGACAGTACCTTTTCTTTTTGCTCAGAGCGAGCTGTTTCTGCTTTTCTTTCCCAATGTCGTCTCTGGCTGTACTGAAATCATCATCCTCTTCAACCAGGAGATTCTACATTTCAAAATAATTAATGAGCAGTTTTCAACATCTTTAGCTTACATTTAAGAGAGGTGTAGCAAACTACCCGAATTGACAAAAGGGGGCATCCCGAGCTAGGGAAGCCAGAGGTGAAGCCCGCTGAGGGCAGGGGGCTGAGAAAGGAAAGCAGGCTCAGCTCCGGGACCTTCACCCGACTCCCAGCACCCCGAGCCAAGGCCCAGGCACGCCCACCCCGCGGGGTCAGACCCTCACGCGGCTCTACAAACCCCGCCAGCCTGTCCTCTGTGCCTCTACAGCCACGCTGGGCACGGGGGAGGCACGCACTTACTCCTGGGCACTCCGAGCTTCCCAAACACGGGACGCTCAGCAGCCCTCCTGGGGGCCGCCTCCTTCCCAGGACGTTTCTTGTGGACATTATTTACCATGAATACTGGCTGCTCCCCTTGGCCACCCACAAGCATGTCTCTCTCTCAGTTAACAAGCCAAAGTGTTAACCTCAAGAGAACATACTAGGAAGGAAAACGTCTGGCAGAATATGACAGGTCTGAGCTTGCTAGGGCTGCTGGTGAGGATGGGCTGGCTGCCTGGTCACGTTCCTAGTGAGAAAACCCTGGCGACTATGGCATTAACGGCAGAACTGCAGGAGGGGGCTGCTGCTTCTCCCAGGGGAGAGAACATGTAGCAAATACCGTGTCCACCCTGGGAAGGGTGCATGACAAACATGGTAACTTTCATCAGGGAAACTGTGCACTGTGCCTTCTCGATCTGTGAGGCCTTGGGAGCAGAGGACATGGAGATCACAGGCACGCCCCTGGAGCAGGGGTGCAGCAGTGAGGCCAGGGGTTGAGGTCCCCTGGCCATGTGCCCAGCCGGCATGTGCCCTCACCTTAACCACACCTACTTCCCAGGATTGTCATGAGGGAAAACTGAGGTGAGTGGGTGCGTGGCTGGCGCCTGGCATGTAATAGAATGCTCAGTGACAATGAGCTCCTAACAGTATTGACCTTGCACCGTATTTGCTTGCTTATTTTTCAAGGAAGAAACACACCGTTTGTCCACTCCGCACTGGAGGTAAGCACCCTGCTGCCCAGGTCGTCCCACCCCGCCCGCCCCACGGGAGTCCGCGTGCCCCTCCACCGTTCTCAGCCTTCTACCTGGTTCCACGCTATTATGCTCACTCAGTGCCTTAATGTTTGGATGTCTGTTCACGTTGGCATATGCAGCCCTGGCTCGACATCTGAATGTTCTGTCTACACTGAGTCAATAACCTCTTATTTTTTCTATCCTGAGGGTCATTTAAGCTTTTTCCAGTTTACACTATTACAAACAGTGCCTCCATGTACATTTTTGTACGTCTCCTCCAGTAGAATCACTGTGTGTACCGTATAGGCGTCTCGTTTTGTAATATTGCCAAACCGTCGTCCTTGGCAGCACGCCAGTGCGCACTCACTGCGGGTGTGTGCTGCGCTCTCAGAATTGCTGGGTGTTAATCATTTTTTCCTATTTCTGCTCTATTAGCTTATCATTCTGTAACTTACGTGCAGAAGTACTTTCATACTCTGGATGCTAATCCTGGTTAATTACAGGGTTGCATAGATCTTTCTCCTTTGCATGGCTTGTCTTTTCACTTTTCCTGGTTTCCCTTGATGAACAAATGTTTTCACTTTTAAGATAGTCAGTTTATCCATCTTGTTCTCTATGGTTTTGGCTTTTGTTTCTTATTTTAAGACTCCTCATTCTAAGTCAGAGATTTCCTTACATGTATGTGTTCTTCTAAAGGTTGAAATCACTGCTTTTCACATTTAAGTCTTCACACTGACTGACATATGGGTGAGGTAAGGGAGATACAGATTGTATGGGGCCTGAAGCTTACATAAACTTGGGACCTACTTTATAAAAATGAAATAAAAGTTCCTACATGGATAACCAATTCTGCCAGCACCATATTGAATGATTTATTTTTAATGTCACCTAAATACCTGGTGTCCTTATTGTGTGACTGTGTCGGGCTGTCTGTCCCATCCTGTTTGTCTGCCCTGCCCCAAAGCTACACTGTCAACCACAGCTGGATACGTGGGAAGGCAAGTACTCTCACCTTTTTGTTCTTTAATATAATCTATATGGCTGTGTATCTAATTGAAGCTTTAACACTGCTCAGTATTTTTGTAATAGTCTCCAGAAAGATCTTTAAAATCTTTTTGCTGGATGCAGTCCTAGTTACCTTGTAGTTTTATGTATATTGATCTTGTAACCTCTGGAACTCTCTTCATAGGGCTAATGGTTTATCTATACAGTCCTTTGAATCTCCTTTGTAGGAAAAATGCACATAAAAGCAATTCTCTCTTTTCCTTTTAGAATTTCTCTTATTTTTCTTGTGGGTGGTGGGCCACGCTGTTGGGTACAAGGTTAAGAAGCAGGGATTCAGGGAATGTTTGCTCTTCAACATACTATTGACTAAGAATCAATCATTTTAATCCTTCATCTACTATTAAAAATCCAGTGTTCACTCATAGTTTAAAAAGAACTCAGAGCCACCTAGTAGGAGACAACTCGAAGTTAATACAGGCATCTACCAACAACCTATGGCATCTCACAAAAGCATTTTTATTCAAGTCAGACCTAAAATTAAGGTTTTGTTACGGAGGTTCCACTGGTCTCATAAAATGAGGTGTCTGGCTTTTCCTCTTTATTTTCCATTCTCTGAAACACTTTATATAAGTGCCTTGAAGATTGGATAAAACTTCTCTGTTTGGTGTTTTGTCAAATTTGCTGTTTTATAACTTACCTTAATACCAATAGTATCTCCATCCTTCAAGTAGTAAGGTGCCCCCTGCAAATTATCTTGCTTTTTCTTTTTTTTCCTCTTGGTAAGTTGCTGGTTCTATAGAAAAAGCAAGCATGTTGAATAAAGGCAACTCAACTTCAAATTCTTAATTCCCATCTGTGAACACTGTAGTTAACTATTTCACTAAGGCCCAGTTTCTCTGAGGAAGACCCACAGCCTTACCCAGCGAGATATTGGAAGCCACTCAAACTTCTCAGGGAAATATTTGGCGATTTCAATCCTCTCCACGGGAAGAGAATAGAACTCGGCCACACGCTGCCTCAGGGAGCTGGCAGTCCAGCCCCGGGTGGCGTCCCACACGAAGTCGAGGGACGGGCCATATGCCCTCTTGCCAGGGAGGCGCATCTGTGTCCTCAGCAGCACATCCTGGGGCCTGAGAATAATTGAGTGTCAGATTTAAAACAAACAAAATGAGGCTGTGCTGGGTGAAGCTCCCCCTGAGTCTCTTGGCCTTGTAAGGACAGATCTTCCCTGAACCCTGAAAGCTGGTGGGAAACCATCTTCTCTGCTTGGGTCTCCTTCAGTCCTGACCTGGACTGGAGGTGAAGCTCCCAGCCTCAGCCCGCAGCAGAGCCCTTGGGGAGGCAGTGGCTGCGCCGCCGTGAGGCAAGCCGGGGGGGTCCGGTTCCCAACCAGTGACTCCCTGGGATGTGCTGATTTCAGAAGCATGAGTTGGCAGAAAAAAGCTGTTTCAGGTGATGAAAATCGGAGTTGCTGTGGGGTAGCCGAGGGGACAGAGCCACGGAGCACAAGGAGACGCTGCAAGGGACAAGCATGAGCAAGAGGCCTTGGAGGGAGAGAAAACCTCCGCACGGCGGGAGAACAAGTTAGATGTGCGGAGATTAGGACAGGAAATGACAACTACAGATAAGAATCGGAGGCAAGAGGGGAGAAAGCCCATCTCCCCGTGATACTGGTGTTTCTACCAAAAGAAAGGGTGGCAGAGTGGAAGAGCGGGAGCAACTGGAGGGAAGAGCACAGGGTGGGCGCAGGCCTGGCGAGCCGGGGCCGGGCGGCCGGTCAGTGAGCCGAGTGCTGGTGCCCAGGACTGCTGGGGTGACCAGCACAGTCTTCAGACAAACACCCCTCCAAGGATCAGTGGCGTCATTATAGAAAAAGCTCAAATCAGGTTAGACATTTTTCTGACTCTATTATAAACACAGGCAAAATATATGAAATAATTCACACTAGCAATCAAAGCATTAAAGCAAATGATAAAAGAAAATCATTTTTCATTTAAACAATGAAAATACTCAGTGCTGGTTCGAGGGTGAGGTGATGAGGTGACGTATCTGCTCATAAACACTGCTTGTGGGAACATGAATTGATTAACATTGACTTACCTGAAAAGGAATTTTACAGTTTCCATTTAAAGAGGCTTAAAATGTCCGTACCACTTGATCTAACAATTCCCTTCTGGGAAACTACCCCTGGTAATACAATTCGTATCATGAATATGTTTGTATAAAAAACCATGGAATTAAATGAAGGTTAGACACGGTTGAAGGAGTGCTCCACAGTAATTCTACAACAGGTTGAAAAGACTGGTACTTCATATCAGGTAAAGAAATCTTATAGAAAATTTTTGTATAGTGAAAAAGGAACAGGAAAGCTTAATTACTGATTAAAGAAGCACCTAGAATTATCTATAATTGATCACTGGCTATGACACAGGGACTGTTCTAGGTACTGGGGACTAGCAGTGACCAAAAAACAAAGTACTTGTCCTTGCAAAGCTTACACTCTAGTATTGGGAGACAGATAATGACTCGATCAGTAGGTGACACATCGGGTGGGAGAGCATCAAGCACAAAGCGACGGCCACTGTCACGGATCAGTGCGACGCAAGACAGCCCGAACGCACCGACAGGGCCTGAGCATCTTGTTTACACTTTGGGTTCAATATGCATTTAGGACTTCCTGGAAAATTAATTCCGTTTTTTAAGGTAAAAAGAGTTCCAAGCCCTATATACCAGACATATAAACACTTCTCTAGAGCATAATCTGTTTTAAGTTGCCAGACTACTTAGAAGCAGTGAAAAAAATACTAAGTTGTTAAATTTTTAAAGAAACTATCCACAATAAGACATGTACATGTAATTTTCTATTAGTAGAACATCTTACCCCAAGTGTTCTTCTCTCTGAAGGGGCTCTAAGCAGATCTCAGTTCTCCTTCCCAGTTTATATTCCCTGATGATAAATAAAATAATATTGAGTGACATAAGCAAAAGATTATACTGTATAAGAACACTGAACATTTAAGAGACGCCTATGAATAGTTATACACTAACAAATTGGACAACCTAAAGAAATGGATAAATTCCTAGAAACATAGAATCTCCTAAGACTGAACCATGAAGAAACAGAAAATGTGAACAGAGTAATTACTACTAAGGAGAATGAATCAGTAATCAAAGACCTCCTAACAAAGAAAATTCCAGAACCAGATGGTTTCACTGGTGAATTCTACCAAACCTTTAAAGGAGAGTTAATGCCAATCCTTTTCAAACTCTTCTAAAAAAATAAAAGAGGGAAGAATTCCAAAATTATTTTATGAGCTGCATTTCCTTGACAGCAAAACCAAACAAGGATACTATAAGAAAATTACAGACCTATATCCCTGATAAACACAGATGTAAAAATTCTCAACAAAATATTAGAAAACAGAATTCAACAGTACATTAAAAGGATCACACACTATGATCAAATAGGCGTTATTCCAGGGATGCAAGAGTGGATTAATATCCACAAATCAATAAATGTGATGTGCCACTTAATGAATGTACATAACAAAATGAAGGATAAAAATCCTGTGATTAATCTCAATAGATGCAGAAAAATAACTTGACAAAATTTAGTATCCTTTCATGATCAAAACTCTCAATAAACTGGGTCGACAGTAAACGTAACTCAACATAATGGCCACATGTGACAAGCACACAGCTGACATCATACTCAATGGTGAAAGATTGCAAGCTTTTTCTCTAACAACAGAAACAAGACAAGGGTGCCCACACGTGCCACTTTTATTCAAACAGTAGTGGCAGTCCTGGCCAGAGAAGTTAGGCAGGAAAAGGAGATGAAAAAGCATCCCAATTAGAAAGGAAAAAGTAAAACTGTCCATTTGCAGATGACATAATATATAAAGAACACTCTAAATACCAAAAATCGTTAGGACTAATAGGTGAATTCAGTAAAGTCACAGGATACAAAATCAATGTACAAAAAAATTAGCTGTGTTTCAAACATTAACAATGAACCATCAGAAAGAGAAATTAGGAAAACTTTAGTTCAATTATATAACAGCATCGAAAAGAATAAGATACTTGGGAATAAATTTAACCAAGGAGGGCGGAAAATTTGGGCATCGATAAAAAGAAACTGAAGATGACAAAATAAATGGGAAGATATTCCACTTTCATGGACTAGAAGAATATTGTTAAAATGCCCATACCACCCGAAGTGATCTGAAGATTTAATGCAATCCCAACAAAATTTCAGTGGTATTTTTCGGAAATACAAAAACCAATCCTAAAATTCAAGATGAAACTACAAAAGACCCTGAAGAGCTGGCAGAGTTTTGAGAAAGAACAAAGCTGGATGCATCACCCTTCCTAATTTCAAACTATATTACAGATTATAATAATCAAAACAGTATGGTAATGGCATAAAAATGACCACAGATCAATGGAACGGAAACAAACCCGTGCACTTACTGCCCGTTAACTCACAACAAAGGAGCCAAAAACAAACAGCGGGGAGAGGAGTCTCGTCAACAAACGGACCCTGACCTTGCACTGCACTCAAAATGGATTAAAGACTTGAATTCAAGACCCTAAACCACAAAACTCCTAGAAGAAAACACAGGAGAGTAAGCTTCTTGACCCTGGTCTTTTTTTTGGGTTTGACACCAAAAGGAAAGGCAACAAAAGCAAAACGAAACAAGTGAAACTATATCAAACTAAAAAGCTTCTGCCCAGCACAGGGCACCAACAGCATGACGAAGGCATCTATTTTCAAACCATGTATCTGATAAGGGGTTAATACCCAAAATATATTGGGAGTTCATACAACTTAATAGCCAAAACACAAAACAAAAAACAATGAAGAGTTAAAAAAAATGGGCAGAGGAACTTAATAGACATCTTTCCAAAGAAGACATACAGGTGGCCAACAGGTACCGAGGAGACGCTCAACATCACTAAGCATGAGGGAATACAAACGAAAACCACATGGGGTATCACTCCCACCGGCCAGAAAGGCCATCATCAAAAAGGCACGAGTTGGAGAAGACGTGGAGAAAAGGGAACCCTTGTGCGTAGCTGGTGGGAAGGTGAAGCGCTACAGCCACTATGGAAAACGGTATGGATGTGCCTCAGAAAATTAAGAATAGAAATACCACGGGATCCAGCAACCCACTCCTAGATATATATGCAAAAGAAATGGAAACAGGATCTCAGAGAGATATCTGTGCACTCATGTTCATAGCAGCATTATTCACAACAGCCAAGACACAGAAACGACCTGAGTGTCCACCGACAGATGAATGCATGATGACATGGTGCGTACACATACACTGTAGTATTATTCAGCCATGGGAAAGGACAGCCTATAGTTTGTGACAACATGCATGTACCTCGAGGGCACTGTGCTAAGTGAAATAAGTGAGATGGAGAGAGACAAAATACTGTCTGATACCACTTATATGCAGAATCTGAACAAGCCAAACTCGAATACAGCGGGGGTTTCCAGGGGCTGGAGGTGGGGAAAAGGGGAGATGTTGGCCAAAAGGTACATACTTACATCTCTAAAATGAACAAGTTCTGGGGATCTAATGTATAGCAGAGTGATTATAGTTAATAATGCTGTACTACAGATTTCAAAGTTGCTAAGAGTAGATTTTAAATGTTCTTACCACAAAAAAGAAATGGCAATTACGTGACTCGATGCCGGGGTGGGGGTGGGGGTGGGGGTGGGGCAGCTAATGATATGGTGGCAATCACTCTGCAACATATAAGTGTATCAAATGAACGTTATACACCTTAAACTTATAAAATGTTACATCACAATATATCTCAATAAAGCTTGAAAAACACTCAAAATTTTGTTCACAGTATCTAGAGCACAGTAAAAATGCTACAAAACGAAGCTACATTTCTATGTAGTATGGAAAACTGAAGTTGTCCCAGTGTATATGATTAAAAGCACCACCCAAGTGACAAACGTGGGCTTGCCAGGAACAGGCGTCCTGGTGCTGCCTGACGTCTCCACCAGCACCCCGCCCGCCCCCCATGTCAGCCCTGCAGCGTGGCGCTCCAGGAGTAACCACCTGAGCTGCTGCAGGTCAGTCCGTAAAAGCCTGCCGGGGCGCTGACCTTCCACTGTCCACGCTCTGAGGAAGCCTGGGGATGGGATGCTGGGCTCCGAGAAGGAGGGCAAGGCCATGGCCTAGAAAAGAAACAGCACACCTCTAAGGGTCTGACAAAGCACTCTTAACAATACACTGCTCTCAGGAAAAGTGAGGCACTACACGACGACCTCTGAGGGAGAGTATCTCGAGTAATGATAAAATCTATTTTAAAAAAATCACAGGAATCTCTCTTAAATGAAATTACTCCCCAGTCATTTTTGTATTTCTCTCTACTGAAAACAACTTGAGAGATAAGTGAACTTTCTATTTCTAAATTTTTAATCCTTATGTTTTAGGAAATGAAACTTGAGAATTAATTTCTATGTGTTTATAACTCACAAGCAGAGGCCACCCTGATAAAAGCAAGGGATTCATCAATTTTCCTTAGTGTTAATGTAGTTCTTCAACGATGTTTGCTCTGCTGATGAAATGACTTTGATTTGAAAATCTTTGGCTCCAACTGCTAGGCCTAAACTTCTGTAGTAATTCTGAAGGGTAGATAACTATTTATATATTTAAGCTTCGAATATGGAATGGTTGACTTTTTTAACATCTAAAAACAGCAATTTTGTTTCAATCCAACATAAGACAAAAAAGTGTCTTCCTTATAGTTCTCATGAGAATAAGATAATTTTCTTTTTTTGAGGAAGGTTAGTTCATATGTTTGAGGATCCACAGGAAAAGTCAAGTCAATGACTGATGTTCACCTCAGTCCAACAACAGTAAGATGCTAAACATTTTGTTGTACTCATTCCAGTCTCCTCATTGGACAAAACACTTTTCTCTAGGTAGGTTAAAGCCTAAAAAAACAATACAATATCTAGTTTAATTTCCTAACATATAGTTGATATTCTGACCTGGGAAACTGATAACACATCTTTTACTAACAACATTCAATACATGGATTACAATGATATACAAAAACAATGTAAATAAAGGGGTAAAGTGAATGCTTTACAAATGTTTCAATAAATCATGTTTCCCTACAAAATCAAAATGAACATAAGCTGCAAGTTACTGAGGAAATAGTCAAATGAAAGCATGGCATGCCTGTCAGAGTGGGGATACATGAAAGCCACAGGGCGACTAGCAGAACAAATACCAGGGAGCTCTCCGAGCCACAGGCACGTGTGGCCTGATGGGTACTTACCACTGAACATGGCATATAACACATGCCATATCAGAACGACTGTAATTGAGGGAAAAGGAAATAGAAGAATATATTAATATCTCACTGGAATAAGCTAGATCACCACTAAGGTGCGCTGCAGGAGGAAGTCTGACCTGAGATTTCAGCTCCACCAAGGTGGCATCTTCTGAGATTTCAACGTCTCCCAAGTAGTGGAGGGCAGCTTCGGTGTGCACGTCACCTGGAGCACCTGCAGGGAACAAGAGCTCGGTGTCCAAAAGGAGCTTTAAATGTATATGCTTCTGAAATACATGCCATGTTTTGATACCATACATAGGTTTGGTACAGTTTCAGTCAGGAAACACGGAACCTGCCTTCCTCAGTTAGCCCCCTTAGCACTGGAGAGGTGAGGAGCGCTGCCCGGCTCACGGCAGCCAGGGGGCAGGCTACTGGCACAGTACCATGACTTTCTCCCTGTAACGGGTTGGACGAATTTTATAGTCATGCTGTCCGCCTAGAATGTTCTTTTCCACATTCTCTCCTTCCTCAAAGACGACTCTGCTGGGAAGATGCTCGGCCCTTATTGTTTATGATGCCTTCCCGTTTCTTTCTCGCGTAACACTTATCCCAACGTGTTACTCTTCTATTTGTTCTCGTGTGTTTATTTGTTTTCTCCTGTCTTCTCAAAATAATATGAGAGGGCAGGCCGTCTATCTTGTGTGTCTCTCCAATGCCTGGAGTGGTGGGTGCCACACAGCAAATGCCCAATAAATGTTTACGGACTGAAAGGATCCTTAGACGGTTGGAAGGCTTTTCTACATTTGTTTAAAAAAGGGGGAAACAAAATGCTCTTTCATTTGAACCTCTGGATATAAAAGTTGGTAACTAAATTTAAAATTCAGAATAATTTCATTTTTGCTTTAGTTAATTGTCTTTATTACTGGGCACCCTGCTAATACATAATAAGAAATTAGACTCTAAGTAAGCTAAATGAAAAAGCTCTTCCCATGAGTGATTCTTGTCTTGTGTCCTTAAGACACTAACAAGATAGTACTACACAAAAGACTCTTTGATAACCCTTGGGAATGAAAAATATTTCCCATACGTTGTGTTACAGAAAGACTATCAAAAAATGAACTTTTTCCTTTACTTTCATGGAGAAACACACTGTTTGTATCCAATAGCATAATTATCATTCTATCACCAGAGCATCTTAAGAATCAGTTAACACGTCTAACACAACCCAAACAAAAACAACCGAATGCCAGTTTCATAGCTGACCCACAACGAAGTTCTGAGGTCGCTCTATACAGACAGTTCTACTTCAAAGAGTAATGAGGTAAGAGTTTGATCCATTTATGTACTCATGTCAGTACTGAAGTTTAAAAGACAAAAAGAAATGTATAATACTTCAAGGCACTGAAAAAGCTAAATCATTAAGTCTGATAAAAGGAAATAATATATAGTTGATCCTACTATATTCTCTACAGTTACAAAGGAGATTAATATGTGTTTTATAGTGAAGGAGAAATCCACTTTTTATGATGCAATTCAGATTCACTGCTGGTGCCTCTTGCTTTTCACAGTGTGTGTGAATTTGTGGAAAAGCAACTTAGAGTCAAACAATAGGTTTATGCTCTGAGTTTCTTCTCAGAAGGCACTGAGATGAGATGGAAAGTCCCTGAAGCAGCTCCTGGGGCTCCGGCGGCTGGGACAGAGCGAGCAGGCAGGGGACAGGGAGGGGACTCCAGCCCTGTCTCTCTGCCCCTGGGGCTGAGTGAAGTCGCTCTGAGTGAGTTAGGCCTCAATATCCCAGCGAGTGTAATAAATGAGGCCACTCTTCATACTGCCGGGAGGATCTTGAGAGATGATTTATAAGAATCCCTTAAAAAATCTTTATATATTGATGTAATAATAAAGATGAAAACAGACGGTACTTGACAGAGGTTACAAAGCACTCAAAATAGGATGGTGTTATTATTATGGAATGAATAATGGAATAAATAAGTTTTGATTTTCAACCTTACATATCTCAGTTGCCTCTCAGAGCAGAAGTGGTCAGTTTACCTTTCTTTACGGCAGGTTGGCTGTTGCATTTCTGCCTTGTTCTCACCTTGGCTGGCGGCTCTCCAGACCCCACCTTGAGAAGGGGTGCAGTTCACCCGGTCCTGATGACTCTTTCCGTGACTCACCCCCCGAGGCTGGTACCACCAGACGGGCACCTCCAGGAAACCCTGAGGAATGGGGCATTTCTAACTGCTGTGATGCACACAGACGAAGTGAGCTTTCACCTCCACAGAGAGAAACATCTTCATAACAGAGAAGCTTCCTGAATGTATTTCTTTTCCTTTTAGATGTAGTAACTGTCACATCTTACACTTGTTTATTGTTTTTACAATCAAAAGTTTAAAAATCATAGAATCAGTCTTTGAGGTGACCAGGACTAAGTGTTCTTTGTGAGAAATATCTTAGTAGCTAGAATAAAAGTATAAACAAAACAAAGTATTTGACAGAACAAACTTGTATTTTCAGGCATTGTAAGAGCACCACTGGCATCATGCACCAGTTACAAGCCATTTTCATGTATTCAGATTTCTAAAGATTTTATAAAGAAGCAACCATCTATTGACCTAAACTGGGCTCCTGTATGCAAACTGCACGAAATAAATCCATTTCCGTAAACACATCCTGTCATTTCAGTGTTATTTACCTGCTTCTTCCCGACCCCTTCCTTTTTCAGAGTTAGTAAAAAACTTTAATAGATTAAGGAATAAAAGATATTGTTACAGTGATAATTTGCAACAACAGAAGACAAGAATATGAAAATAACCAAGTAAAATATTTTCAAGAAATGCATATTAAAATGAAAATATTTTTCTATTTATCAAATGGGTGAACATTAATATTCAACCTGCATTCAATTAAAAAATATAAATCAGAAAAACAAAAATTCCTTTCTTTAACCTATCAGACCATCAAAAACTAGTAAGTCTAATAGTATTCTAAATGGGTGAAAATACAGGTAAACTTAAATGCTTGTAAATCGGTGGCAGGAGTATAAAATAAACTGCTGCAAAAATTCTAGAGAGTAATTTGGCGCTGTGAAATTTTTAATGTCCAAGCCCTTTGAACCATCCATTCCATGGTTAGAAATTTACATTCTGAGAAACTAACCCATGCATACAAATAAAGCCACAGATGCATGGATATTCGCTGCACACTGCTTATGGTAGCAAAAACCACGAACCAACCTCAAGGTCTGCTTCCTTGATGGTAGGCCACAACTTCTAACACACCTATTTCAGTTCTAGGAATTTATCCTATAGATGTATTACACATGCAAAATGGCACATATGATAGTTTTCTGCAATGTTATTTGTATAAACAAAAGATTGAAAACCATCTAAATCTTTCAAAAGAGGCTGATTACATAAATTATGGTACCTCCACATAATAACCATCAAATAGAATGAGACAGTATATATGCACTGATATATATACAGAGATAACGTATTAATGAAAAAGCTAGGTACAGAATAGGGTGTCTAGCATATAACCTTTTGTGTAAATAAATAAAAAGAAAGAGTATATATAGATATGCTACAAATATACGCATCTGTGTGCATGTAAGAATATACCTCTGGGAGGGTGTAGAGAAACCCGGCCTGTGGAGGGAGGGCAGGAGTGAGCGGCTGGAGGCAAGGAGAGGAGGAGTATTTATTCTTCCTGGCCCACCTTTTTATACACTTAGAATTTTGTATCATGAGTATTACCAATCCAAAAATTGACTTTAAAGAGCATGGTATAGAATATGAAGTCATGAGAAAGAATAAGGTGGGTCTGTATGTGCTGATATGAGGAGATGCTCAAGATATATTAAGTGAATAAAAACAAGAGGCATAAAACAATGTACAGAATATGATCCCTTTTATATGAATTTAAAAAGGGTATACAAATATTTACACTTAGAATACAAACTGTATTTTTTGTGGCTTTTTCTGAGGAGAAAGATATGGGAGAAACTTTACATTTTAAGGCTAATCATAAAATGGTTATCTGAGTACCAGAAGTTTCATAATTACATTATGTTCACATTAAAAAACATAACTAATACATAATGGTTTTAAAAAGTGGTAATATGCACTATTTATGAAAAAGCAATGACCAGCCCTCTCATACTGTGGATCGGACTGTAAATTCAGTTCAACTGGGAAAACAACTTAGCAATATATATATATATATCATCATGTCTTTAAAAAGTTCATACCTTTTGATTTGTTAATTCCATCTTTACAATTACCTTAAGAAGGATTCATATTCAAGAACTATTCAACTATTTATAAGTACAAAAAGTTTAAAACAAGCTAAGTTTCTAACAATGGGATTACAGTGGATCAAACTGGTAAGACAAACACTAGATATAATGACTATTTTTGGATTTTTATGGTCAGGTGATAATTAAATATAAAAGCCAGAAATAAAATCACATATGCAACTGATTTTATAGGAAGGAAATATATAAAGATGTAAAACACTGCAGTTGTCTGATTGTTGGGATTGGGCAAGTTTTCTAGTCTCTCTAAATTTTCTCACAATGAGAATATATCATCTTGATAATCAGAAAACAGTAACTGTTATTTAATAACAAAATGTCAATTCAGAAGTAAAATCTTACCAGTGGAGGAAGTTTTCCTTCAATTAAAAGCAAAGTATCTCCAGAACATATCATAAGCTCTTTCAGGGTTGCATCCTGGGAATACAGACATTTTTTATCATTTATGATTTATGAGAGGAACAAATAGACCTTTGAATTTTTTCAAACCCTATGCCTCTATTATCCTTTCCAGAAATAAATAAATGAATAATAAAGCAGATATTGAAGAAATAAAAGTTAAGACTACAAGTGTATATAACATTAGGTATAAATTAGGGGGTATGAATTCTGTTAGAGGAAAGGGCGAGGGGTGAGATGATAAATGAGACTGATTTACAAAAGATGAAATTTTACTTCAGTCTAAAAACATGGATTAGATTTTGAAAGCTAGAGGAAACAAGAGAAGGAATTTCTCATGAAAAGAGCAACAGGCCAAAGTTAAGGTTAAATCAAGAATAAGTATGTTGTTTGGGGGAACAGCGAAGAAACAAGACTGATTAGAGTGAGAAGTATCAGTTGGAGACAAACCGGAAAGAGAACTGGGTTGGAGGGGTGACTACGCATTGGGGAAAAAAGGCTCAAAGCAGGGGACCAGCAGTAGGAATGACCAGGAAGGAGTGAAACAGCCGACAGGCCTTTGGAGGCCAAGAACTATTTATCAAATGGGTGAACATTAATATTCAACCTGCATTCAATTAAAAAATATAAATCAGAAAAACAAAAATTCCTTTCTTTAACCTATCAGACCATCAAAAACTAGTAAGTCTAATAGTATTCTAAATGGGTGAAAATACAGGTAAACTTAAATGCTTGTAAATCAGTGGCAGGAGTATAAAATAAACTGCTGCAAAAATTCTAGAGAGTAATTTGGCGCTGTGAAATTTTTAATGTCCAAGCCCTTTGAACCATCCATTCCATGGTTAGAAATTTACATTCTGAGAAACTAACCCATGCATACAAATAAAGCCACAGATGCATGGATATTCGCTGCACACTGCTTATGGTAGCAAAAACCACGAACCAACCTCAAGGTCTGCTTCCTTGATGGTAGGCCACAACTTCTAACACACCTATTTCAGTTCTAGGAATTTATCCTATAGATGTATTACACATGCAAAATGGCACATATGATAGTTTTCTGCAATGTTATTTGTATAAACAAAAGATTGAAAACCATCTAAATCTTTCAAAAGAGGCTGATTACATAAATTATGGTACCTCCACATAATAACCATCAAATAGAATGAGACAGTATATATGCACTGATATATATACAGAGATAACGTATTAATGAAAAAGCTAGGTACAGAATAGGGTGTCTAGCATATAACCTTTTGTGTAAATAAATAAAAAGAAAGAGTATATATAGATATGCTACAAATATACGCATCTGTGTGCATGTAAGAATATACCTCTGGGAGGGTGTAGAGAAACCCGGCCTGTGGAGGGAGGGCAGGAGTGAGCGGCTGGAGGCAAGGAGAGGAGGAGTATTTATTCTTCCTGGCCCACCTTTTTATACACTTAGAATTTTGTATCATGAGTATTACCAATCCAAAAATTGACTTTAAAGAGCATGGTATAGAATATGAAGTCATGAGAAAGAATAAGGTGGGTCTGTATGTGCTGATATGAGGAGATGCTCAAGATATATTAAGTGAATAAAAACAAGAGGCATAAAACAATGTACAGAATATGATCCCCTTTATATGAATTTAAAAAGGGTATACAAATATTTACACTTAGAATACAAACTGTATTTTTTTGTGGCTTTTTCTGAGGAGAAAGATATGGGAGAAACTTTACATTTTAAGGCTAATCATAAAATGGTTATCTGAGTACCAGAAGTTTCATAATTACATTATGTTCACATTAAAAAACATAACTAATACATAATGGTTTTAAAAAGTGGTAATATGCACTATTTATGAAAAAGCAATGACCAGCCCTCTCATACTGTGGATCGGACTGTAAATTCAGTTCAACTGGGAAAACAACTTAGCAATATATATATATATATCATCATGTCTTTAAAAAGTTCATACCTTTTGATTTGTTAATTCCATCTTTACAATTACCTTAAGAAGGATTCATATTCAAGAACTATTCAACTATTTATAAGTACAAAAAGTTTAAAACAAGCTAAGTTTCTAACAATGGGATTACAGTGAATCAAACTGGTAAGACAAACACTAGATATAATGACTATTTTTGGATTTTTATGGTCAGGTGATAATTAAATATAAAAGCCAGAAATAAAATCACATATGCAACTGATTTTATAGGAAGGAAATATATAAAGATGTAAAACACTGCAGTTGTCTGATTGTTGGGATTGGGCAAGTTTTCTAGTCTCTCTAAATTTTCTCACAATGAGAATATATCATCTTGATAATCAGAAAACAGTAACTGTTATTTAATAACAAAATGTCAATTCAGAAGTAAAATCTTACCAGTGGAGGAAGTTTTCCTTCAATTAAAAGCAAAGTATCTCCAGAACATATCATAAGCTCTTTCAGGGTTGCATCCTGGGAATACAGACATTTTTTATCATTTATGATTTATGAGAGGAACAAATAGACCTTTGAATTTTTTCAAACCCTATGCCTCTATTATCCTTTCCAGAAATAAATAAATGAATAATAAAGCAGATATTGAAGAAATAAAAGTTAAGACTACAAGTGTATATAACATTAGGTATAAATTAGGGGGTATGAATTCTGTTAGAGGAAAGGGCGAGGGGTGAGATGATAAATGAGACTGATTTACAAAAGATGAAATTTTACTTCAGTCTAAAAACATGGATTAGATTTTGAAAGCTAGAGGAAACAAGAGAAGGAATTTCTCATGAAAAGAGCAACAGGCCAAAGTTAAGGTTAAATCAAGAATAAGTATGTTGTTTGGGGGAACAGCGAAGAAACAAGACTGATTAGAGTGAGAAGTATCAGTTGGAGACAAACCGGAAAGAGAACTGGGTTGGAGGGGTGACTACGCATTGGGGAAAAAAGGCTCAAAGCAGGGGACCAGCAGTAGGAATGACCAGGAAGGAGTGAAACAGCCGACAGGCCTTTGGAGGCCAAGAACAAATAGGAAGGGTGGCAAGGTAAGTACGGTTAAGCCCCATTTCAGGCTGAAAGATCACACGGGAAAGACGGACAGCAAATCTAGGCAGAGGAACCAGTTTTGAGGATAATGAGTTTGCTCTAGGATGAAATGTTTGATAGCAATTTGGGAATAGAGAAGAAAATGCAGAAACCATGTGACTAGGTAATATTCTGTTGACATCCAACTGTATGTATGTCCTGAAGATTCCATGAGGTCCACTTCTTCCTCTGGGCAGTTAAATTCCTGCCCATGTTTCAAGAGGGGCCTCTCTGTATTGATTCCCTGACTGCTGTACAGAAAGAGTATTCCAGTGGAAGAGCCCAGTACACCTGCTTAAATCAATCTTCTGTTAATATTCAATGCCACTGTCTATTCCTGAACAGAAAGAAGGCAGAAAGAGACTGGGAAAAGGGAGGCTGACCACAAGTATCTAAGCTTTCTCAGAAAGCTTCATTTTGAGTCTAGTTCTGAGGTCACGGGTTTGGACTGTGAGGTTTATACTAACTGGATCAACAATAAGATTACACAGATTCCAACTATTCTGTGACAAATTGTTCTTAAGGTTACATTAAGAGTTTGGCTGGGTCCAGAGATGTAGTTTGGATCAGAGCCTAAGTGACTGGTTGGTAAGATGCATTCTGCCATCAGTTAACTTACAGAAAAACTCCGAGATTAAAATATTTAGGACTCAAAATTCACAGTGTATCTTCAGATACTTTCATTAGTTCAAATGTCTTTTGTTCTCTGAAGCTCTCTGCATCCTAATGCAAAGCTACTACTGTAGGGACATAGGATGTCAAAAGAGGACTTCACACAGATATTAGCAATGTTCCCACTAGCTGAGACTTTCCCTCTGATTCTACCAAACAACTAGAGGAAGGAAGACCTGTAGTGAAGGTAGGCCTATGTATACAGATATTTTATATCCTAAAAAATATTGAAGCTTTCTCTAGAATTTACTCACATAAGTGATGGATATCCTGTATGTAAACACAAAATAAACAATAATTTTTAAGAATGAAATGTATGGAAATAATCATACTTCTTCACATAAAGCCTCCCCCGCTTCATAGCACCAATCCATTTTTCGTAAATGCCATGTGTCGCCTAGAAGGAATCAAAATCAGGATGAAAAAAAATTCAGGATATGTTTTAAGAGTTTATCAGTAATGACCCTTCTGGATAAGTGAATATTAAATGGGATTTGATCTAATAATTATTAACTCAATTTTAAAGTAAATTATCTCTTCCAGAGCATGAAAAACGTTGTTCCCCCGGTATGGTTTGGTTAATTTACTGTCTGTTCTCCAAGAACTGTATGCTTCCAAATAAAAAAAACACTTGCTACTACTGTAGGATATTTAATATTGACTTCTATTATTTACATGTACACACATACATGTACATTATGCACTAGTATAGATATATACATATACATGTATATATAGGTATAGAATCCCTCCTAAAAAAATTATGAGGCTGAGTTTTATTTCACTGTCTTGGCTGAAAGCATATGCTAACATCACTCAGCAATGTACTACATTTGACATGTACTACAAAACTGTTGCTAGACAACTGTCAATTAATCTAACAAAAAACAGTATTTTTGGAATAGCATTGTAATGACATTGGTATAAAGAAACATTTATAAATGTTAAATAACCTTTCATTAGATTTCTGTTTTTCAGCATGCTTGCTACACTGATGAAAGTGAAGAGGATTGGTTTTTGAGGAGAGGGAGATGAATGGAGCAAAAGCTGGGAATCCTGGTCGTTAAAAAAGATAGCAGATAGGCAGTCCGCTCCTCCAGCCCCAAAGGGGGCTGTGGCCAGTGGGACAAACATAGATCTCATATTCACCCTGCACAGGCCATGGGTTTTGAATCCCCATAATAGTGTTCTTTGTAGACTCTATTTTGCCATTACTTCTAGTTTTAAATACAGTAAGAGTTGTAGTAATAGTTACCTTAATCTTTGTATGGTTAAAAAAAATACCAGTAAGTTAAAAGTGAGCATCATTACTTCATAGCACAGCATGGTGGAAAGAACTCAGGTTCTGAAATCAGAGACTTAGCTACTTGGCGTACAGCTCTAGATAAGCATTTAACAATTCTTAGCCTCTGTGAAATGGGGAGGGGCAATGATCGCTGCATAAGAGGACACTGTCCAGATGACACTAGACCCTATAAGCCCCTCGGAGACTGTCCTGTAGCCGGAGCACGTTAACTTCCCTTCCAGAGAGCAGCCCAAGGCTTCCACTGTGATGAAGTCCGAGGACGACGAACCGCTCTGATGACAGCGGTGTGATGCCTCACCACGCTCACTGAAATGATTCCACCCAGGGAGCTACTTCAGATATCTTGGATTTATTTTTTTTCATTCATATTACATTCTCTAATCTATATTACAAAGATACGGACATGAAATTCTGAATCAATGAGGCAAAAAAAAAAAGAGTGAAAGACCTGAATAATTCGAGAGGGCACAGATCTTAACTACCTCTTAACTAGCCTACCTTTGGGGTAAGCTAACCTAGTCTTCTGCAACTAGTTTTCTTTTATAGCTTGTAAATAAGAACCAGGAGAACTCATATACATATAGAAGTGTAAAGTGTAACTGACAACCCAAGAGAAAAAAAAGTTTGAAAGTTTCCATTAGGCTTATAGATAATTTACTGTAAGTAAAACGTGTGGCTAAGATTGTATCATCATCGTCTGTAACCTACCTGGTAGGCCAGATTTCTCCAGCATTATCGTTAAACACTGTAAAAGAAAAAAGAAAGCTAATTAATTTTCTGTTTCAGAGTTACAGTATTGTGAGGCCCACCCCCGGGCCTATTTAAGTCTGATTATATTTAATAATTCTCAAAGAGATAAAGATCTACGTAGGTAAGAGATGTGGCCAACTCAGGAGAGAAAACAAGCAGTCTGCTGCTTGCAATCAGGCCTTAGTTCAAAGTTTCGTTCATCCGCCTCCAGATCTGCACTTTGACTCTCTTCTTATGAAGACTAACTGTATTTTTGACCCGATGTGATTTATTAAGAAGATTTCACAGACACACATTAAACTCTGAATCCTATAAAAAGAGACTAGCCTTCATTTAGCACCCAAGAAACACAACTGGCCATATAGGAACTCCCAGGGAGAGAGCCACGCGAGCTCCAACCCTGTGGCGCAGTACAATCAATGGGATGTGATTTACAGAAGTTCACATAACAAAAATAATAATTAGAAACTCCCAACTTCTTGAGGGAAAAACATTCTTGAACCTAGGGCAGAAGAATTAATAAAAACTGATTGTACTATGCTAGAGCAGAAGGGAGCAAGAAAATGATGTCACTGCTGTACTGCTTGGAATGAGAAAAAAATGGCAGAGAATCATATACCCCTTTAGCAGGGGAACATTTAAATAAACTAGGAGAGGTCTTAGAAAGATTAAGAGGATAAAACAGATTTACATGTACTAGTCTTAAAAATGAAACAAAGTCCTGGTATAATACATACAGTAGGACCCCGTTTATGATTTAAAAGAAACCATACAAACGCATCAAGCTCTTCATTTGTAAGTATGTATATGTATCTTCACATGTCGGTATATGTATGCCAGAGGCTGGGAGGGCACACTCTGCTGATGTGGGTAAGATTATATCATCTGGGGATCAAAGAGACTTCTGGGGAAGGGACTTGAATAGGATGGTAACCAAGGGGGATTTTTACCCCTCACTGAAGTTTAAAAGATAAGAATAAATCCAGGATTACGTGCATGATTAAAAATAAAAAAAGACTAAAAAATGATGACAATGAGAATATATTAAAACATAGGGAATGAATCAAAAGCTGTATTCAAAGAAAGCTGGTCTTAAAGCCTTCCATTATTTAAGAAAAACAATTGAGAATTCAACTTAACTGTGTTCTAGAAAGAGGAAACAGCCAGTGTAAAGGCCTTGTTCAAGGACCCGCATGGAGGCCAATGTGACTGATGAGAGTGAGCGGAAGAGGAAGAGCAGTGGGAGGTGCACCGCACCCCAAGGTACTGGAGGCCTTACGGGAGCCCCGCGAGGCCACTCGGGAACTCCGGGGACACGCAGGAGGCTTGTGAGCACAGTGACCAATGAGGACTCACACGTCAGTGGGCACTCAGCTCCTCCCTAAGAGCAGACACCGGGAGGGGTCTGGAAGGAAGGCGATCGGTCAGGAAGCTGCTGGAATGATCCAGGTGAGAGATGACTGGGTGGCAGCAGTGGAGGGGGGACATGCTGAGATCACAGGGAAACTCTGGTGGTAGAATCCAAAGGACGTCCTGAGACACAATGCGAGGGAAGAATGAAAAGAATCAAGGACGACCCCGGGGTTTCTGGCCTGGGCAAGCAGAGAAACGGAGCGGCCACCCACTGAAAAGGAAAATATTATGAGTCAAGTACGTCTGAGAGAGGTCAGGCCCTTGGTTGTGGATGTGTCATGATCTGGGGTGACTGTCGGACAAGCAAGCAGCAGCTCGCTGTGTAAGCCTGAATTTCTGGGGTGAGGCCCAGTCTAAGATTGAGCACAAAGGTGCTTATGAGGTGGAGAGAAAAGAAAAGAGAAAACGGGGGGAGAGGCCCATGGTGGAAGGAAAACCTGAGGAGCTGTGATCTTCTGGAAATAAGTGACAAAAATCTAAGTCTGTCAAATGTTGCCGAGAGCAGGTAAGACGAAGACGAAGGGCCCAGCGGACACAGCAGCGTGGAGGCCACGTGTGGCCTGGATCAGAGCTGTGAGCGCGGCGGGAACAAGTCTGCAGTGAATCCAAAGGAGAACATGAAGATACACACTTCGCTGTTTTGAAAAGTTTTGTGATTTCCTTTTTTTGAGAGGAAAAAGCACTAAAATTAAAAGGCAAATGAAAAATTGGGAAAATATTAACAGCGTGTAATGATAGGTCAAAAAAATTTTTTTAATGTTTTACTATAGAAAATTTCAAACACATGCAGAGGATAGTAAAATGAGCCCTCAAGTATCCATCACCCAGTCTTCAATCACTGCCAGAGCCAATCTTGTTTGTCAATAGTCCAACCCATCCACTTTCCCATCATGCCCCCCTAAATTCTTATGAAGCACGTTTGATATATTGAATAAGGGCCCCCTGAAGTCTGTAACATTGCCCCTGCTTACCATTTCGCCTGTCTCTTTTAACCTATAAGCTGCCTCACCCTGCAACTTATTTCTTAAGAGTTTCCACTTGGGCCTGAGCTGACTGCAGGCCCGTGGTGCATTAACACAGCCACGTCCCTGTCCTCCTTTATAAACCAGTGCTCAGACCTGTTGGCTTGGTCAGACTCAGGTCCACTTGTTTGTTTGTTTGTTTGTTTTTCGCAAGATGAGCATGCATATTGTTTTGAATTTCTATAATGACTAGGTGTTACTCTTTTTGGCTTATTAGCAGTCTTTCAGAATCATTGCCTAGATCTATGAATTCATAAGCACTTGAGAAAGTTGATAGCCTAAAATTCTGTCTTCATTTTATTTATTAGCTGTGATACATCTATTAAAAAAGCCCTTCTCATTGCCTACTTGGTTATTCTGTGGTATTGTCTGCAGAAGAAAAATGGGGTAAATCCCTGATATTTTTTCCTTATGGTTCCCTAACACCCAGTATAGGTAACCAATGCAGATGGTATTTTTAGGGTCACTATGAACCCATGGATTTTATGCATGTGTACCAATCAGTTCTCATTATTATTCCCACTAAGGTTCAAACTGTCTCATCTGACCAGTGAGAGCCTCTTCATGTTGGCTCCTGAGACTCTCTGCTGAACCTGGCAGTCTTTGCTAGCTTCACTGTTTCTGTTACAACAAGGTTGTTCCAGGCTTATCTTACACTTTCCTGACCTAGAACCAGGACCAGTTTTTACCCCAAGAAGCCCTGGTAGAAAATGGTATTTACCAACAACAGTCTGGGTGCTGGGGTGCTTCCTGATAGGCTGATCACTGATTTTAAGCTCTTTCAGGGGACACAGCTAGAAAAATATTTTTTTAAAGACAAAATATATCAAGTTCATTCTAACTCACTTAACTCAAATTCAGGAGTACAGGTTTTATTTAACCACCCAATTTTACCTGTCTCTCTTTTCCAACATGGCAAGTCCCAGTTCTCAATTATGTCTACATAATTATTCATTTGCTTTCTCTCACACAGACACATCCTGTGTCTATATGATTATGTATGTATATAAAGTGACATACCAGAAGGAAATATGCCAAAATGTTAATATTAGTGGTATAAGGGATAGTGAGGGGTTTAACTTTCTCTTTAACTCCATTTATATATATCCCAAATTTCTACAATCAACAAGTATTACTGAAAATCAGAAAAAAAAAATATATCTTATTTTAAAGATTCTAGTTGGTTCATTAATTTTCAAGTTCCTAAAACTAGTGTTTCAGTGAATGTATGTAATTCTTTAAGGTATATTATGTAAACCCTACCTTTAGAACCTCAAAACTGTAACATAGCTTGCCACTGCCTCCCACCGACCGTTCCTCCCCCATAAAAATAAAACTGCTTACCTCTTTCACAGATATTGTTTCTTCTACTATAATCTCCATCTCTGTCCCAGGCTGAACATCACTTCCCACAGCAAAAAACAGGAACAGCTAAAATCAAGACAGAAGTATGAATGCAATTTAATCTGAATTTGAAGATTCTATAAATGTATTATTTGCTTCCAAAAAAGAAAAGCCAATGGTCCATGAAATTTTAATAAAAACCTCAAATTAAGTAAAAGCCAGACAACATTGGGTAATTTAATGTTACAATTTAAACAAAAATCTCAACAACCTAGAAATGTAATATGCTTCACCACCCATGTTATTCTAATAATCTTTTCTCATGGTTATTTATTCTACTATGACCTCCATCTCTTTTTTGGTCATTCCTCAAAGGGATGTGCAATTTTTTACATTGAAAGCATTAACTGTGTTTTCCTCTGAGTCATTGGTTGTGATTTTATTTTCTTTCCAGATATTCCATATATGGTAACTCCCAGGACCCACAGGAAAAACATGAATCTGATCTCTGTCAATGCAGTTCCTTCTAGCCCTACTTTTCCTTTCTAATCCAGCCTCACTTGCCATGTTCTTCCTCCTATCAGCTTGTGTGCCACTGTTCGCTAGAGCTCAGAGGAAGAACAAATTCAAGGGGAGGTGGCCAGGAGACTAATGCGGTAGACCCAGGAACCATGGGATCCTGACGGGAGTCCAGTACCCCATGACACAGAGTCCTAAGAGGAAGGAGAGCGTTAGGACTCCTGGACTCTAATAAAAGTTTATTAAATAGATAGAGCTTCTGGCAAAGGTTGACCTGATGGTATTTTAGGATAGCATTATGACTTTTGAACTCTAATAAATATTTATTAAATAGGTAGGGCTTCTGGCAAAGGTCAACCTGATGGCATTTGACACAGAAAATGAATACTGATAAAGACAAAGCTGCTGTGAGACTATCATATTATTGCAGGGAGCAATTAAGTCCAAAATCAATATGCTGGTTTCATTAAATCTGAAGTGCTGCTGGTTGTTACTCGTTCCTTTATGTGACACAAAGAAAGAGAAGATACTAGCTACAAGTGCAGGAAGCCACTGATTATAAGGCTCATCCTAATCCATAGGTGTTAAAATGTGGGAAAAAGAGAACAATTTAGAATTTGTGAAATATGCTGCTTGAAACTGGTGGCCACTCAACTTTAAAGATTCCCCCCTTAATTACAAAATTTTCACAGAAAAAGAGCCTTATGAATATGCTTTGATGTAATATTCTGCTATTTAAACACAGAGCACTATACAGATATATTCCTATGAAAGGTATTATCATTTCAGGAAAAAGTAAAACTTTTACAAGAAACATTATTACCATAATAGTTAAGGTATAAATTGTAAACTTAAGAACTAATCATGGCAAAGTTGATTTTGTTCTGACAGGTGACCTCCGGTTACCTGAGAAGAAGTTGGTGCCTTCCCAAAGCAGAGTCCCAAGGAACTCCCCATTTTCAGCTCTGCTTCCTTCAAAGTATAACTGTCTGGCACTGAAAAGAATTTTGATAACATGATCAGTTATTAATTCCTACCTTTCTGGGCAAAATAATACACTGAAATCAGTGTTTCTTTGAAAATCAAGAATGTCAAGAAAGAAAAAAAATGAGCTGTACTCCATGTAAAAGGATTACCCATATTATAGTTACATTTGATTTTCAATTTCCACACTCTAGACAACAATGCTAAGAAATAAGGGGCAGTTAGGAATGATCTAGATTCTTAATAACTACTGTTTACATGGCCTAAAAGCTAGATATTCTGAAAGAATTCATGAATGACGGTCCAGCTTCTTCCAAGTTTAAAACTCTTACGGTGACTACCCACCAACACTTACACTAAACTAAGTCTAATGACAAAGGTGCATGACAGAGGTGAGGACAGATGATTTCCTAACTGGTATCACAATAAAATTAGCAAAACAAATAAAAAACGGACAATAAATATAGAAAGCCATAACTAGATCAAAACCATGACTAAAATGAGGACCAGCAAATCAGGAAAGATAGGTGTTTTACTTTAGGAAACACATTGTTTAAAGTTTTGCTTAAGATTTTCTGCAACATATGAAGAAGACACCTGGATGGCAATATGTCCCATTAACGTCTAAAAAATAATTTAAGAACATTAGGTATTAGAAACTATCATTTAAAGTGTTAAGAAAGACAAATGGCATGAGCATGTGTCAGCTCTTGAGGGCTACCAAAATATTTACCTGGACAAAGAAGCTTCCCATTTCTATCAATAGGTCTTAAACAGCTATTCTCAGCTAGAAATAAAAAGAAGCTGGTTATTGCACCAAAGAAGACTAAGGAGAGATGCTTATGTGTTAATTAGCAGGAGCTACAACAAGCTAAAAAAACAAACAAACAAAAACCCCAACAACTAGAAAACGAGTACAGGCGGTCTTCACTTTGCACAGGAGCCCAGGGCTGTGACATGGAAAGCTTAGAAACAATGAGGAACATTATGACTGTTCTATGACCTTTAAACATTTCTTTTAAAACTCTGTCAGTAATACATGTATGGCAACATGAAAAAACCTAAAACATTTAAAACCGTAATACATGTATAGTGTCCTAAAAAAATAGTAAAACTAATACACTGTAAGTTAAAATACTAGAAACATTGAGAATTGAAATATTTCTTTGTACAAATATCAAGAATATTTCAAACAGGGCTTGCTTTTTTCCTCACTGTAGAGCTTACAATGCAGAATGTCTTCTGTATCCCCTAGCGAATTGTAATACTCAAAATTTGGATCACCTTCCAATATTTTATATTTTGTGCTTTCAGTCTCATTAAGCATCTCCAAGAGCTCCTTTACTGTGGAGTTTTCTTTGCCAGTGTCACTCCCTCGGGGATACCTTCATCCTTTCTGCTACAACCACTTTCTTCACTTCTGCGGCTGAGTTTATGTCGTTTCTCTGGCTGCAAACCTAGAGTCTCTGGAATGACAGCAGCATCAACATTCCTATGGTCAGCCATTCCTTCTGTTACTCCATATTCTCTGGTTTCTTTGCAGCACTCTCATCTTTGCTGGGCAATTTGATTATCCATTCTTGTGAAATGTTGTATGGACTTACCACTGGGAGAAAAGGAGGCCACTGTCGGTGGTGAAATTAGTAACAGATGTGCCATCACCAATCACTGGCAGAATTTAAAGAGTGAAGTAATTGGTCACTGATCGTGATGCACATCTATTATCCATGTAGTGATCTGTGGAATGAACAGCTAGTAGTAGAGTTAGTACTGATGCAATTACTTAGTTAATATCTGGTGATAGCTGAATTTTGAACGATGCTGCTAGGTAACTGACTTTGCATCATCAACTGTGGTAAATGAAACTCATGCATACTGGAACTATGCAGAGACTGCCTGTATTTAAAATATGACAGGTGATTTTTTTTTTTGGAAAAATGTCAAATTTACTAACCTTCAAAAAAGGCACATTAAAACAATATATCATTTTTCATGTTTTAAGAGGAAAAGTACTTCAAAAATGATAAAGACAGGTGATTTTTATGCTTATTAAATGGATAGGGCCAGTGTGCCTGACTGAGGATGCAAAGATTCCTGCTTTGTGGGAAGGAACACACAGGTATTTAGTCCAAACAGATTTCTTACAAAGTCAGATGTGAAGTGAGGTTATTAGGAGGGGTGTGACCTTCTGAGAGGGCAAGAATGGCATGGGCCTTATTTTTTTAATTAGTGTTTACATTATGTTTGGTTCAAAGAGTTAGATATAAACATGTAACAACCAGCAGCAAGTAGATAATTTGCATCACCCCCCAAAATTCCCTCCAACTGCTCTGCTGTCAGTCATCCGTCCCTAATCCTGATCTGCTTCTGTCACTAAGACCTAGGTTTTGTTTTCTTTTATGAAAACTTCATAGTGCTCTTTTGTGTCTAACTTCTTTTTCTTGCCACACTGTCTTTGAGATTCGCTCATGTTTCATAAGTGGAGGTGGTTCACTGCTTTTCTGAATGAACAGCACCCCACCGTGTGGATACACCAGTCTGCGCATCCCTTCACCTGGTAAAGGACATTTGGATTGTTTCCAGTTTTTTACTGTGAACATTTATGTACAATATTTGTAAGGCTGTACTAAATTTTGACTTTTCTTGGGTAAATATCTATGGTACTGGTAAGTAAATGTTCAAATTCACAAGAAACAAGCAAACTCCTTCCAAAGTGACTGGTTTTTACACTCTCATCAGCAATACACGGGAGTTAAAGTCGCACCACATCTTTGCTACCACTTGGTTTTGTCAGTACTTGAACCATTCCCCTGAGCGTATGGTAGTGTTTCCTGTGCTTTCAGTTTGATAGCTAGTGACGCTGAACATCTTTCTCTGTGCTTACTGGTCACTCATAGGTATGTCTTCTTTTGTGAACTGTCATCCCATTTTGGCTTGGGTGTCTTCTGAGTAGGTCGCCCATGTTTTTTATATATCCTGAATACAAGTCTATTGTCAAATATGTGTTCTACAATTTTTTTCCCACCAGTTTGTGGCTTGCCTTTTCAGATGCCTTTTGAAGATCAGAAGTTTTACATTTTGATGTTGTCCAATTTTTCCTTTTATGATTTGTGCTTTTTGAGTCCCATCTAAAAAAAATCTTTTCCTTATGGTAAAAGTGACAAAGATTTTCTCATGTTTTCTTCCAGAAATATTATAGTTTTAGGTTTTAACATGTAGGTCTAGGATACAATTTTAAGTTAGTGTTTTACATGATGTTAAAGCAAAGCTAGAGATTCATTTTTGTATCAGTGGACATCCAATTGGCCCAGCACTATATGCTGAAATACACTCTCTTCCTCCATGGAACACCTTAGCCTTTTTGTTGAAAGTCAACTGACTATACATATACATGTCAGTCTGCACCTATTTTAGGACCTTCAATGTAGTTCCATTATGAATATTTTAGGTTTAGGCTTCAAAAATTACATGTAATCTCTGTTGTACATTTTTTTTCTCAAAAGAGCCCTTTAAAAATGTAAAAACTATTCTCAGCCCACTTGCTGTACAGAAACAGGCTGTGGGCCACAGCCTGCTGACCCCTGTTCAATGGATCGGCTCTAGCGCAATACACTTGTTCTGATTACTTACATCTTCACAATGAGTCTTGAAATCAGGCAGTGGAACTCTCCCAGCTTCATTCCTTTTATTCCCCACAACCCCACACTGTTAAGGGTACTTTGGGTTTTTCGCATTTCCATATAAATTTGTCCATTTCGGGTTGTAGGTGCATGAGTTTTCTTTGAATTACTTTTTGTATGCTCCTATACTTTTTTCAATTAAAAATCAAAACAAAATTAAACCCCAAACCCAAAAACAAATGTAAATGATTACCTAGTTCCTTCATTAACTTTAATTCCTTTATGGCTTTAATTCGAATATCAAAGACCACCTAAAATAGAGAAATAAACGAATAACTCTGTATAAGTTGGAAACAATGACATCAAAGCGAAGCTCATCAGCGAGTGCAAACATTGTATGAGTCATTCACTGCCTGACAGTTTTTTTGCCTTCTTGAAAAAAATTTCCTATCCCTGAAATTTTCTCTCTTCTACAAAGTCAAAGGCAAAAACTCAGATTATCTTTACAATTAAGTTTTTACCAAACTGATGTTAATTGGAACAGAAAGCTACCGAAAACTAAAGAAAGAATTCTAGCCAGAAAGGCAACGGGCTGATAAACCGTGAACCTTTCTAATGAGAGCATGCAACTGCAGGTAATCAAATTTCTCTGTGTCCAGCGTGATGAATTCAGGACCAATAAGAATAAATAATATAAAAATGTACAATACTAATGCAAGGGCACTGTTTAAAATACTTTCAGACTGTTTTCTGTCTTTTTTTTAGTTTAAGCTAACTGCCATTAGAGCGTGGTATTTAGGGATAGAACTGATGTCAGATATCACTGACTCTACCCCACCTCGGCGCCCTACACTGCGCCAGAAGGAGCAGGGACTGAACTCATCAAGGACATCAGCAGGCCCCCACTTAGGCGGAGCTTTAGCGCACTGGTCTACACTGTCCCCTCTCCTGTACCAACAAACAGGGGAGCACTTTAAGAAATTTAATATTTATAGAAAATACTCTAATAAGTTTCTCTTAATGTTGTAAAAAAAAAAAAACTTAATGAATTGAGACTTCATAAATATAAAAAGATTTCCTGGAAGAAGTTTGGGGAAACCAGTATCACAGTTCAAATGGGAAACTGAAGGACACCTGAGGCTTTATATGGAGCACAGAGTGTCATGCAGAGCAGTCTAAGATAAACTAAGAAAAAACCCAAAACATAACACAAAAACAACATTTATACCTGTTTAAAAAAAATAAAAAAACACTCTTGTAAACATTTTCTACTTATCAAAGCCAGAGGATTCCATGAATTAATTAAATAGGTAACTCCTACATTCTAATTCTAGGCTTTGGAGGAAAAATAAGGTTGTATATTTTCTTGAAACAGGCCAAGGGCTAATATGGGTAAACAAGCAATAATCAAATGTTAAAAAGTTGACTTCTTGATTTAGAAGTCTACTGAGACAACTGTTCTTAAAGAATAAAGTACTGCTTTCTAAATAACATTGTTAACTAAGACACTATCAACCAAACTTTAATTATAATCTACTCTACTCACTGTGTTAAGAGTTGCCGATATTTTAACTTGCTTCTCTTCAGATTCTAATTCACACAAATTTTTAACTTGGAGCCAGTCAATCTCATTCATACTAGTGATCCACTTCCCTTGTCTGGTCAATAAACTGTAGGTTAAAAGACATTTTAAAAAAGTCTTTACACAGCACTTTTATGAATCAGAAAGGATCACAAAATTAATACTTTTTCTTAGGCACCACTTCCAAAATGGTGCATGTTTTCCTTAATGTGGCTAATTAAAGGTGACCAAGTTCTAATGAGATGGCTTTATGAAGGCTGACCATTTTTTTAGGGTGGTGTTAGGCAGTATTCTACAGAGTCTATATTAAGGATTCCAAATCTTTAACTTATACAAATAATTTGTTGCCACACTTTTCAAAGATAACTGTTGTAAATGGAAATCAGTTGTTGACCTCTGCCTGCACACCGGAATCACGAAATCCGTAAACCACAAAATGAGGTTTATGAATCTACCAACAGGGCGGGGGAAAGAGAATATAAATATTTATCTATAATGATTTTTATGTTTAAAAAGAAAAAAATTTCAAAACAGAAAGACTTGTTTGAACTCAGGAAGTCAGGAAAGCTGACAGTGACTGCCACTGAGTGGGTGGTCCTGTTCTGGGTCTCTTGTCTTAGCTTCTGTATTTCTCAAATCTGTTAAGTAGGTATTACTTTTTATAAAGGAATATATAATAAACTTTAAAATTAAGTAGATAAAGTGAGGAAATAAATTTACCACCTGTCCTAGTAGTAAATATAACACAAGATAAACATAGCTCACAAGTATTCTGCATCACAGTCACCATTAACAATAATGCAGAGGCTCTATAATCTAATATATTCACAGAACTGATTTATTGTTTGCAACCTTAAGCCTTGACTATATGGGAATTTGTGGGATTACAGTATATCAAACCTTGCACCCAGAAATGTACTGTAACAGACATTGATAACAAAAATGGAGAGAGGCAGCACCTAAGCTCCACTGTGACCTATGGGAACTGAGAGTATAGTCATTAAAAGGACTACTACAAAAAACTGAATTGCCTTATGGGATTCTTGTGACAAAATTGGCTATGACCTTAATATCCTCCTTGTAAAAAATTTCAGGAACTTTCTTTGTGAAAATGTGCCTTCAGTTTTATAATAAGTATACCAATCAGAATTCATTTGATAGGATTCTGCTTTATAGTCAGTTAATCTAGATTATATCTTGTCTGTACCTGTATTTAGTCACCACATTTACCAAAAAAAAATCGCATTTCAGTATCATTTTTTTCTCCAAGTTGCCTAACCTAGAACCTTCCTATTTACAATCTGTAGGACACAATGTCTAGAAATAAAAAGTAACATTTAATTCTTATCATTAAAATAAAGCTTTTAAGTTTTAAGAGAGCAGTAAACTGAAATTACTTAAAACAATTCTCTCTCTTTGTAAAGAGTTACCTGTTATCCCCATTTCTAGGATCCTGGATTAAAAGTGAGCTTCCGTTTCTGAGACCTTGCTCTCTGAATGTCTTCTTCAAGTCTCCCCTGGGAATGGCAGTCCAGCTGTCCTCACCTGCAGACTCAGCACTGCTGATCAAGATGACACCTCCTGGGAGAGCTAAGGCTGTGAACACCGTGCTCACTTGCGCATTAGACGGGAAGACATGTGGGGATTCTACCAAGTGCTGACACTTGTCTCCTTCACTGCCTGTTGCCATGTGAAGAACATTCAGAAGCAGAGGTTCACAGTCACTACCAGTTGGAATCTGGATTCCTCCAACCTACAATATTAGCAAGACAACCATCAGTATAGCTTATACTTGCCAAAATGAAGTCAACATAACATAGTAAAAGATTATTCTTATATAACAATTCTCACTTTTTTTGTTTTCAAGCAAAATTAATTTTCACAAATATCTTTTAAGTATCAGAAAAACTTTAGATTTTTCTTTTGAAATTTTCTCTTAACCGTCTTTTATTTTTTAAGAGAAATCTAGATTGCAGACAGATGTCCAAGACCTCAGTGGTGGCTGAAGCCTTGAAATACATGAGATGGCCCTCCAAGGGACAGTCCACTGAGTGGGTGAGATGCTCCTTATCCTTTTCTTGACCTAGAAAAGTCACCTCCATTCTCTAACTTGGTGCAGCTACTTGCCCCCTTCTGAATTCTCACGGGAAACACACACAGGCCCCTACTCTAGCACTTGGATTAGCAAAACTACTTACACTGTGAGCGCCTGAGAACAGGCTATTTACCTTTGTATCTTGCATCTGACATACAGCCTGGCACAATGGAGGGGCTCCATGAATATCTCTTTAACTAACACTGATGGTACCTCAAATTTATGAAGGCTGACCATTTTTTTAGGGTGGTGTTAGGCAGTATTCTACAGAGTCTATATTAAGGATTCCAAATCTTTAACTTATACAAATAATTTATTGCCACACTTTTCAAAGATAACTGTTGTAAATGGAAATCAGTTGTTGACCTCTGCCTGCACACTGGAATCACCAGGGGAGCTTTAGAAGAGTACTTAACGCCTCCAGCCCACCACAGAACTTAGATTTCGTTCAGTAACAGGACAGCCACGTACAGCTGCACAGACCACAATGTTAAAAGTGCCACATTTAAGGGGTATCTTTCCCATCACATACACTGCATATGCATATATGTTGTAAGTGTTGTATTTTCATTATGGAATTCTATTTTATGATAGCGAGGTGGCATAGTGTCTTGTTCTAAAAAATTTTCTTACAGACAGTAAAATGTCTTAAGTAAGTGTGACTTCTAATTCACACAGAGGCAATGAACGGGCTAGCAGAAGTCTTCTTTGGAAGTGTGTGTCAGAGCCCTGAAACACAATTCTCTGCTACTAGTTATTCTACTCTGGGTCTCCCCTTGAAGTTAACAGTCCTCACTATAGCAATGTTTTAAGCATGAAGACTACCTTAAAACAGTGAAAAACGAGACGATGATGACAATGACTGAGGATGACACTAGCTAAAACAGCATTTATTATGCGCCAACACTTTGTAAGCACTTAACTCTTTCAATCCTTAAAACTCTAGGAAGTTGGTACAGATTATTATCCCCATTTTACAGAAGACACTGAGCAGAGAGAGATAACAGCACTTGCCCATGGTCACACTGTTAGAAAGTGATAAAGCAGGAAACAAGTCCAGGCAGCTGGCTCCAGAGTCCTTACCCACTACACGTACCGTCACACAGGAGCACAGTTAGGTAATCTTTAACACCAACACAGGCCATTCTATAGTGTATAGTGTGTAGCTATTAAAGGTGACCAAGTTCTAATGAGATGGCTTTATGAAGGCTGACCATTTTTTTAGGGTGGTGTTAGGCAGTATTCTACAGAGTCTATATTAAGGATTCCAAATCTTTAACTTATACAAATAATTTGTTGCCACACTTTTCAAAGATAACTGTTGTAAATGGAAATCAGTTGTTGACCTCTGCCTGCACACCGGAATCACGAAATCCGTAAACCACAAAATGAGGTTTATGAATCTACCAACAGGGCGGGGGAAAGAGAATATAAATATTTATCTATAATGATTTTTATGTTTAAAAAGAAAAAAATTTCAAAACAGAAAGACTTGTTTGAACTCAGGAAGTCAGGAAAGCTGACAGTGACTGCCACTGAGTGGGTGGTCCTGTTCTGGGTCTCTTGTCTTAGCTTCTGTATTTCTCAAATCTGTTAAGTAGGTATTACTTTTTATAAAGGAATATATAATAAACTTTAAAATTAAGTAGATAAAGTGAGGAAATAAATTTACCACCTGTCCTAGTAGTAAATATAACACAAGATAAACATAGCTCACAAGTATTCTGCATCACAGTCACCATTAACAATAATGCAGAGGCTCTATAATCTAATATATTCACAGAACTGATTTATTGTTTGCAACCTTAAGCCTTGACTATATGGGAATTTGTGGGATTACAGTATATCAAACCTTGCACCCAGAAATGTACTGTAACAGACATTGATAACAAAAATGGAGAGAGGCAGCACCTAAGCTCCACTGTGACCTATGGGAACTGAGAGTATAGTCATTAAAAGGACTACTACAAAAAACTGAATTGCCTTATGGGATTCTTGTGACAAAATTGGCTATGACCTTAATATCCTCCTTGTAAAAAATTTCAGGAACTTTCTTTGTGAGAATGTGCCTTCAGTTTTATAATAAGTATACCAATCAGAATTCATTTGATAGGATTCTGCTTTATAGTCAGTTAATCTAGATTATATCTTGTCTGTACCTGTATTTAGTCACCACATTTACCAAAAAAAAATCACATTTCAGTATCATTTTTTTCTCCAAGTTGCCTAACCTAGAACCTTCCTATTTACAATCTGTAGGACACAATGTCTAGAAATAAAAAGTAACATTTAATTCTTATCATTAAAATAAAGCTTTTAAGTTTTAAGAGAGCAGTAAACTGAAATTACTTAAAACAATTCTCTCTCTTTGTAAAGAGTTACCTGTTATCCCCATTTCTAGGATCCTGGATTAAAAGTGAGCTTCCGTTTCTGAGACCTTGCTCTCTGAATGTCTTCTTCAAGTCTCCCCTGGGAATGGCAGTCCAGCTGTCCTCACCTGCAGACTCAGCACTGCTGATCAAGATGACACCTCCTGGGAGAGCTAAGGCTGTGAACACCGTGCTCACTTGCGCATTAGACGGGAAGACATGTGGGGATTCTACCAAGTGCTGACACTTGTCTCCTTCACTGCCTGTTGCCATGTGAAGAACATTCAGAAGCAGAGGTTCACAGTCACTACCAGTTGGAATCTGGATTCCTCCAACCTACAATATTAGCAAGACAACCATCAGTATAGCTTATACTTGCCAAAATGAAGTCAACATAACATAGTAAAAGATTATTCTTATATAACAATTCTCACTTTTTTTGTTTTCAAGCAAAATTAATTTTCACAAATATCTTTTAAGTATCAGAAAAACTTTAGATTTTTCTTTTGAAATTTTCTCTTAACCATCTTTTATTTGTTAAGAGAAATCTAGATTGCAGACAGATGTCCAAGACCTCAGTGGTGGCTGAAGCCTTGAAATACGAGATGGCCCTCCAAGGGACAGTCCACTGAGTGGGTGAGATGCTCCTTATCCTTTTCTTGACCTAGAAAAGTCACCTCCATTCTCTAACTTGGTGCAGCTACTTGCCCCCTTCTGAATTCTCACAGGAAACACACACAGGCCCCTACTCTAGCACTTGGATTAGCAAAACTACTTACACTGTGAGCGCCTGAGAACAGGCTATTTACCTTTGTATCTTGCATCTGACATACAGCCTGGCACAATGGAGGGGCTCCATGAATATCTCTTTAACTAACACTGATGGTACCTCAAATTTACTGGCTCTTTCAGCAGCTTTCTAATATCTAATTGCCTTCATACATAATGAATAAAATTTTATTTCAGTGACTTTTAAAAAATCCAAAACTATCATGAATATTTCTTTAACACTTTTTTACCTCCATCCCATTCCATACAAAGATGTCTTCCCCATCAGTAATTTCAATTTCACACAATGCCAGGTCATCTCCTAGGAAGATGAGATTATCAGTGAGACCATCCATCACGATCATCAAAAACAATTTAACCAAACAGAGCTGTGACACTTGTTTGAAAAGGTATTTTCATTAAGGAAAATTAAGAAAAAGGCAGTATTATGTTATGCTTATTATATTAATCTTTTATTTTTATCTTTGTTCCTTCCACCATACTCATCTTTATTCTTTCATTGTATGTAAGCTTTTCCCCATGTTACATAAGTTTTGTGAGCATGACTGCAGAGAAAAAGAGTTAATAAAAGGCGGATTGTAAACAGGAGTTGGGCTTAGGCATCGAATTATCCTCGCCCCACCATTAATGAGCTGCACGTCCTGCGCACTTCAAGCCTCTCACCTCAGCTCTCTCATTACCTCCGTACCTGGCACAATGGAGTCCAAAGCAAACATTCCTGCCGCTACTGCTATTGCTGTTTTGTTGTTATTTAACAGAAGTAAATACTTTTAAACTCTTAAAGTACTTTTGCTACAAAATCTGAAGCTGAGAGATGGGTAAAAAGTCAACCATATAAACAAGATTCTAATGGTTTCAAACCATTGTGCTCAAAAAGTTGCGGTTATAAAAAATTCCCAAGTGTTTAAAAATTGTTTTGGCAGTGAGGTAGCCGAAATTTTAAAAAATATAAACATTTTCACATTAGCAAAAATTTATACATTATCATAAATTGGATATACTATAAATTGGATACATTGTTTAAACATCTACAGTGTGATGATAATCTACATCATTACAAAAGAAGTCGGTAGGGGGAAAGACTGAAAACATTACAGATGAGCCCACAAGGATATAAAAGTATAAAATAAGTCACTATGGTTTAATATTTATCTTACCATCAAGTGTCTGGTAAATGTGAAGTCCCGCTGGTACAAACTTTGCCACACTAAGAACCATATCTCCTTCCCAAAATTCTAACAGCTATACAAATATTAACAAAAGAAAAGAGAACAATGAAAAGTAGCATATATATCACATTTCCAGGTAAAGAAGAGCGCTGTGCAGATGCACACATACAGGGGATACGGGGAGAAAGCCAACGAATTTGCCCGTCCCTGCCCAATGCCACAAACGTGGTGAGAAGACATCGCTCAATGCTGAGTTAGTCGAGTTTAATCTCATTCATTAGTGACTTGGCTTACACAAAGAGCACAAAGAACGTCTAAACAAATTTATGGGGAGACTTCTTATCAGAAGGCAGGCTGATAAGCGTGCCAAGCCAAGAATCTTTGTCCACAAGAGCAAAACTTATTTGTTGAATTAGCCCTGTTCAGGGAAAAGTGGTGCGAACTTCAGCGCACACAGTCTCCTTTCTTGAAAGGCACGTCTCCGACTGCAAATCCAAAAAGTGTATGTAATAGATTACCAGGCATTTTTTTTTTTTTTTGAGTTTCTAGATCCAAGATTCTGGGGACTGTGGTAACTCTGCCAAAATAACATCACTTAAAACGTCAGTCCTATTTTGCCTCTCTCCAAAATACCACAAGATAGTTCTCTTAAAAAGAAATTTCATACTGACAAATGATTAGTTAATTGTGTCACTCTCACAACCTACTGCCTGTTGCTTACTTCTAAAACAACAGAGATATGTATTAAAGACCAAAAAGCACACTAGAACAAATCTGAAACTTATGAAGGTGAATAAGGTCTTTTCCACCATGAATATCACCTTAGATAGTGTTAGATTCCCTAAGTCCACCTGTATCAACACTGTCAGGACTGGTTTTGCTTTTAATGGAAAAGTTCAGAAATAGACAATTTTAGAAATCCTGATATGATCCAAAATTTAAATATCATTTGAATGAACTAAAGGTAAAAAAGAAACTGGCCTGCTTTTCTCTGTACATGAGGAAAATAAAAAGAAAGCTAATTTTGGTAATTCATATGGTCTTCCAGAAACTTCATTTATTTCTGGGGGGGAAAAAAAGCTTACATTTTCTATTTCACGTTTCCTTGATCAGGAAGTACTGTGGGGGGAAGAAGTGTGATTAAGAGGAAAGAAAGAGTAGAGAGACCAGGGCAGGAGTCCTAGTTTTACCAGTAATTAGATGTCTGACTATGGGTAGATATTAGATCTCTTCAGATCCCCATTTCTTCAGCTTTAAAAGTGGGTCAGCTTGCCCTCATGAGGTTAAAGAACCAAGTGACGTAAGAAAGCATTACAAAGGGCACCGTTATCATTATTAAAACACAACTGGATAAATTATTTGGAGGCAATGCTAACAACATTTTTACTGTAGACCAGTAGATATTTTCCTTCACTTAAAAATCTTACTAAAATGCTATTCTATACTGAAAGTTACTTTAACTTGTTGAGTAGTTCTTGGTTTTAGGCAACATGCTTGTTTTTTCACTCCTTTTAAAAAACAATTTTCATTCATTTATTTTTCAGAAAAGGGACAACCTTATATTCTTTCTGTCCCTAAAATAAGCTATACCGGGCTTGCGTCTACCCCTGCAAAGCTGCTGGCAGGACTGAGAGCGTCTCTCCCAGGAAGAAGAGCCTCTCTGACAGACCCCCAAGTAAGGGGACAACATCTGGGCCAGCTTTCTATAGAAGCAGCAGATGCAGGATTTTCTTAAGCAGCTTTGGAAAATAAATAGTTGTATTCTAAATAGGATTTTTGAAAAGGAGAATATAGCCTGAGATGGAACTTCTGTCTAAGTTAAGTGGAACCAAGGCTAAATTACCTGAAATATGGATTGTCGAAGATCTCCTAAAGTTTTTCTTTTATCGAAGGTCAAATTCCACATGCTCTCTGTCTGAGAGACTATTGGGTGCAGAGCCCCATTGAAGAAATGATATTGAGGGCCCAGGTGGAGATGTAATTCAAAATTATTGTTTGTAGAATCACATTCTGCCCTTTAAAGAGGCATAAAAAATACATAAATTCTATGTGTTTGTAAGAGACACTGTTTCATCAAAAGCCAAAAATACATTTGATATAAATATTCTCCATTCCACCTAAGTAATTATCATTGACATCCTTTTCTTCCATGCTCCAAAATGACTCACTTTTTCTCAATGAATAGCATAATTTCAGCTCTGCCACTGTGAATTCCAAGGAAAATGAGTTTTAATGTACACTCTGCGATGTTAGTCTCAACAAATACATACACTCAGAATGCTTCAATCCTGAGGATTACACTTACGAACAGCTAGCAACTTGCTTCTATAATTGTGTTAAGAGCCAGCTTTACGAACTTCTATTTCATTCTAACTTCCAGCAGACCCCAGTGACTCTCCCATACAATACTGAGGTCAGTCTCATGGTCTGAGTCTCTCTCCCCAGATCAAATACAGTCAACAGCGGCCTGGCGCTGGCTGCTCTTCTCTGAACCCCCTCAGCTGCCTTGAAGCACAGACCCCAATACTCTGACCCAGGCAGCCTGACCGATGAAGGGTTGGATGAGGGTATCACCACTGCTCAGGTACTTCAAATACAATTCTATTAATGCAGTCAAAGAGAGCATCAGCCTTTTTGACGACCACATTAAAAAACTCCGTGCTGGCTGACTGAATCCCCCTAGGCTGTGTTTTGTTTTTATACCAACTGCTAATCCACACCACTCATGCAGGTTATATTTTGCACTTAAGATATTTTACTCTAAATTTTATTTTTAGTGTCTTGACTTTTGCTGAGATTCCCTTTGATAGTGGTTTGCCTTCAATCTACCTATTTTTCTCCACAGCTTCAAGTCAATGATAGAAATACTGAACATGTTGCTATGTAATCCGCCTGTTGGGTCTACCAGGAGACTGTGGGAACATCCGTTTCCCTAACCTGATATCCCACCGACCCTGTCAGAGAACAGATAAAGAACCAGCTCTTTAGAGTCCAAGGTTAGACCTCAGAAGAGAAGAATGTTGAGATCATCAAGTTCTCACAAACCATCCCTTTAATAATCCATTATAGGTTCTGCCCAAGACTGACATCAAGCCCAGTAGTTTGTAGGCTCCACATTCCCTGTCTGCTGCCCACCTCTGCTCTTCCGTCTCTACCGGCCTGCTCTCCGGGGCTACTTAAACATAAGGGCTGATTCTCACAGCAGGCTCTCCTTGTACCAACGGAATCACCTGACAAGCCAGGATACAATTCATTTAGCACAACTGTGAATTTACTGATTTCTCTAGTTTTCTTAAGCTTCAATCCCTACTTAGCAATGGCCATTTATATCATAGTACACCTTTCAATCTCACAGGTTAGGCTAATTTTGAAGTAAAAGATCCTCTCACTATAAAAATTCAGCAGCTAAACAGACACTCGCATTAACTAGTAGACTTTTTTCCTTTTTAATTTTCATTATTATACTAGAGACCTAAATTAGATCATCATTCTCCAGAAAAAACACTGAAATTCTAAGTAAGTCAAAATTACCTTTTTGCTTGCAGTTCCATGTTGGCTGCATCCATTTCATTCAGCAAATGACACGGAACCCTGTATCTTGGATTAGCCTGAGCTGTGAACGAAACTTTTCATTAACTTGTGTTGACTAAAAAATGAAATATGGTTGCTGAAGAGTATCATGCAAAGCTAAAAAGGCCTATTGCGCTGGGCATAGGGCAGCTTCTGTTAGCTACCTGTGTGAATACTGATTTTCTCTGATTCTCAGCTTTCCCATCTGAGAAATGGAAACATTAGAATAAATGAAAGATAAACATTCTTTAAGCCAAGCTAGAATTCCACTTCTTCAATTGTCTTTAAATAAACTTTTTAAAAAGAACACCCTCTATTTTCTTCCTGTTAACAGATATAACTGGTCACTGTAAAAATTCTGGAAATTATTTTTTAAAATGTAAAATAAATAGATTACTGCTAAAATTTGGTATAAATATTTGTGGTTTTTTTCTTTTTATCTACACAGTGTGTGTACACACACACACACACGCTTACTTAATGCAATTGGGATCATATTCCAAATTCGTAACATGCTTTTTCATTTCATATAGTGAGCATTTTTCTAAAGTTTGAATGATTGCATAGTAGTCCATTCTATAAATAGCATTTTCTAAACAATCTTCTATTAGATATGGGATTTCTAGTTAGTCTTTATTATAAAACAATGGGGATAACAGACATCTTTGAACATAAATATTTATACACAACTGATTATTTCAAGGCAAATTTGTAGAAGGAGAATTACTGGTTTAAGGTTTTTTAGATGCATAGCCAAATCGGTTGTATTACTTTATATGCCTACCAGCTGGCAGAGGAAATATCAACTGTTTGAGAACCAGATTAATAGAAATATTTGACTTGTAGGAAAAACGTGGCATCTCACTGCTGTTTCAGTTTGTGTTTTTTGATTATGGGCTGGGTTGAAAGAATCTTTTTTTCTTTTTTGCACTTCACCAGTTGTTCCTGTTCCTTCTTTTGTGCATCACTTATTTATATCCTTTTCCTAATTTACTCTAAGCATGCTGTGATATATGTGAGAGCCCTCTCCAGATGGGGGAAATAAAACTGTCATATACTTTGCTGTTTTCCACTAGCTTATCATTTGCCTTTTAATACTGTTTAAGGTTTATATCACTTTTCCTTGATTTTTTCTTTCTTTGCTTTTAAGTTCAGAAAGGTCTTCTAAACCTTAAGATCAGAAAAATATTGATATTTTGTACATTTTAAGGTTCCTTTTTTATATAAACACTAAAGGAATTATAAGTTAATGCAACTGATTAGCAACTAATAAACTTCCCAGTTGTATTTATTGAGTAGTTCACTTTTCTTGAACTCCTTCCTACCTTACATGAAAAGCTACCTTACCATGGATTAATATCCTGAAAATACTTGGATCAATTTCTATGCTTATTGCTCTATGTCAATGACCTGTCCACTTCTTTGCATTAGCACTAAATTTTTTACAGATACCGTAAATTTTCCTTCATTAGTCCTTTCTTCAATTTGCACCAATTTATCTCTGAATTTTTGAATCATTTTGCCAAGTTCCATGCCTTCATCCTCCAAAATGTCCATCAAGATTTTGGCTGGACCTTTATTCAATTCCTAAGCTAACTGGAGAACTGTCATTTAGTACATGCTCCAATTATTACATACGAAAATTCGATTCGGGGAAAAAGACATTACCTGAAGACATTCTCTTTCTGTTAGTAGTTCTGTAACTGTGAATCGTGCTCACAGTATATCATCAGAACCATTACCATACCTTTATCCCCTCAGAAAAATGCAGAGCCCCTTCTGGTAAACAGAATAGGTAATGGAACTGTTTCAGATCCAGAAAGTTAATTTCCTTTGATTCACATACAGATTAGTAACTGATTTATTCTTATTCTTTATAAAAAGAACACAATTCTTATTCCCTAAGGATGATATCCTCATCTCTAATCCACAACTATCTCAATCTAAAGAGTTTTCCTAGTTAGGTTTCACTTCTGAGTAGACTTTGGGAAGTGATCAAAAAGTCTTACAGACTGATTTATGTTAGTGACTTCAGTAAAAAGTTATCATTGTGGGTCTCAATGATGAGCTCTCTTAGAAGGTTCAACAAAGAATGCTTCGAAGATATTTCAATTAGGAGAGAACAGATTACCTTGAGGGAAAGGAAAATGAAAGGGAACATAAAAGTAAGACCTAGGCCACTTACAACTCAACGGCAACACATGGCTGGACGACAGAACCACACATGAGCACAGGTCAACCACATGCAAGGTTGCACACAAAACAAGAAAACATTATATAAGCCAAGAAAAGCCAATTCTGAAAACCTAACTATGGCTTCAAATTATTAGAGGAGAAAAAAATTAAATAGAAATGTTCAATCTTTATAATAGGACATCAGATTTCTTTTGGCATAATATATTTCTTACTGTTAGCTTGAAAATATTTTAAAACGTTCCAAGAGTAAACTTTCTTTTAAAAGGGAAAAAATTCAAATAGCATTCAACAATTACCTTCTGAAGTTATCAACTTAAATAAATAGGAACACTTTTATTTCCATACCTTCAGGGGGTCTCTGCATCTGGGATTTCCGATAAAACAACATGTAGGCACTTTCTTTACCCTGAAATTGCTGCTCAATATCCTTTTCCTTGATTGGTTGGACTTTGGAATCATTTATATCAAACCAGTGGGGACAGGAGGTGCTATTATTAAGTCCTGGGGATTCTGGAGTAAGTATCTTGAAAATTTGTTGATCATCTTTTTGGAAATCAGACTCAGCCTGAAGAGAACAGTTCTTCAATAGACTAACCATACTTTCATCTGAACTGAGTAGAAATATCTGAGAATGAAGCTGTAAGAACTACACAGAAAAACAAAAAATACTAGATTAATAAAGAGTTTTTTAATGAGATATGATTTAAAAAACTTGATCTTCCTTTCTGTGATTTAAATATTTTAACTTTACCTTTATTCTTGCCCTGGCCAGCTAGGAAGGAAAAAATCCATTTGGACTGTAAAAAAACATTCAATAAACATCAGAGTGTTCTCTCTGTTAAATGTCTAATAGTCAAGAGAATTGCTGTCATGCTACAATCTAAAATGTATTTTAATTATATCTCAATAATGCTGTTTAAAAATAGTACTTTACTGAAACAGATTAGATGGAATAAGAACACTTCTGAGATGTTTAAAGCAATCTAAACAAAGCACAAAACAAAGACAGTCACACAGTGAAGCACCATAAAAGATAATTTCAAACTAGTAACTCAGACAAGCTCTTGTTAGGATAAAGTAATAATTACAAATCTAAATTTTCATTTCATATTAACTAAACTGAATGCTGTTCTAGAAGCTGACAGGTTAGCTCTGGAAATCAAAGCATAGAAAGACTTAAGTCATAATCCTAAAGACTACTTCTCCAGTTCTTTTAGCTAAAGGTTTAGGAGGAAAAAACCTTCCCCTCCCCATTGCTCTTCCCACATTTGCACTCTCTACTCTGCTCCTCTCTTTGCCTCATCTCTGTGCAGCCTTGCATCCCCTTTGCTCTCAGCACAAATCTATTTTTATATAAAAATCACTTGGGAGGTATGTGTAACATTCGCTTGGGTCATCAATCAAAATGGATATGCGATTTTTTTCACTTTTCTTTTGGAAAGAGAATAACATGGTAATGTCAACTCTCTAATCAAAAGTACTATTTTATCACAAGCAGAGAGGCATAGAGTATATGACCCAAAGACAATATTGTTAACACTGTGTACGACAGATGGTAAAATAGTTTTGTAGCTGATTTGTTTTAGGTACAATAAAATACCAACAATCTGAAACCTTTGAGTATTGAACTTTCTGTATAGCCAATTTTCTATTTGTTTGACAGTTGAGGATTAATTCTTAAACTTCAAACTTCAGTGCAGTCTGATCCCAGTAATGGCAGAGAACTTTTACTGGGCTAAATCTCCTGATAAGAATGATAAACTTTCAACAAATAACGAAAACCACTGTTTGAGAATAATCACAGGCAGGCATAAAGTGGAGGGGACAGAATCCTCCAAAAGAGGGAAGCAAATGAGGTGAATTCTACATTAATCCACCACTTCCTAGTTTGTAGCAGTGCTTAGTGGAAGAGAATTCAAGCAAAAGGCAGGAATCTTATTGGACTGAGGACACAGAATTTGAGAATGCCAGAAAGGCTAGCAAGTGAAAGAGGAAATCCCATAAAGGAGCCCCAAATCTAGGTCAAATCCCCTTCAAATCCTTGGGTGACTCCTGAATGGTACATGGACGGCCTGAGACCTGAGGAACCCCACAGGAAGCAATAAACTGGGAGGTTCCAGATCTAAACACAGATCCTAGCACCCTGCTGCCAGGTAGAAAGAACGTAGAATTGAAGTCCTGCCAAATCAGAGGTATATGATGAATACCTCAAGCTTTCTACTGATAATGCAGACAGGCCATTCGGTGGGTCAGGTGCTCACAAGCTTTTCTGTAAAGCTTTATGGGCTAGAGACAAACTTGAGGACATTATGTAGGTATCCATATAACTTTCAAAAAGTAACTATTTAAAAAATGAAAAAACAGTTCTTAGCTTGGGGCTATACAAAAAACAGGCAGCAGGCCATATTTTGCCAATGGGCCATAGTTTGCTAACCTCTGCCTTAAGAGGCAGGACAGACCATGCATACCCCAGAACTAAGAGCTATTCCCCAGGACTAACAGCAAAACTGCAATCAACCCACCCCACTGAAGCCTAAAACACGGCTTCCATAGGATCAAGGTGATTCAAAGGTAATTTAACGGCCTGTTAGAACATAATGTAAAACCCACAGTCACAACACATCAACCATAATGTCCAGAAGGCAATATGAGATTATATGACATGTGAAGAAACAGAACAATGTGATAAGCAGGACAATGTGAAACATAACCAAGAGATGATACAGTAAATTCATACAAGAGAAAAAAAGTTAATAGAAACAGACCCAGAAGTGATCCAGATGATATAATAGCAAACTGCTATTAAAAATACGGTTAACTTATAGGAAAGGATGATGGACAGAGTGGGTTAGATGGGGAAATTCAACAGTGAAATGGACACTCTAAATAAAGAGCTAAGTGGAAATTCTACAGTTGAAATACACAGTATCTGAAACCAGAAGTTCACTGGTTGGGCTTGACAGAAGAAAGAACCAATGAACTTGAAGACAGATCAATGGAAATTATCCAAATTGAAGGAGAGGGGAAAAAGAAAAAGAAAAAGAAAAAAACCCTGGAATATCTATGATCTGTTTGGAAATATTGAATGGCCTAATAGACATGGTGCTACCATTCTAGAAGGAGAAGAGATAATTGGTCAGAAAAAAAATCAAGTATTAATGGCCAAAATGGAAGAAAGACTTCAAATTACAGAAATAAAAAACTTAATACAAAGCAAATAAACACAAAGAATGTCATACACTGAAACACATTATTGTTATACTGCTAAAAAGCAAAGATAAAGAGAAATTCTTAAAGCAGACAGAGAAAATGATGCATTTAAGTGACACTGACTTCTCAGCCAAAATAATGGAAGCCAGAACATAATGGAATGACATCTTCAAAGTGCTGAAAGAAAAAAATACTATTAACCTAGAATTCTATAGCCAGCAAAATTATTTTTTTAAATGAGGGCAAAATAAAGATTTCAGGCAAACAATAGCTGAGAATAGTTTTTCCAGCAGTTCTAGACTCCAAGAAGTGCTAAGGGAAGTTTTCAAGGTTGAAAGGAAATGATTTATTAGATGTAAACCTGGATGTGCAAGAAGGAAAAATGAACACCAGAATGGATAAATAAACACTATTATTTCATTAATTTCTTTAAAAGCTGCCTAAGTGATTAAAGCAAAAAATAACAATAAAAATAAGTAATGTATAGAATTTACATGTAATGGTAAAAATATAAGAAAATCATAGCAGAAAAGGATAGAAGTAAGGAAATGGAATTATGCTACAGCAGACACCTTACACTGTACAGGAAGTTGTATAATATTACCTTAAATATTGATTTATGTATAGTGTATTCACAGAGTAAAAGGATTAAACAAAGAAGTATAGCTAAAAAGCCAACAGAGGAGATAAAAATGAAACACTAAAAATTTCTCAATTAATCCAAAAGAACCAAAATAGAGGAAGGAAATAAAAAACAAATAGATGGTAAATTCAAACTCAAGGGTATCAATCAATACATTAAAAACAACTGGACTGAATAAACATTCTAATTAAAATGAAAAGATTATCAAATTATCACCTGATAGAAAACAGATGAACAGTAGAGAAAATCAATAGATGCAAACTTGTTCTTTTGTAAAGCTTAATAAACTTGATAAACCCCTAGCAAGACTGATAAAAAAGAGCTAAAAAGCATACATTATCAGTATCAGAAATGAAATAGGGAACTAACTTCAGGTGCTGCAGAGAGCTTTATGATAAAAAATTTGACACTGTAAGTAAAAGAACTAATTACTTAAAAATCACAATTTTCCAAAACAAGCAAGAATCAACTTCATAGTTTGCAAGAGACACCGTTTCATAAGAAAGCTTGCACAGTTACATTAATACTAGAGAAGGTGCATCTCAAGGCAAGGAATATCAGCAGAGATAAACGGTGTTTCATGTCAGGAGGTATATGAACCTAGTAATAGAGCTTCCATAGACATGAAGCAAAATTCTCAAAAGTAAAAGAAGGGACAAATCCACTATTATTGTAGGAGATTTAAAAATTATTCTGAGTAACTGATAACAATAAAAAGAAAAATTAGTAAGGACAAAGAAGAAATAAAGAACACTATTAATCAATCTGACCAGGCTGACATTTATGAGACACTATACCCAACAACTGCAGAAAATAACTTTCCAAGTGAATACGTCATCAAGACTATATTGTGAGCACGGAACAGCTCAAATTCAAAAGAACTGAAAATACAGAGAACATGTTCTCACAGTACAGTAGAATTAATTAGAAATCAATTTACAGATATAACAAAAAGAGAACTAGAAATCCCCTGAGCATTTGGAAATTGAGCAACAAGTTCACAAAAAAAAATCACAAGGAAAATTAGGAAATATTTTGACCTGAATGATAAAGAAAACGTGTCTAGTTTAGCTGCAGCTAAATTAGTGCTCAGAAGGAAATTTATAGTTTTAAAGGTGTGTATTAAAAGAAATATTTAAGAACAACTGAGATACAAACCCAAGAAGCTAGAAAAAGATGATCAAATTAAATCCGAGAGGTAAAAGGAAGGGACATAATTAAAAACAAGAGCAGACATCAGTGAAACAGAAAACAGATGAGTAGTAGAGAAAATCAACAAAGTCAAAAGTGAGTCTTTTGATAAGTTTAATAAACTTGATAAGCCCCAAGCAAGACTGATGGCAAAAAGTGAGCAAATACAAACTACTAATATCAGTGGCCACAGACCAAACAGTTAAAGGACTCAGTACAGGGCTATTTCCAACAATACAGGGGAATATTTCCCAACCTCTTAGGAGTCCTACATAACCCTGATGCTAAAATTTAACAAAGACATTACAAAAAGGAAAATTAAAGACTGTTATCTCTCAAAAACACAGACACAAAAATCCTAAAGTGCCAAATTATGCACTACAGCAATATATAAAATATATCATGACCAAGTGTGATTTATCTCAGAAATGTAAGATTTAACATTAAAAAGATCAGTCAACAGAATTAATCACATTACCAGAATAAGAGAAAAGCAATGTGATCCTTTCAATAGATGTAAAAAAAAAAAAAAACCCCAAACAAAAAAACCCAAAATCAAACAATCAGCATTTGATAAAATTCAACCTCTACTCAAGATGAAACTCAGTCGTCTATGAATAAAAGGTACTTCCCTCATTATAAAAAGTATTTGTATTTCTATAAAACCTGCACAGCTATTATCATACTTTAAAGTAAAATACTGAAACATGGATCCAATCATTTTAAATAGGTGGTTAAGCTAACATCGGTTTATGAACTGTGTCTAATTAAAAGGCACAGTTAACACTGCAGTGTATAAACTCTTTACTCCCACAAGAAATAGTTCCAAAATATTACGTCTTTTGTTGCTTTGCTTCTTCCCAGTCGTTGTATCTCTTATTTCTGGCACTACCAGTTTTGCATCTAATTTTATAGGCTAGGAAACCAGATTACCAAGTTGACTAGAATTGTTTGTAAAAGAAAGATCAAGTAGAATCTGGGTGAATATCTGCAGACTTGACTTATTTCTCTAAGTAAAAGGAAAGCTTTAAGGTATGAACTTGTGACATTTTTTTGCTGTTACGGTTAAAGGCCCTTCAGATTTTTGCTTGCTTGCTTCTTGATCCCATCATAACTCAATACTTAGTAAGTAACATAGCTGAATTCTAACCATTAAACATAAATACTGATTTTATTTTCACCAGATTTAAATTTCCTTCTGCAAAAGGATCATAATGAGATGGCCTGGGAATAGGACTTCCTGTAAGGATGTCCTGTATTACCTTTCGCAGGGGTCCATACTGTTTTCTGTACTTTTTGTTCCAAGATATTCCTATCTTTTTCAAGAGTCTCTGGCCCAGCTGATCCACAGGAATTCCATTACCCTCCTCCTTAGTAAAGAAACAGAAGTCATTTCAGAGAATCTGATGAGATATAACCAAAACACATGAGTTCAAAGTGACCATGTAATTAAATAAACCTGTAACAGTAAACATGTAAGTGGATTAACCATACTTGTTTAAAAATAAAAAGTTTTCTAAAACTAGAAAGCTTGAATTTTGCTACTTCCCATGTGTCAAAGTTTAACACTTCAAGAGCAATATTCAAAGAATAGTCTCAGTCTTGTTAAGTTCCTGATATTATGTGGAGTTTCTAAGAGAAATACTTAAGTACAAAAAAGGGTCACGAATGCCTTTTCTGAATGTTTTGAATTTGAAGTAAACAAATTCTGAAAGGGGGTAAGATGTGACTGTTACGGGCTGAAATATGTCCTCCTGCCAAAATTTGTATGTTGAATCTCTAAACCTTCAAAATTTCAGCTGTGACTGTATTTGAATAGAGCCTTTGAAGAAGTGATACAGTTAACATGAAGTCACTTGGGCGGGTCTAATCCGATCTGACTGGTGTCCTTAAAAGAGGAAATTTGGACAGAGATACCAGAGATGCACATGCACAGAGGCAAGGCCACGTGAGGACACAGTGAGAAGGTGGCCCTCTGCAAGCCAAGGCGAGGGGCATCAGGAGGAACCATTCCTGCCAGCACCATGATCTCAGACTTCTGGCCCCCAGAACTGGGAGAAAATGTGTCTGCTGTGGATGCCCCCCAGTCAGTGGTACTTGGCTCTGGCAGCCCTAAGAGTATAATACAGTAGCCACATAATATAGTTAAAGGACTCAGCCTAGGTCCCTGATAAAGAATTATGAAAAATTAGTTATTAAAAATAAGTATGAAAGGAAACCTACCATCTTCACAACAGGGTACTAAGCAAACACAGAAAATCAAGGGCTTGAGGTATTACCAATATTAAGAAAATTATATTGGGGACATAACTTCAGGTCCCACAGACATGTAAAGGATAACATGGGAAAACAATAAATTCCAAAATAGTATGTAAATGAAACCCCGATTCTATTTAAAATGACAATAATGCCAAAAAAACCCAAATCCAATCCCTATATATATATATATACACATAAATATATATATTTATATAAGTACAAAGAAAGCAGAATGTAAAGAATATATATCGAAGTGTTGACAATGACTGGACATTTAGTTTATTTATACTTTTTATTGCCTTATATATTTTTTAGTTTTTTTTCTCTCAAATTTCCTACCATGACTACATATTCCTTTTAAAACCAGAAAGTTTCCAATTAAAAAATTTTTAAAGTAGAGAATGTTCCAAAGGAAAAACACCATGAATAGTAACATGAGTTCTACCAAAAAAATCTCACAAATATATACACAGTTGGTCCTTGAACAACATGGGTTTGAATTGCACAGGTTCACTTACACATGAATTTTTTCATAAGTATATGGAAAAAAATTTTGGAGATTTGCAACAATTTGAAAAACATTTTCTTTTCTCTAGCTTATTGTATTCTAAGAGTATAGTATACAATATATATATGCCATACAAAGTATGCGTTAATCGACTATGTTTCAGTAAGGCTTTTTCAGTCATCAGTGGGCTGTATTAAGTTTTAGGGAAGTCAAAAGTTATACACAGATTTTTGAGTGTGCAAGGACAGGGGGGTTACCACTGTTCAAGGGTCAACTGTGTATGTGATATACATACACACACACAAATACAAACATCCTCTCTCTCTACCTGTAATAAGATTGCTTTTACAATCATCAATGGATCATCACTCTCTTCTTCCTTTTGAAGATCTTTCAAATTCACATCTGGCTTAATTTCTTCTTGCTAGGAAGGAAAACAATACAAAATATCTATCACTAATCCCTTAAAAGGTAAGTGACAAAGTAAGAATGTGCTGTGGAGGTTTCAAGATGGAGAAATGATGATTTTAAAAAAACAATTTATATATGCTTTGCAATCAGACAGACCTGGCTTTGAATTCCAGCTCCAGTTGAATAATCTGGAACAAATTACTTAATCTTTCTGGTATTGTCTGTAAACTGGGATAGTGAGATAAGTAAAGCTTCTGGCACAGTACGCACAGAGGGTTCCGACAGAAGCACTTGGGCTGCATCCTACAAATTTTGCTATGTTGCATTTTCATTATCATTCAGTTCAAAATACTTTTTGGCCTTCATTCAATTTATCCTCAGTCACTCGTGTTGCCCTAATTAAATCCTACGTATCTATGCAAGGTCAGCTTAAACACTCCCTTCTAGTTCATGATCACCCAGGTTTCACTCCATGCTATGAAGTTATTTGGGAATATGTCAAAATTCCAGGTGCCCAATCTTGCTGACACAGGACTTCCACTTTGACGTTCAGAGAGGACAGGGTTTGGGAGACGAAGCCTAAGGACCTGCCCAAAACAGGGACTTGAATGATTGGTTCGAACCAACAGTTCTCCAAATCTCTGACACCATTGGGGTGACCCATGATTCACTTCAGTTCTGACACTAACTTCACTAAGTCCCACAAGAGCTTCCGCTTCAGACACCAGCCACTAATGGGGTGCCCAGGCTACCTGTACTTCTGCCTGGCTGACTACAAATTCTATGGTTCCTACAACCCCCACTTCAAGTTTGATAATTTTCTGGAACAGCTTGCAGAACTCAGGAACTTACACTCAGGACTATAATTTATTATAAAAGATATAAACAAACAGCCAGATGAAGAGTTATACAGGGTGAGGTCAGGAAGGATCCTGAGTGTAGGAGCCTCTGCCCCATGGAGTCTAGGTGGCCCCGTCCCTGCATGTGGATGTAACCTAGAAGCTCCCCTAGTCGTCTTGTTTCAACGTCTTTATCAAAGTTTTATTATGCAGACGTGACAGATTAAATCATTGGCCCTTGGTGACAGAATGCTCTCCAGCCCCTCTCCACTCCCCAGGTTTGGGGCTGGGGCTGCAAGTTCCAACCCTCTAATCATGCGGATGGTTCCCCTGTGACCAGCCCTCATATCAAAAGTAGCTAGGCCCCCACCAAGAGTCACCTTATTAGCATAAACTCAGGTATGGTTCAGAGGGGTTCATTATGAACAACAAAAGACATGCCTATCATTCAAGAAATTCCAAGGAGCTCTATGCCAAGAACCTGGGATGAAGACCAAATACATATTTTTTATGCCACAATTTTTTGTTATGAACAATTTATGCCATAAATTTTATGATTATGACTCCAGCAAAAAGCTAGAATCCTGAAAGGGCTACACTCTCAAAATAAGAATGACCTAGAAAAAACCTACCCCACACTAAAGAATGAGGACCTGGCTTAGTTGGAGATTAATACCAGAAGGTGGACAACATTTTCTCTAACAATCTGTAATCAGAAGTACATCCTCATGTGGATTTATGGCCCAAATTCACACTAGCTATATGGCTTTAAAACCATTAAGACAATATCTTATTTTAAATTGTTAAGGGTTGGAAACGACCCCAGCCATGTGGTAGAGATAAATGCTTATCTTTCCTGGAGGAAGGCACTTTCAACTCAGGCCTCAAATTACTCCTGTAACTCATGTTCTTAAAAGACCAACCAACCGATCAACCAAGCAGGCCTACAGTCTAAACTGACAAGGAAATAGAATCAGTAGTTAAACAAATCAGACCCACAAAGTCTTCGGATACTGCAATTATTAAATATAGAGTAACAAGAATATGCTTAATATGTTCAAAGACATTTATGACTAAGGAAGAAAAGATTTAAGAATGGTAGGAGTGGGAAGGCAGGCCGGCAATGCCTGGTATTTGATAGGCTGGTGCAGGTGACACACAGGCTGGCTCAGCCCTCTGCCACTATGCCAATGTCCAACCTTGGCCTGTGGGGACAGGCCGGACAAGTCGATGCCAGTCCCAGACTGCCTACTGGGAGCTGCTGTAAAAACTTCCTTTGTCTCACTTCCTCAATGCTCCAGATGATGCTCAAAGTGACGTCAACCGTGAATGAAGCCAAAGGCTCCCTAGCAAATGGAAGGCATAGCTCAGGACCCTCTTTACAGCCCAATCCAGAGTCACATTTTGAATAGCTCATGTCCTCCATACTATAAAAATGGGATCACCTTCTAGACAGACTAAAATCTATCTGAAAGAAAATGGAATGTTGGCTTTAACCCGTGGAAAATTATGTGAGATTGGCCATGAAAATTATTCCTTGCAGATAGCACTCATTAATGAACTCCATGAATTCAGGGATCAACTCCTTGACAGGGAAGAAGAAAGTACCAAAATATAAGCAGAAAGAACAGTATCTGGCTATTAGTAGAATATTGGGAGTCCTTTTTTCTAGGCACAAGAGAGCTCTCAGTAGTAGAAGTGGTAGAAGGACAAGCAGTGTCCCGGAAGTGTGCCTACTGAAGCTGAAATTCTTAAAGCACTTTATGTGAACACCACAAGGCTCTGGATGAAAAGCTAGTGATTCTTAAACATCAGAATAAGAAATCAATTAACAGAAGGGACTAGCGGTAACTAAAGGAAAGGGGTTGGGGAGGGTGGGCGGGGAGGGAGGTAGAAGGGGACTGATTAAAGGGCATGTCAGCACACGTTATGTATGGGGGGCCCGGGGAAGGCAGCACAGCACTGAGAAGACGGGGAGTGACTCTAGCATCTTACTGCGCTGATGGACAGTGACTGCAATGGGGTGGGGTGGGGGACTTGATAATACGGATGAATGTAATAACCACAAAGTTGCTCATATGAAACCTTTATAAGATTTTATCTCAGTGATAGCTTAACAATAAAAAAAGAAAAAGAAAGAAAACAATTAACAAGTGAGATGCCTCAGAGAGCCACGAATAAGGAAGCCTACTAGGCAGGAGTGGAAAGTGATCTTCTCACTGCTCTTTGAGCCCTGAGGCGGCCTTGCTAAAGTAAGAGCCGCAGAACAGGCAAGCAGTCCAGAGGACACAGCTGGCCAGTCAGTCAGGCAGAAGGGGGAGAGGAGCCCGACATGCTGGAGAAGAGCGCTGCCGTCCAAAGAAACGAACACAAAACTGCACCGATGTCCAACAAAGCACGACCCAAAGGCAGACACGGAAGAGAAAGCATTACTCTTGAGACACGCTAGCTCACCACACAGTGTGAAGCTACCTCTGCGCATGACCTTAATGATAAACTTGAAAACTAAACTGCACATAAATATTTTAGATATCAAAAGAGAGAGGATAAATCCCACCAGCTAGAAAAGTGCCTGAAATCTGATACTGGCTGAGCAAATCTGTACCAGGCATTGAGGAAAGTAGACACAGTCCCTGAGGTGGAAGCTCAACTGGCACAGAGGGTGGGGGCACTTAAGGCTGAAATGAAACATGGCACATTGAAAAAAATGGGTTGTAACAACGAAGGCATAGCTGGAGGAAAAATATCAAGAACTGCGGTGGGCAAAGCAAAGAGAAAAAATAAATCAGCAACATAATAAATATTTACCAGATCTGTTCAAAAGCCTCTATCAGAATCTGATGAAAGGCTTCAACTCCCTCTTTTAGAGAGAATGAACTAAAGCTAATATAATTGTTTAAAAGGGTGGAGGAGAGTGGCTGCTCTGGAGAATAAGGACTCTCCTATGGGATCCTCGAACTGTAAATAATAAGAAAGTGGTGTGAAGGAAGGTAACGTGGGAAGAATCAGCTCAAACTAAGCATGAGAACATCAAGGGCTGAAATGGACCAGAGGGGATTCACTTCATCTGACTGGCAATGTGCCCAACAGCTAGTGTCTCTGAAAATGTGGCACAGACATTTGAGGGTGATGCTTGTGTGGCTTTCTTTCTAGGAACGGCAGTTCTGGAAATACAAGGAATGGAAGGTGAAGGACTGGAGAAGGTGAAACTGTCTTTTTCCAAAGATGTCTACAATGTAACAATGTTTAGCAGCATGGTCGGCTATAAAATCAATATACTCAAGGTAACTGCATTTCAACACACTAGTCACAAGCAGGCCAGAAAATACAAGCACAGACATAGTCCAGAGAATACCTCCCTGGTTAACATTTTCCTGGTAAAATGGTTTGACAACTTTAATATCCAAACTTTACAAAACATTTCTCTCTCAATACATTCCAAGTAGAACTGACAAGAGCATCAGAAATACAGACTGACATTCTGAAAAGCAAACTAGAGTGTCAGCAAAAGGACTGTGCATCTTGAACATTGTTGGCACCAAGAGAAACCATGTTACCATGTGTGGTGCAGCTATGCATCAACATTAACTGTTTGATAATCAGGAAGACATGTTTTAAGCATTCTACATCCTAACATGATGGTATGTAACTTACATATTAATGTTTCACTGTGTTCTAGTTACATTTTAGAAAACTGGTTGAGAGCTTGAGATTCGTATGTAACACATTCTAATTTTTCCCATTGCAAATAATTGGAACTAGACACCTACTTAGTGTTTTCCCTCAGAACATCTGCAAGTCCTTTTCTTGAGAAACTTATAGAACTCTTTAAAAAGACATTAAAGAAACTCTAAAATTGAAAAGATGTATCTTGTTTACCTATGTAGATTCAAATCCCCACTACATTTGTGTGAATACTGATACATTGATTCTGGAAATGTTCACAGAAGCATAAAAAGCCAAGACAGGCACAACACTCCTGCAAAATAACAGGTAGGGTGACTTACCCTACTAGATATCATGGCTTAAAAGCTACTGAAATGAACAGTCTGGTATTTGCTCAGGAATAGAAAAAATAACAATGGAACAGAATAGAGAGCTCCACAATGGACTCACACATAAACAATTCATATGACACAACTGGCACTATAGATTGGTAGAGAAAGAATGGATTACTCAGTAAACGCTTAGGGGAGATTGGGTATCCAAATGGAAAACAAAATCTCACACCATTCACAGCAAATCCTTCCAGGAAGACTTAAGTTTGAAATGTAAAAGGCAAAATTACAAAACTATGAGAAGACAACACAGGAAGAAAATCTTTATTGTCTTTGGTTGGTGCCATGAAAGATAAAGAAAAGCTGAGGACTAGCAATTGATTAAAGGAGAATTAAGAGATTTGCTAACTAAATATATGCACGATCCTGGACTTGATACTAGAGTGGGGAAGAAAATACCATAAAGGGTTTGGATGAAACAACTGTTGAAATGTGAATATAAACTGAAGAGATAATAGTATTATATCAATGTTTAAGTTCCTGATTTTGATCTATGCTCACATAAGAGAATGTCATTGCTCTCAGGAAATAGACACAGAAGTATTTAGGGATAAAGAAATCTGATGTCTTCAACCTAATTTCAAATGGTTCAGCACTTATAACAATAATGTTAACTGTGTGTGTGTGTACACAGTGTGTCTGCACAGGTATGGCAAGATGTTAACAACTAAAGAATTTAGGTGAAGAGTACAGGAGGTATTTGTACTATACTGATTATTATACTGTAAGTGTAAAATTGTTCAGAAATAAAAACATAAAGCTTCTATCTGTATTAACTTTGTGCTATAGACTGAATACAGAATAAATGACAAAGGATGATCCTCACCAAAATAACACAGGACTAGAAAAGGAAAAAGATTGCAAAGATACTTCTAAATTGCTTTCTATACTTACTTGAAACTGCCAATTTCCCAAATGATCGACATCTTTAATATACACATGATAATGTCCTCCATAGCAACCACCTTTATGTATAATAACTGAGAAGAGATCATACATATACTCCAAGTCATCCAATTCACTCTACAAAAAAAAGAAGAACTTGATATATTTTACATTAAACAGGAAGATGTACTACCAAAGGGAAAGCGGGATTTCAAATATTGCAACTAATAAGAAACTTCAATGTTACTGCTATTTAAGGGTAAACTAAGAAATTTGAATTGGCTTTAAATTTTAAAATTCTTAGTTCTTAGGCTGATATCTATCATCGATCTACTAATAATCACACTGCACTAACCAAATTCTGCCTGAGCTAAACAAGAGAACATATATTTAAACTAAATGCTATTTTTATGTATACTTTGGTTAAGATCATGTAAGCAAGTGTGATAATGAAACACACTACCTTACCAGTAAGACTATGATAAAGTTTTAGCATGAAAAACTACTTTTGTTTTATATTGTCATGCTGTTTTATAAATGTGCTCTTTAGCTGCTGAATTTGTCTTATAATCCAACTAGATTGCCATGTGCCTACAAGTCGAGAGATATCTACTTGCTATAGTTCCACCTGTCAATTGTCTTCTGCATATAACAGGAATTTAGCAATTGGTTTTTAGAGGCAGTTTAGTATAATGAAAAGGTTCTTTCTTGTCTTATTAAGTCTATGATCAATCCTTTCTAAAATTAATGTCCTCTATAATTATGACTGACCCAACAGATGAATTCTTTTTTTTTTTTTTGAGAGGGCATCTCTCATATTTATTGATCAAATGGTTCTTAACAACAATAAAATTCAGTATAGGGGGGTCAATGCTCAATGTACAATCATTAATCCATCTCAAGCCTAATTCTCGTCAGTCTCCAATCTTCTGAAGCATAACGAACAAGTTCTTACATGGTGAACTAATTCTTACATAGTGAATAATTTCTTACATGGTGAACAGTACAAGGGCATTCATCACAGAAACTTTCGGTTTTGATCACGCATTATGAACTATAAACAATCAGGTCAAATATGAATATTCGTTTGATTTTTATACTTGATTTATATGTTGATCCCACATTTCTCCCTTTATTATTATTATTTTTATTTTTAATAAAATGCTGAAGTGGTAGGTAGATGCAAAATAAAGGTAGAAAACATAGTTTAGTGTTGTAAGAGAGCAATTGTAGATGATCAGGTGTGTGCCTGTAGACTATGTGTTAATCCAAGCTAGACAAGGAAAATAAACCATCCATGGATGCAGAATATTTCTCTCAAAGCAGGGGGGGTGCCAACAGATGAATTCTTACACTGGCATTTAAAACAAAAACATCTATTTTAGGTGAAGACAGTGTTTCCCTATGAATACTACTTGAGGGGGTGTCACTTATTTCAGGAACTTGTTTGCTTAAAAATTGTACTTTTTAAATAATCAGCATTTTTTAAATGTCTGATTCACGCAAAAGAGGGATGTGAACAAAGATGCAAACTGACAATCTTTTTCATTAAAAGTTATCATGAATTTATTAGATAAATGCTTAATGTTTTACTTATTTCAGTTTTGTATTTCAGAGTAACAATAATATGACAAACTACTTTTTATAAGAGGACAGAAGTTTTTTCTGTATTAAATGATGGATGTTAACTAAACCTGTTACGGTAATCATACCACACTATTTGTAACAAACGATCATGCTGTATACTTTATTAAACTTATAAAGTGATATGTCAATTATTTCTCAATAAGACTAGTGTGTGTGGGGAGGATTAATTCAATTATCCTGAAAAAATTTATTTTTCCCAGGCAGTAAATAATGGGGGTGGAGGGTGGGGGTGAATATATTAACTTACTCTGGCAAAACTGTTTGTGTGTGTCAATAATAGGCAGAATTAATATAATTTAAAAAAAAACCCAAAAAAGCTCAGTAACTAGGCCTGAAGTAAAGGAAGGTCCATCTGAATTTAAGAATATTTAAAAAGATTATTTTTATATGTAGAAATTCAATAGCTAGCTAAAATGGTCTTGTCTTAATAAACATATAAAGAATGATTTATAATAAGAAATACATCAGTCTCATCATTCTGCTCTTGGCACAGATAAGTAATTATATAGAAAATGTCTTAAGATGCCTTATAAAGTAGGTTTATTTGTAATTAATTAGTTTTCAAAACTTCCTTCCTGTGACTTAAGGATTACAAATTCTAGACTAGTGATGTTCCAAATACCTGTTCACTATCTAGATGTGAAATTCTAGATTCTTATCCAAGGAAACTTAATCCAAAAAGTGAAGTACCGATTAACGGTAATGTTTCCTGATGCAGGGTTATTGTTAATTTTGTCCCTAAATTTTCATTTCAAAGGCTTTTCAAGGAGAATTGAATGAAAAGAACCAAGAACCAATCCACACTCCAGAAATGCAATAGGACTGCAGTCACCAATGGGTCTCAGCTGTGAGTGATGCCGCCCCCACCGCCACTCCCAGGAGATGTGCACATTTGGCAAGGTCTGAAGACAATTTTGTCACTACTGGGTGCGGTGGGGATGCCACTGTCATTCAGTAGGTAGAGGCCAGGGATGCCTTTAATGTCCTACAGTGCCTGGGAGAGCCCCCACAACAAAGAACTGTCCAACTCAAGATGTTAACAGTGCAGAGGTTGAAAGATTCTGCAATAAGCCAGCTGAAAATCAGGCCAATAAAAGATTCAATCTTGAGAGAGGGAGAGAAAGAATTTCAAAATAAAAATAGTTCAAACCTGTTCACAAAAAGGCTTGAGATTGATCCGGAGAGGAAACGTGTAACAGCTAGTTTCTTTGTATCGTTCACACTTCACAAAATCAAAATTAAATCTTAATAAAGAAACAGTAAGAAAGGGCGGCAGCTTTCGCAATTTGGCTGACTGTTAAAAGAAAAAATTTTTTAATTTTTTTAAAAGCAGAGTTATATAAAGGAATACATAATGTTTAACACATGAAAAAGCAACCTATGACCCAGTTTTAAGAGACATGTCCTTGAAGCAAAAAGACTCATCACCATGGATTCAATAGTTCTTCATATAAACTAATCTATTTTATGGAACTAAAGGTGACATCACTTATTTGTGCTTACAACTAAGAATTTACAATTCACTTTTAAGTTTCTGGTGTTGCTATAAAATCAAAGCTATCTGCTGAGCCCATGGCAGCTGAAGCTCCCTCCCTAACAATGCTTCTTTCTGCCCAAGTCCTGGCCATGAGCCTTCGTCTCTGCTGTCTCCACTGCATCTGGCAGACCACACAGTCCTTCTATTTACTGAAGAACTGAAGCTCTTAACTGGGGACCTAGGGAGCTGTTTCAATGGATCCAAAGCCTTGAAATTATATGAAAATTGTCTGTGTACATACATTTTTCTGGGGAGAAAATCCATAGTTTTCATCAGACTTTGAAAAGGGCTCTAACTCCCAGATGCTAAGATCCACTAACTGGGGTTTTACAGTTATGTTCTTAAAAAAGCAGATAAGAAAATTTTTTTATTGTTTTAATTCCTTGTTTTAAAACAAAACCCTACACTAAGTTGCTTTTTATTTAGAAATCATTTTTTCCCCACCTCCTTGTATAAATGGCATGCAAGCAGAAGACATTGGTTGCTTACAGCCAGTCCTCCTTTCATCCTGTATTTTGCTTTGCTGTACAAAAAGAAATCCAGGCACTCAAGCCCTTTAACTAGTAAGTTGAATGTTTCCAACCGGGGAAGGAGGAAAGGGCATATTAAATTTGCTAAAGTCAGGGAAGATATATACATACATACATACATACATATATATATATATATATAGTAAAATAACTGCATATACAGAAAATGTAGCCAGCTATTTCATAGCAGTACACAAAGAAAGGTCAACTGACTGGCACATACAAAAACATATTGCCTTCTTCAAAATGGTAATTTGCAAAAGAGCAGGGATGGGGGGACTCTATTCAAAAAAGGTATATTTAAGAAACACTGAAGCACAAATAAATTCTCCATGGAAGAGAAAGAAGTTGAGAGAATTGTTGATGTGAAAGCATAAAAAAATTCTTTATTGTAAACAATTTAAAATACAGACAGCTATAAGGTAAAGGTCTTTTCGATCCTTATTACTACTTGACAGCTTCATGTATATCTTCCAAATTTTTCCACGCAGGCTGACTTCACCTGACAGACCTGCTCTGGGCATTAAGTGGGCGCCCTAAGAAGAGGCAGAGCTTCATCTTTACCTTTACTGCTCTCACCAGCCCGCTGCACGCTCCACACCGGTATAAGTTGTCACAGTCAAAGACTTCCTCTTCTACATACATGCTCCAGAGGGCGTCTTCCAAACCTGATACATTTTTTACCGCTACAGTTAGATCTAAGAAGTCTTCCTGAAATACACATAAATATAATACTGAAAAAAATCTCACAGAGGCTCACAAACACATCACCAACTCATATGTGTACTGGGAATGACCAGACATACTTTCCTAAAGCACTGTGCGCGTGAAGGTAGAGATCTCTGATCGAATACTGTGAAATTCCCAACAGTAAATTACCTTTTCCAAATCAAAGTATAACTTAGCTTAAAATATACCAGGAACTAGATTTGAGCTGACTGTAGACACAATAAAACCTATTCTATCAGGAAATAAAATAAACCAGTGCACACATCTGGATTGAGAAGCACATATGCTGGCCAAGTTCATTAGTGCTTAGTCTCTAGACCAGGATAGCAGGGGCAGGGCTGGGCTCTCTAACCTCCGCTTCCTCGTCTTCTGCTAAGGTTGGTTTAAAGATATACTGAGGAAGTTATAAGAAAAAAATAACTTTAATATTGTAATAACTTAGTTTGATGACAGATAACCACATTTACTGTGGTGAGCATTTTATAATGTATATAAGTGTCAAATCACTATACTGTATACCTGAAACTACTAAAATATTGTGTCCACTATAATTAAAAAAAACTTATTGAGTCAGGATAAAAAGGTATTTTTTCTACCTTAATAAGAGGAGGGTATTTTGCAAAGAGGGAGTCTATCACTTCTACTATAACTATATTTGAATTACAACGTATTTCTAGTAATAAACCCTTAAAATTTGACAAGTTTAAAGCATAATTATAGTTTTGTGTGTACATACTCAATAGTATCACTTTAAGGGAACATGAGGATTTGTAAAATAATAGAGCACTAATTAATTCATGATGGAAATCTAAGATAGTAAAAGCAACATTTATATATATGGTTGACTCTTGAACAACATAGGGATTAGGGGTGCTGACCCCTGGCATAGTCAAAAATCTGCTTACAACTTCTAAACCCCCCAGAACTTAACTACTAATAGCCTATTGTCAACCAGAAGCCTTACCAATAACATAAAGTCGATTAACATGTATTTAGTATGTTATATGTATTATATACTGTATTCTTACAATAAAATAAACTAGAGAAAAGTTTTTTTTCCAAATTGTCACAAACTTCTGAAAAATTTTCCAGTTAATTTATGTTTAAAAATTTGTGTACAAGCAGACCTGCTCAGTCCAAACCTGTGTTGCTCAAGGTTCAACTGTAGTTTACAATATGTGTATATGAAAAGTTAATATCTCTAATTTATAATGTGCCTTCATATACATTATGTCTTGAAATAACTTTGTGATTTATTACATTATAGTCAAGTCAATGGTACAGTAATTCAAACACATGCAGTATCTTAGTATTTCCAAACTCGGTTGACCAAACCTTCTATCAGCACAGGCAATAGGGATCAAAAAGAATTTTTTTCATCCACAACAACTCTTTCATAAAAAATAGCAAGAGGAGAAATAAAAAATGTGTATATATGTATATGTATATATATATATAATTAACACATTTAGAAAATGGCATTTTACTTTTTTAGTCAAATACGGAAACTTTAAATCTTGCCATAACAAAAGATTACTATATTTACATGAGCAAATTCTCAACTAGACTGAATGGGCACCCTGTCATAGCAAAGAACTGAAGGTTACACTAGTTTAAAAAGAAATAGCTATATAATATATAATATATAATATATAATATTTAAACATAAGCACACACATACAAATGAACTTTCTGAAGGGCATTAATAAACTAAACCCAATGTTTAATTACAGATGTTTGTTAATTTAAACATTCCTTAGTATTTTCTATTTTTATTATTTCCCTAAGTAACTTTCTTTGTAATATTCCAACCACTAACCATGATGATGGTGGTTTTCCCCTGAGGCCACAAACCTCTACTTATAAACACCCTCCAAATCTATTTTCCAAATATTCAGGTACTGAGTAAAAGCTTTAATGTTGCATTTTAAGATACCTACTTCTTTCAGTTTACATGGAGAAATCTGGATTATAAACTTATGACTAAAGTGTAGCTAGAGTAAAAGAAAACTGATAAAATTATTTCTACTAATAAATACTTTAATCCTCATATGTATTACAGATCATAGATTTTATTACATGAATTATAATTTACGATATAACTTATTACTAAGATTCTCTTGCATATTCACCTGCTTTTCACTGACATTCTTACATTCTTTACAAACAATCTGGTTAACAATGGTTCCATGATAGAGACGACTGATGAGGTCATGGCCGGAGGTTCCAACTAAGGAAGTTTCCAAAGCACTAAAGAGAATTCGATTCAGTTCCTGCACATCATGTTGCCTCATTTCCTACAAAACAGGTAACTTTTCAATGTAATTTTGTGCTTTAGATTTTTTAAAACAGATTTTCAAAGTGATATAAGTTAAAAAACACAAGATTTATCAAGAAATCCAAAGGTAAGTCTCAAACAAAGGATGACTAAGCTAAATGAGCAGACATGAGAGCAGGTTTAGAGATTACCACGTTCTTATTTTTACTACAAAATGAAATATGAACAGGCGATGTTCACATGTACATATAACTCATCTCAACTTGCAAACAGGAAAGTGCATTTATTCCTGTGGGAAATGATACACATGGCCATGTCCCAGGGGAGGAAGGAACACATGCACACAGTTAGCCAGGTATGCACCACAAGCTCTCTTTTGCTAAGAGGGATCGGTAAATAGTCTGATTTATCAACACCTGAAAAGATCTGGGATTTATTGTTTTGACATGCAGACCAACTAACACAAGACTAACACACACTACTGAGAAAAATTCTGATGGGACCTGCTTTAATCCACTATGAGTCATGCAACTGTGTGTGAACAAATGAACTACTCCTTAAGAACAACATATAAGTCAAGCCAAGGGGTACACCACACTTAGAAGTGCAGAAGCAGATAAAGACCCAGCACAGGAACCCAAGGAACAGCAGTGAGAGGGGAAAACCAGGAGGGTGAGGTCGAGGGAACCAGCAGAGCTGGTGGTAAGGCCAGGTGATGACTGCCGCTGAGCCCTCTTAGCTGAGAGCAGAGAAGTGTCTTCTGGACTTGGCACACAGTTGTCATGAGTGACTCTGACAAGAAAGGCAGTAGAGGAATGACTGAGAGGCACAGAAGTACAGGTAGTGAGGGAAAATAATTGTAAGGTTTCACATAAAGAGAAGCTAATAAAGTAGACGAAACCTGGAACAACATGTGGGCCTCAGGATCTTTTTCTGGTTTTTTAACATACAAGATGCTACAGGAAGTAAATTTCTCTATTATCACTGGCTCTGATGGGACAGAAAACTTTAAGTTTCCAAGCTCTGCTTCTGAGCAATCCTAAATCTGATAAAAGTGCCTCAGACACCCTCTCTATCACTGCAGATCCAGCCCCAAAGGATTTCCTATAAGACTTTATTTAGAAACAAGTTAAGTACATATGGTTTTCACAGCTTTAGGAAGGATGAATGAGTAACTCAGTGGAAGCTCCTTACCAAAAGCAAGGAAAAATCTATCAACTGATGACTGCATTATGAAAAACAATGTGGCATAGCCTTCTAACAGAGTATTACTTGGCAGAAAGAAGGAATGAGGTGCTGGTGCATACTACAGCATGAATGAATCTTGAAAACATCAAGTGCAAGAAGCTAGATACAAAAGATAGTATGATTCCATTTCTGTGTATGCCCAGAACAGGCAAATCCACAGACAGAAAGTAGACGGGTGGTTCGCCAGGGGCTGGGGAGAGAAGGGATGGGAAGCAGAGCGGCTGCTACTGGGTATGGAGTTTCTTTTTGGGGTGGTGAAAATATTCTAAAATTGACTACAGGGACAGTTGTACAACTCTGAATATGCTAAAAAAAAAAATACTGAATCGTATCCTATAAAAGAGTTAATCTATGGCATGTGAATTATATCTCAATAAAGTGATTATGTTTAAAGTAAGGAAAGAAAAGGGAATTATCTGTAGCACCTACCCTACACTAGACATTTAACATACACTGTTTAGGGAATGTGTCGTACCCCATTTTACTTCAAAGTCCAGCCCTACCTCTTTTCCCACACAACTTCGTCTAGTTTAGAAGCTTTCCTGGTTAGAAGATTGCAGTTTAGAGTTTATTTCTGAAGGCAACATAACATTACTCTGATTATTGCCTCTTTAAATTCTGACAGTCTCCTATACCTCTGTCTCTGCAAGAAATCACCTAACCCACACACAAAAAAATCACAGGCCTGGTTTTGATTGATTTGGACAGCTAAAAGCTCACCAGTATTGACTACAAGTCAATACCTTTACTTGTTGCTGACTAATGTTCAGTTTATATGTAGTGAAATACCGTTTAGGAACTTAAGCAGAAAAACTAGAGAACCACACGAGATACAGAAGAAAATGAAGAGCTGGGAAGAAGGAAGGACAGGGAAAAATGAAAAGACCTGCCAAGAATGGATTTACTGTTTTGTTTGAAGCAAATGTGCAAATCTCAACACCCAGATTCAAACACAAAAGCATGCCATACAGGCAGGTAAGAATTATTGCCAGTCAGCCTTTTAAGGTGATTAGCAGTTTGCTATATAAATGATAATTTCCATGTAATAGGTACCACATCTCAACTAGATGATACAAAGGTTAGAAAATGTAAAAAGCAGCTCTTCACAACCTTCCCCCCAACCTCAAATCACATCATTCACAAAATCCTGCACACAGCAAGTATCTAAAAATATATTTCTGGCTTATAATTATTTAATATGAGAAGGAAATATGTAAACACTATCTTGAGACCCTAAGACAAAATTAAAGGAAGTTAGGTGACACTATTAAGCCAGCGTTTCCTCTTGATTGCTGGTAACTTCACTCTTCAGAGAAGCCGCCCTTCATACCTCATGGCCGGTCCACCCGAAGCTGTCCGTGAGGTCTACGGTGGACGCAGCTTCCTGGTCTAAGAGCAGAAGCTGGGCAAACAACCGTTGTAACTGTAAAGGTATGATTCGAACCTAAATGAGAAACAAATATATTTCTAAATGACGTTTTTTAGATGTTGGTTGGGGCTTTAAAAAAAACTGCATACTAATTGTCTCTCTTAACTTCTAGATAATTTAGTTCACTTAGGAAAAATTTATAAATATTATAAAGGGTGCGCTATGATTCATTTTTCTTTGAAAATTCTACATCAATCCAAAGTTTTAGTTATCTGGGGTTTTCTACTTCAACATAGTACAGATCAATGTTAAAACCCAAACAGGCCGTAACAAACCCCCCAATGGATTTCAGACTGACGTAATTTAAGTCTCTAATACTTATTTTTTCTCTATAATATCTCAGGCACAGAGATACTCGCTATGAGGAATTTCCAGCCACAACGATCTCACTGCGGAGCTGGGGCACCTCACAGGGATGGCTGCACCCGGCCTTGCTTTTTCCTGCCGGCTCCAGACCATTCCTGCCTTATGGGGGTGTGAGGGCTGGGCAGACCAGCCCAAGAATGCTGCAAACTGCACTTAAGTATCTGAAGTGAGAATAAGCCTTTAGAAACGTTTATGGCAATTTGACATTGTCACATTTTTATTTTATCTCACGAAAGTATGGTCTGCAATAGACTGGGAATAAAAAAATACACAATAAATGGCTCTTTGCAACACAGGTGATTTCAGAAGCACTGGGCTAGGTCATGGAAGACTCCTGTTGGAAGTACAGATTTTTGCCTGAGAGCAACAAACTTCTGAATGATGTTTAAGCAAGGAAAAACATGATTAGATACACATTCATAATTAACTAATTCCTTATTCACTTTATTTCCAGAATACCAAATAGAAAGAATAGTGGTCTCTATTTTTAGTTGTTACAAGTAAGTGCAGTAAGTAGATTTTTTGGTAGGCTAGTATGGACAATTTGCAACCATCTCATTCTCTAAAAGACCAAGCATGGTGGAGAATGAGGCATGTCTACTAAGCAGCATTACACTTGGAAAAGTAATTCTTTTTGGAAGAAAATTCCCTTACCAGAAGGCCATGTCACTTTCTGAAAAAAAAGATCATATTTGGTAATAAATAAAATTATTGATTTTGTATGAATAAGGAACTTCATTCCTTCCCCTTTCTTCTATACTCCAAAAAACCCCTGTAAATCATAGATTTAATACCTTTGCATCAGGTTTATCCTTATCCTCTAATGAACCAAGTTCTTCCGGGCCAAGAGAAAATAAAGCTTCTAAATAAAAAAGTAGAATCAGAGTTGTAAACGACATTATTTCATTTTGGAGAATTGCTTTAGAAAGCCAAGGCCACCAGTAGGTTAAAGATTCAGAATTGTGATTGCTACAGCATTTATATCCTTATCCTACACATTTTACTTTCTGGGGATGTTATTTTTAACCAGTGACTCTGTTAAAAATAGTGTTTCAGTGTGGAATATCTACAGAAGGACACACTAGTGTTTCAGTGTGGAATATCTACAGAAGGACAATTATGCACATAAAATTAAAAACAGTAATGTCAAATCTTTGGTGGTTTCCTATTGCTATGAGTGGGTCCCTAAAGCCACATGAGGATTACTAGGAAATACAATAAGCGACACATGACAGAGTTGCATGTGTTGACTCACAAGCCACATGTGTGGCCTTCAACCACCCTTTCATGAGAAGGACCACCTGGAACTCTAAGGTCATGCTCTTCCTTTCTTTGGCATGAAAATATCTTTTCTATATTGAGGGTGGTACAGATGGTGGTGATCTTACCTGGAAAAGTGAGTTGGCAACCTAGTGTCGGTCTCCAAGGTATTTTTATACTCCAGTGTCTAGGTATGCCACCCAATGGGGCATGTCTGAATCTCCTAGGATATCTGTATTCAAACTAGACAGAAATTCCTCCTGGAAAACTTTGAAACACTCAAGAGAGATAAGGGATGGGATGAGTACTGTCTCCAACTGAAGAACACTGCTGCCCTACCATTACTATTACTTTCCTCTGAGTTCCTGGCAGGAACTGGGAAAAAATGAACTACAAACATAAAGGTTGTAAAGGTCAAGGCATAAAAACATCTCTCACAAGTCTCACTGGGAGTACAATGGAACCCAATCTAGCCCCTCTTTAAAATACGACTTCAAAACTACAGAAACAAGTTCCCCCATCACTTCTTTGCCAGTCCCTACCCTTTCCGAAGTATGCCTCACCTTTAGTAAGCCATCAGAATTCTTGCTAAGCCTTGCAAGTGCACAATCTGCATGAAGATGTCAACACATGGGCTTGGCCAGGAATTTCCTTGGCTGGAGAGGAAGATGGCCTGGGGCTCCCAGGCCTGTTCTTGCTCAGTGGTACTCCCAGACCCTGCTGCTTCCCCCACCAACCGCCTTCCTCGGTTTCTTTTTAAGGCTACTTTTCTGCTTCAGGTTGCTCTTTTACTTCAACCATATTACAACTTGGAAAAGTTTTAACCTCCCTAGGAATCTGTTTATTCAGGCTGACAATTTCTAATGGTGGAATTACTGAATGCACCAGGGAGATATTTTTATGGAGGGGATGGAGTCAAGGACACAAGGTACCACTCTTAAACCCCACATGCAGTTCAATCCGTTAGCATGGCCCTGGGAAAGGGATAGCAGTTATTTACTAAATCTCTGGAGGCAAGAAGTCTTTCTAAACTTAGAAGCAACAGGAAATGTCCCAAAATTTGCTAGATTTGGTAGAGGTGGTAGTTAAGGCGGATGAGATACTGGATATGGGATGAACAAGTTGTCAGTCCCCAGAATATGAAAACATGGTGGAGAGCTGAGCTATAGTCGTGCAGTGTGGGGCAAGGGGTGCCAACCAGCGCCATGTGATGGTAACGTAACATTTATGCTGAAATCAAGGGAACAGAGACTAAGACCCTTGTGGAGGAAGTTAGTTTGCAAAGATGAGAACAGGACAAACACGTAGAGAAAAACAGGGGCAAGAAGTCAAGGGCCCAATGAGGCCAGACCAGCTTCCTGTAGGTTGTTTCAAGAAGATTCTATATTCTTACAGCAAAACCCCTTTTTAATTGAGGTATTTTGAGTGGGTTTCTGTTCCTTGCACATAGTCCCTTATCTACTAAGTTGGGTCTTTGGTATTCAGAATTTCCAGATTTAAGAAAGATAGTATGAAAAAAGGGTTATATACGTTAACATTAAATCCCAGCAGGCCTGGGACAAACAGTAGCTATTAACAAGGAGTTAATATTCCTGTAACAAATGTACAAATATTCACCCAAGAGAGTAACTAAGACCATAAACAGCCTCACATCAGGTCGGGTTCTGAGGCCAAACAAGTTCGGATCAGATCAGGGGGCCAGCTTTCTGGATTTTAGAACTGCAGATAAATGACTGTGGACTGTATAAATAATGTGACACTCTCCCCACTCTAAAAGGCAGAATATAATTGTTTTGGGTAACTCTGGCTTAGTGTTTATTACTTTGGAGAAATTTTAAAGCTAAGAAATACGAATTTTTTTTTTTTGTATGACAGTTAAAAAAAAGTGTAACGATAATGAAGGCTGGCACTCATGACAAAATTGTCTTTATGTTGTATTTTAAATTATAGTAATTAGAAAGGAAATTCATTTTTATTTTGTTATGAAACATTATTGTGATCACACAGAACGTGTTTCATGTAATTTAAGCTTCATATTTCTCTGAATTATCAATTTACGTCTTACATTAACAACAATAAACACATGCTTTAGAATACACCTTTGAGATACATTGTCTTTTGTGATTTTGCACAGTTAATTAAATGTAGAGAGGAGGGTACGCAGTACTCTCATATTTCTAATCGAATACACGTAAATAGCATACCTCTGAATTCGGGTGTAAAATGAAGAGTTTGAAGAAGGGAATTGAGGTAACAGGTTCCACCCTGATTTCTGATTCCACTTAAGTTGGTGAATTTTCTAGGAGCAGGTGGCTCCAGAGGTTTAGTCTTTAATTTCTTCCCTTTTCCATACTGATTATCTGACACATTGGAATAATCCTCTTCAAACAGGTCCCCAAACATTGTGAAACTAAATACTACCCTTAAAAAAAATGACATGTTATATGAATGCTTTTATTTTTAAAACAAAACTTCCCCACATCGCCCTACGTCAAGGATCTACTTTGAAATTATTCCTTAGAAAATACAGACAGTAGTTTGTAGGCAGTAAGACAGGGATTTTTTCATCCCTGCTTTGCACACTACCCTGTGACCTTGGGCCAGTTACTTAAACTGTGCTCTTACATGTCAAATGGGATACCACCTGTCATTCAGGGTCATTCAAACAACCAAATAACAACGAAAGGAAGGCACTGGGTGCGCAGGGTTAGGCCCACAATAAATGATAGCTGTCTGACTCACTAGGGAAAAAAGTGAGAAAACCCATCATCACACCTAATTTACTGCTCAGGCGGCAAAGCGATCCTAGATTCCAAGAGTTGACAAGGGCGTGGCGACCACCAAGCACTTCCTTAAAATCTCTACTTCTCAAGCTCCTTGTACCAGATTATGACCGTAAATGAATTAAGCGGAGAAAGATTAATCTTTATTGAGTTCGGTACATGGTCCCAAAGCCGGAGAGTCTGGAGGAGGTTCACTGGGGAAAAAAGACTGCAATTAAAATAATCGAGCCTGCAAGCCCTCCAATACGCACACGTAGTAATGGCAACACTAGTTCTGGGGCCCTAGCGGACCCGCCCAAGGTCTCACACCGAGTGCGGACGAGGGTCACTCAGAGATGAGAAAAGCAAAGAGCCTAGCACAGTTCGTAAGAAGCAAAAAGAGGTAAAACGCAATGATTTTCTTTTGACTCTTTCCACACAAACACTACAATGATTTTCTTTTGCCTCGTTCCTCAGGAAAACACACACGCAACGTTCCTCAGGAACACACACACACGCACAATGGAACTTGAAAGTTTAGCCTCCATGCCACGTCCCGAGCCAGCCCCTCAAGCCCTCCAGGCCCCAGAAAGCACGGGCGAGTGAGGAGGCAGGTGCGGGGACCACTGACCCCACAGCGCCGCGTCCCGGGCAGCCCTCCGCCTCGTCCTCCCCAGGCCGTGCCGCCCACTCGGCACCTCCCTCACCCCTCCGGAGATTCCCAGCCGCCGGCCGCACTTACTGACTAAAGCCCAGACCCCCACACGGGCCCAAACTGGAAGCGAAGAAACGCACCCAACATGGGCGCCGCCATTTTGGCGTGGGGCGGTCTCCCCCGGCCCCGCGCGTGAGCGATTTATGGAATGTGGGGGCTACGCCTCCCAGGACGCCCCGCGGGAGCGCCGGCCCTCCGCGCGAGGCTTTCTGGGCAATGTAGTTCTTTTAGGGGGCAGTTCGGGAGTCGCGGTGGTAGGGATCGCTGGCTACGCTGTCCGCTGGTGGGTTCGGGGGTCCGCTGGGTCAGGTGGGCACTCGTTCATTCCCATTTTTAACTTCATGGCTGTTCTCAATCTGTGCGAGTTGCAGTAGAGTATACAAAGATCACTTGTCCAATGGCAAGGCTAATTCCCGTTACCTAAGCATTGGAAACGTGTATAGAACTTCAAGTTTGTCATGCACTTTCGTAGACATTTTCCGCGTGCCTCTCCAGTAAAAGCTTTATAACATCTTCAGTATTTGTCTGCACCAACTCTAAGTAGCAGACACAAGAGTACACTAAAAATACCTCAAAATTATCCTCTTTTGCGTACTTGAACGCCTGCCTTGAACTATTTCAATAGCCTCTTAGGCTCTACATCTGGCATCTCCCCCACCCAATCCAGCTTCCACCTGGGAATGAATGAGGGAAACAGGGAGGAAATCATTTTAATTTCAGCTAAAGGTATGAGAGATCGAGAACAGCAATAGTGATAGATGAAGTTGTAAGGCAGGAGTCAAAGTGAATGCCAGCTTAAGGGATTTGCATTTGGAATATTTGAGGGAGATTCGTGTAGCTGCAGTGTTCAGAAGGTGTTGACAGAGAAAGACCTGGAGCCAGGGACCAGCTAGGAGTTTAAAGGTCTAGATTAGGAAACCGTAGTGGAAATAGCCTGTCCTCAGTTCTTGATGATCTTCACGCAGGCGTGTTGCCCCTTTGGCAGCCTCCTCGCGACTCGCCTTCCTGGCTCCACGGCATTCTGCCTGCCGCTTCTCTGCCCGCCCCTAGATGGTGTCTCCTTCGCCACTGTTCGTTCCATCGCCCCCTAATTGTAGATATTGATGCTGGGGTTCTTGTTTATGGAGTCGAATAATGAACTTCACAAACCCTCAAGGTAGGCAAGCAAGAAAGCCTTTTTATTGATAGAAATAAAAACGCAGAGCTCCCAGGGATATACTGGGAGGGACGAGGTTGCCGTTTCGGGGCTCAGGTCTAGGGGTTTTATGCTGTTGCATGGACTAGGGAGAGAAGCTATTTGGTTTCTGTAGGTTCCCGTTAGGATGCCAGCTATATAGCCTTTCGTATGGAGACAGGGACCGTGGGTGCAGAGTAGGGTGAGGGCCTCTGGAAAAAGACCCCTACCAAAACTCCATATGAAACAATTAAACAAAGAGTCACATTAATTCTCTAAAGTAAAATATCAAACTAGGAATATAAGCATTCTTCAGTGAAGATTAGGTAAAACTAAAAAACCAGGAATAACCTGGCCTGGAATGTTTGAACATCCCCCAGATAAGAAAATACCTCAGCATAGCCCATGTCTTGTTTGTGTCAATTAAATGAGGCTATTGTAAAATTTACTTTAGCCTCCCAAGAGGCCCAGTTTATCTTTAACTTTACCCAGATACTGCTTTTCCTCCTCCAGCCCCTAATCAAGTCAGTAACTCAGCTCACCTTGAAAGCAAAACAAGCAGCCTTGACTGATATGCTCCCAAACCAAGAAACTGCTATTCTGAGAAAGGATCAAAGCAGTAAATTTCTTATGTTAACTCCGCAAAATAGTCTGAAAACCCGATAAGAAACTTAGTGTCTCTTTAAAAATAAACACTTAGAGACCATCTGGTGGATCCACGTCCCTAGCTCTTAGTCTCTCAACTGCCTATAAATCCCCTAGACAATGCAGGCCACGAACTCTCTTGTCCCCGCCTGGCGTAAGCCGGGAGCTCTGTTCTTTCACTTTATCTCTAAATAAAAGCCTGTAATTTACTCTCCTACCTTGGGTGTTTGTGAAGCTCATTCTTCGGCTTTGTGAACAAGAACCCCGGCATCAGTATGCGAGGTCATTTCTATGTTTACCTAGTATGCCTTGGTCAAGCTGCCTGAGCTGTGTGACTTATAGTCAGTAAAAATGGTTCTTTTTCCAGAGGTTCAGTTAGAACCTTCTTATACATTGTTGCATTGTTTCAGCTGCAAGTCTCCTGTTTTTCACATTCTCAAGGTCCTTAGTAATAAGCATCCCCCTTGTCCTCTCCAGGACCCTTGTCTTATTCTAACTGTTCTTCCTTGCTTTCTGCCCCCTGTTCTTTCTGTGCCTCGATAGTTTTCAAACTTCCATTCTCTGACCAAGACTGAGCACTAGAAGGTTGGCTCCTTGAGGACACAAGCTCTCCCTTCCGCACAGCTGTGTCCCAGCCACCTCAATAGTGCCTGGCTCATTTACAGCATCTTAATAAACATTTGTTGAATGAATGAATGGCTTGTCAACATCCTCCCTCTTAACCAGCCTCACAATCTTGGAGCTATATTTGAAACTTCACCTTTTGTCCACGAGTCTGTTAGCCTTAAAAGTAAAGTTATCAGTTGCTTTACTAGCCCAAGGGGCTTATTCAGACTAGCAAAGAATTGCAATTGCAGACAAACACCCCAAGGCAAAACCATACACAAATTCTGAGAACAAAGGAGAGGAATGCTCTTTTATAGAGAAAGGGAGGAGAGTTGGTGGGGGACTGTTCTAAGCAAAAAGTCCATTGGGGGAAACTGGGAGTCCCATGTGTTGTGGCAACCTATTGGCTGAGTTACAACAGCCTCTCATGAGCTGGGCTGTTGTCAGGGCGGGCAGAAACTCTTTCTTCCTACTGGGAGGTAAAGTAGCCAAAATAACATGAGCTGTAAGGTGTCTGTCACTTTCTTCTGGTGGGGTCTGCAATTAAGGAGGGGTGGGAGTGAGAGCCACCCCTGCAGGCCTCCCAAGTCTGTGTCAGAGGCTTCCCTACACCAATTTTCAGGAATCCAACCATTTGCAACTTAAAGTGTTGTCGGCAGCTGCATCTGGGGAGGTGTCTCCCTGCACACTAGGTGAAACTTCAACATGGACGGGGGAAGGTTCTTGACTCTGGACTAGAAAGCATTCTCGAACAGGTTGGCCAAGTGTAGCTAAGGAAGGAATTCATTGAAGCAAGAATAGTAGTGGATGGCAGCTGCTCTGCAGGCAGCAGAGAGCAAGAAAGAACAGAGGGAGGAAAGGGAAGCTCATTGAACTTCTGCTTGGCATAGAGTAAATCCCTTGCCAACTCCTGAAGCCAGGGTCACCTGGCATCCAGTGTCCACTTGAATCTGCACAGCATGGGAACTAAGTCCCTACAACCCCAGGATTTAGGGGAGCTCCTGAGCACTGGATGGAGCTAGATTATGTTCTGAGAACTTCCTAAAGGCAAAGAAAGGAGATTTTCAGGGAAGCTACGAAAGAGCACTATCATACGGCTGCAGTCCTGTCCGGGTCATCCAGGTGATGGGTACTTGCAGGCCCAAATCAGAAATCTCAGTAGCCCTTCCCTACTTGTCTGAAGTAGGGCAGAGAGAATGAAGACTTGTGCTTAAGTGTAGAAAATTGAATGAAATGACAAAGTAACAAAGACACTTACTACTGGAAGAGCACAGAGACAAAATGCAGTAAGTTGAGCAGTGAGAAGTCTTTATTTAAGACAAAAAGTACACACTCAAAGAAAGGGAAGTGTGGGCAACCTCAGAGAGGAGGTGCACTTAAGGGCTTAGGATTCTGTCTTTTAAGACTTTCAGGAATGGGTCAAAGGGCCAGGGGGTGGGGGGCAGACGTAGGCTTCCCATGTGGTCTCATTATGTTTATGTCCAGCGAGAGACATTATGTCACCATTCACAGTCAGTCCTCTAGATAATTCTGTAAGATAAATTTAACACAAGGTATTTATTGATCCAGTTCTTCCCCAAGGTAGTGGTTACCCTCAAGCATGGGGAACATATCAGTTAGGCTGCTTGCCCTGCCTTAAGATAGGGTCAATTGTTGTCTGATGACCAAAGAATATGCTAGGAATCTTAGCTCCTAACTCCCTGGTTTTTAAAATGGAATCTTAGCCTTAAGAGGGCATCCCTCATATTCTTACTATGCTATTTATATCCCAGCATTTTCCATTGTAGGCAGGAAAAGTTAATCATATGCTTGTCCCATGTTCCTGACCTACTTCAAAAGTATTGTCTGGACAATGCTTCTTCTCTTTACACAGCTCTCTCTCGGCCCATGAGACCCGCTGTAAGTCCTACCTGCATTAGGATGATAGCCATTAAAAAAAATACATAAACAAGCCCTTCTTTATAATTAGAAGTTTCCCATTATTTAAGGATTCCAGATAACAATAAAAGATGCCCATTAAAATCTGAATTTCAGATAAGGAATACCCCATGAAACATTTAGTACATTCTTATATTTTTTAAATGTTGTTTATCTGAAATTTAAGTTTGACTGGATATCTTGGATTTTAATTTGCTTGATCTGGCATCATCCCATTTTCTTCTTTGAACTTGTATTTCTCTTCCACAGTGCCACAGATTTTTATCCTGCTTTTATGCCTGACATCTTTTATTGATCACCCTAATGTATGTGTATGTGTATACATACATACATATGTAAACATCAAAATGAAATGTTAAAAATAATTTCCAATGACTATTAGCTCTAAGTGATCAATGTCCTCTGAATTAAGTTGTTATTGCAATCATTGTTAGTACACAATTTATTTAAAATGAATAGTATATTACAAACTTTGAAAAATGGTTATTAAACACTAAAAATGCATTTTTTATTGGAATTGCATCTCTTAATGAGATGAGTGAATGGTGGGTACCTTTATTCAGGGGGCTGTCCTTTTGTTGAGAGGGTTTTATACCTTGATGCATGCCCTAAAATAAAATGGATGAGAGCGATTCTTTTCTTTTGTAAAGTTGAAGAAAAGACTATTGGATTGGGAAAGGGAACCCTTTGCTTCAGATACTTTCTCAGGCCACTGGGCTTTGGGAGAGAGCAAAAGAGAGTCTAGGAAACGGAGACTGATTGACTCAGGACTGATGAGCCCCTCTCTTCCTTCCCTCAGCCCAGTCTGGGGAAGAGTGAAACAGACTTCTCAAACATCGATGCACCGATACAGCCATGCATCACCGGGGGAGTTTATTCGCATGGATTCTGATTCAGGGGGTTTGAAATGGGCCCCTACATTTTGCATTCCTAGAAAGATCCTGGCTGATGCCGACTAACGCTGCTGGTCTCAGGACCACTTTGAGGTGCTGGGGGCTGGACCTGTGCTGTTCAATGCAGCAACTGCTGGTCCGCTGGGCCCTGAGATATAAGGCTCGTCGTAACTGCGATATGATTCAGTGTAACATGCACACTGGAATTAGAAGACAGTATGAAGAATGGAAAACGTCTCATCCTTACGTTGATTACATGTTGGAATGATAATATATTGCATATATTAAGTAAATTTAATGAAATTAAAATTAATTCTACCTGTTTCTTTTGCTTTTAAAAGGTGACTACTAGAAAATCTAAAACAACATACGTGGCTTGCATTAGATTTCTAGGGGACAATGCTGGGACAGATGGTTGTACCCAGGCCTTTTCTATAGATCCTACAGATCAGGCAATAGTCTAAGCCTTTGTAAGTCTGGGGAGAGGAAATTCCAGGGCAAAATACCTCTAAAAACTGAAATCAATCAAAGGGAGAAACAAAGTTTAAAACCCGTTTATTGCTTACAAACTGCAGTCCAGTGCCATCTGCTCCAGAAGGAAGCAAGGAAGCCAGCCCCTCCCCTTAACCTCTCAGGTTCAGACACGCCCTCGGTTGCCCAGGTAATTACCCACCGACATGGAGATGAACTTCTCTCCACCCCTGAAGATAAGCAAATGCACTAAAGCCAGGCGAGATAATCTGGAAATGTTACAATTTTACTCACAGCCTTAAATGCTGCTAGTAGGGAGGGGACAGAGAGGGGACAGGGAGGAACCTATATGTGAGAAGATGAGAAAATTGTAGTCTATGGACTGAGGAACACAAAGTTAGTTGACCTTAAGGCCCAGCTCCAAAAGTCCTGATTCTGGGCCTGGGTAGAATTTTCCTCTTTTACTGTCCACCTTCCTCTTGGGTGCTGCGCACAGGGACTCTGACGCAGGGTGCCCTGCATGCAGCAGAACGGCACCACTCCCAGAGGCTCATCCCAGCCAGAAATGCCACAGACATTGTCTGTGGATCCCACCCCTGGATCCCACTCCTGCACGCAGTAATGATTTGCCACCAACTCTTTAAGCCTCATGGGTACTTTCTCAAATATTCTGTGATTTTTGCCCCATGATGGTTTGCAAGAGGTAAAAAACCAGGACTCTGACCTGAAAAACTTGCAGTTTATTTGGTATTGGTTATTCATTTCCTTTTAATATATTTGTTACACAATCTCTACCCAATGCTATAAACAAGAATCTTTCAAACTAAAAGTTGTGTCTTAGTAATGAGTCATGAAACCTAATCAGAGGAGGTTTTAGTCAGTTTTTAAAAAGAGAGAGAAACAAAGGGAAAAGAAGTAGAATAGGATTTGATAATTTTTTTTTACTCCAAATTGTAAGGATAATGGTTGTTATGTGGAACTCTGTTCCAGATACGCAGGTCCATATTTGTGTATTGAGTTTCGGTGTTATGTGTAAATTATTGCTGTGGGTCCTGACCCAAACTGTTTGAAAGTCAATGTCTTCAACCACCTATTGACCTTGTCTGCCCTCTACAACCCATTTAAGCAAACTTTACGCAGCGTGGGTCAGTTGTCACCGAAGTAAGGAGGGCTCCTCTTTTACCCTGCGCATGCCGAAATGCTGCATAGCAAAATAATATAAATTGCTCCCCTTGCTTGTGCTCAGGGCTCAGACCTTGGGAGATCACTCCCCTCTGAGCCCGCTGGTGTGAAATAAAACCTCCGCACTCCAAGAGTGTTGCACTGTTCTTCCATCGGTGACCCAGTCCAGGTTTTCCAGTATCTTCCGTAACACATGAACATGGTGTATCTATCTATTTAGATTTTCTTTAGTTTCTCTCATCAATGTTTTGTAGTTTTCAGTACAGTCTTTAACATCTTTGGTCAGATTTAGCTCTAAGGAGTTCATATTTTTGATGCTATTTGAGTGGTATTTTTAAATTTGAATTTCCAGTTTTTCACTGCTAGTATATAGAAATGCATATGATTTTTGAGTGTTGATCTTGTGTCCTGCAACCATGCTAAACTGATTTGTTCTAGGAGATTTTAGTGATTCAACTGGAATTTCTCTGCTCTAGGTAGAATCTCCAGGACAATGTGGAATAGAAGTGAAAAGACAATCATCCCCGACTTGTATCTGATGTTAGGAATAAAGCATTGAGTTATTCGCCATAGTTGGCTGTGAGTTTTCAGTAAGTGCCCTTTATTAGATAGAGAAATTTTCCCTCTTTTCCTAGTTTGCTGAGAATATGAATGAATGACGGATTTTTTCAGATCATTTTCCTGTTCCTATTTGGATTATTAGATAAGGTATTGCTTTTTTTTAGCTTATTTATATAGAGAATTAGCTTGATTTATATAGGTGAATTAACTTGAGTGTCCAGTGTTAAAAAAAGCCTTGCATCCCTGGGACAAATCCCATTTGGTTATGATGTATTATCTTTTTATTTATTATTACTACATATTTTATATCTTTATATAAATTTATATTACTGAATATGATTTGCTAAACTTTTGTTTAGAATTTTTACATCTATGTTCATGAGAGGTATTGATCTGTAATTTTCCTCTCATAATGCCTTTATCTAGTTTTAGTATTTGGCAATGCTGGTCTCATATACCAATTCTATGGATTTATAGAATGAATTTGGAAGTTCCCTATGCTTCCATTCTCTGGAATATATTGTGTCTGTATTCCAGAATATATTCCAGATTAATAATTGGTATTATTTCTTCCTCTAATGTTCAGTAGCATTTATCAGTGAAGCCATCTGGGCTTGAAGTTTCATTTGTGGGAAAGTTTGAATTACAAATTTAACTCAATTAAAAATATATAGGTTGTTTCTATTAAGCTTATTTATTATTCTTGATTAAACTCTAGTAGTAGGTATATTTTAAGGAATTTGTTCATTGCATCCAGGTTGTAGAATATATTGGCCAGACTTATTCATGATATTCTCTTATTATTCTTTTAATATCTGTGGGATCTATAGTGATGTCATCTCTTTCATTCCTGATACTGGTAATTTTTTTCTCTCCTTTTTTCTGAGTAATTTGGCTAGAGCTTTATCAAATTAATTCAACTTATCAAAGAGCCACTTTTAGGTTCATTGATTATTTCTATTGTTTTTCTGTTTTCTATTTTATTGATATCTACTCTGAAGTAAGCCTACTAAGGAAGGTAGATCCCTCACCACCATTTTTATTTTTCAGATATTCATCTGAAAGTTCCCCAGTCACCAAGTAAATGGTGACTAAGCAAATGCCTCGCAACTGTTCGGGTGTCTCAGAAGAAGTAAGCTTGGTTCCTAACAAAGATCATGCCGCCCACTTGGCTTTAGTTCCCTCACCAGATGTTCCTCAGCATAATAAACCAGCATAGTGTGATTCAGTCTGATGCATCAACCATTCCTTGTGTGCTTTCTCTTTGTGAGGGACAGCACGGGTACTAGGGGAGGGGAGTGCAAACATGAAGAAGACATATCCCCTGACCTCAAGGAGTACTTGGTAGAGTGTGGGAGAGGGAATACAGAAATTCCTGAAGGAGGGCATCTGGTTGATGGAGGTGACCCAACAGCAGAGGTCTAAACAGAGGAGTGTGGAAGCAGAGAGAAAAGAGAGGAGTCCCAGCCAGAATGCTTCTGGCAAACACTGGGGAGGTGACCATCACTGCGTGTGTCATATCTAGAGAAAGCAGTTTACAATAGATGACAGTCACAATCCATTGCATTCCTAGAATGGTCCATGTAGATGGGGTTGTCAATCTTACCTCAGCATTTTGGAAGCCCCAGAGGGTTTGGAAATGAGACAAGACAAGCAGCAATGCCAAGCATTTCAGAGACCCTTGTGAACCACAGCCCATTGTTCCATGAGGAGGTCAGGTTTTGAGTCTTTCCTTGGAACCTGGGATGCCCATCTCTTTCTGGTCAGTCTTTGGTAGCCTGAGGATAAAACCTAAATTTTCCTTTGGGACAAGGTGCAAAAATATTAGCTTTATTGAAATTTACTTTCTTGGTTTTTTTTTTCATTTTGAAAAATATGTCTTTTCATTCTGAGTCCTTAGCATCCATTAAACATTGCTTAATAATTCTATTTCCAAAGGGGCACTGCAGTGCAGTGCATGATCTCTGCCCAAGGCAAAGATCAAATGCTATTCTTATCTGGAAAACATACAAGTAGGTATCTCAGTAAATGCTACGCAATCATTATTATTACTATGGGTAAATCATTGACAATGGGTGTAATTTTTAAAAAATGGAAGTATGCTCACCCTGAGACAGGTTTTGTGCTTATTTTTCTGCTGTACTATCTGAGCTTAGAATCCAAGCAGCTGGATTTTTCTGGGCACAGTCATCCCATGGCGTCTGCAGTTTTGACCGGCTTCCTTCCTCTTTGTGTGTGTGTCCTGCTGACATCTGGCTTCGCAGAGGCAGGCAAGCTGCTGGTAGTACCTATGGATGGGAGCCACTGGTTTACCATGAGTTCTGTTGTGGAGAAACTGATCCACAGAGGGCATGAGTTGGTCGTAGTCACACCAGAAGTGAGTTGGCAACTGGGAAAGTCATTTAATTATACACTGAAGACTTATACCACACCTTACACTCTAGAGGATTTGAATAGCCATTTCTTGAAATTCTCCAACTCTCGATGGGAAACTCGAGAGCAAAGTTTATTTTCTATATTAAGGAACTCATCCTATGATTTTTATAAATACTTTTTTTCACATTGTGGGAGCTTGTTCAATGACAAAAAATTAGTGAAATACTTAGAAGAGAGTTCTTTTGATGCCGTGTTTCTAGATCCTTTTGATCTGTGTGGCTTAATTGTTGCCAAATATTTTTCACTCCCATCCGTGGTCTTCACTAGGGGAGTATTTTGCCATTACCTTGAAGAAGGCACACAGAGCCCCAGCCCCCTTTCCTATGTTCCTAGAGGTTTCTCAGAGTTCTCAGATGCCATGACTTTCAGGGAGAGAGTGAGAAATCAAGTCTTCCACTTGGAGGAACATTTGTTTTGCAACTATTTTTTCAAACGTGCTTTGGAAGTTGCCTCTGAGATTCTCCAAACTACAGTCACAGCCTATGATCTCTTCAGCCATACCTCAGTTTGGTTGCTAAGAACTGACTTTGTCTTGGACTACCCAAAACCTGTCATGCCCAACATGGTTTTCATTGGTGGCATCAACTGCCGTGAGGGAACCCCATTGTCAAAGGTAAGTTGTGTCTCCTTTAGCATATTAAGAATAATCTAGCTTTGGATATTTAAAAAAGAAATTCCTTTTTGAACTGTGATTATCACTTACAGTCCTCACATTGGGAATTTCTTCCCTGTTGAATGAATTATTTTGTGCCAATTCATTTGATTGTGAGTTAGCAAATTTTATAAAGCTGACCTTTATATATGATATGTATATGTATACAACTGACATAATTATATATAATTTCCTTTTCTTAATACAGTTTCTGGAAGTACTAAAAAATGCACAGTAAGAAATGAAAAATGAAACTTCCTTTTTTGTTAATCTAACACCATCCCCATGAGAAAATGCTCCTAGCAGTATTGTATGCATCTTTTCCAGTTTTTCTGAAATTATTTTATGTGTATGCATAGATCTAATGTAAATTCTTATATAATTTTATTTAAAACAATCTTGTATCAGACTGGATGGACTGTCCTTTGCTTTTTTCATGGACGTCTTTATGGTGAATACATACAAATCCGTTACATTTTTTTTAGTAGTTGTATAAAGCTTTCTACTTTGGATGCATTGTAGTTTATTCAGCTAACCAATATTGATAGATATTTAAACTTTTTCCAGTTTTTCCTTTTATAAGGGAGAATGTACTAAACATTCTTAAATAACTTCTTTACATTCATGTATTTCCATATCCTTGCTCTTACTTCAGTAGGCTAGAGTTGCCAGGAGGAGGGCAGCTGAATCAACAGGTACACACATATTATATCAGTAAGTTGCTTTCAAAATGTTGAGCAACCTGACATTTTGGTCAACAGTGTATGAGAGTTCTAGTTTTTCCATATCCTCCCAGCTTCAAATGTCAAACTTTTACATTTTTTTGGAAAAATTCCACATAGATGCTTCAATTTTTATTTCCTATTTTCATAGCTATATTGGCCATTTGCATTTCCTTTTTTGTGAATTATATATTCACATTCTTTAATTCTTTTTACAGGGCTATTTGCCTTTCTATAGGTAACTGTAAGTCTCAAGTACTAGAAATATTAACACTGGAGGAGATTCTTCCTCGGAGCCTGCAGAAGGGACTGACATTGCCCATGCCTGGATGTCAGACTTCCAGCCTCCAGACTTGGAGGAATACATTTCTGTTGCTTAGGCGGCAAGCGTACAGAACTTTGTTATGGCAGCCCCAGAAATTAGGACAATGGGAAATTGTTTTGTAAGCCGGAAAGTGTTCTGCAGGTGGCAGGGCCCCCCATGCTAGAACCATCTTTTCGTTTCAACTGCTGGCAGATCGAGTGGCCACCATCAAATGTTCCATCACCTGATGCCTTCCCACCATTTTCTATTTCTACATTTTCTTCTCTTTTTTTTCTCTTATTTTAAAAGAGCTGGGTTTTTTCTTGTTGTCATTCTTTTTTTTTTATTTTTTATTTTTGAGAGGGCATCTCTCATATTTATTGATCAAATGGTTGTTAACAACAATAAAATTCTGTATAGGGGAGTCAACGCTCAATGCACAATCATTAATCCACCCCCAGCCTAATTCTCGTCAGTCTCCAATCCTCTGAAGCATAACGAACAAGTTCTTACATGGAGAACAAATTCTTACATAGTGAATAAGTTCTTACATGGTGAACAGTACAAGGGCAGTCATCACAGAAACTTTTGGTTTTGATCACGCATTATGAACTATAAACAATCAGGTCAAATATGAATATTTGTTTGATTTTTATACTTGATTTATATGTGGACCCCACATTTCTCCCTTTATTATTATTATTTTTTTTATTTTTAATAAAATGCTGAAGTGGTAGGTAGATGCAAGATAAAGGTAGAAAACATAGTTTAGTGCTGTAAGAGGGCAAATGTAGATGATCAGGTGTGTGCCTGTAGACTATGTGCTAATCCAAGCTAGACAAGGGCAATAAAACATCCACGGATGCAGAAGATTTCTCTCAAAACAGGAGGGGTGAGGTTCTAAGCCTCACCACTGTTGATCCCCAATTTCTCACCTGATGGTCCCCCTGCGACTGTGCCTGTCTTAGGTTGTTCCTCCCTTGAGGAATCTTACCCGTCTCTGGCTTACATTTTCTTCTTTTAAAAAATGTTTCACTTCCTCTTCTGTGCCCTTTTGCTCTTCTTTCACTTCTCGCATTCCCAGTGTAGGGCTGGATCTTTTACTCATTGCGACTTTTTAAGAGCTACTGTTTGGCCACCAGCGTGCCCCAGGGTTCAGTCCGCACAGTACCAGGTGGCCTCATCATAGCCCGAGGGGGCTCCTCAGATGCAACCGCCATCTGACAGATGGGCAATTCAGGCACAGGGCAAAGGGGTCACAGAGCTCAAAGGCAGCAGGCTCACTCTAGAATGTGTGATTCTAATCTAACCACAGTCAGAGTGGGAACTGTGGTCTTAGGGCACGTATTCACTTAGGGATTAGATTCTGTCTTCTAACGTAACAGAACCCCCACCACCCAAACAGTTGTTTCACTGAGAGGCAGGCATGGGGGGAGCTATGCCAGGCTCCTCTGTGCTTCCCTGGCTCCCTGCAGCCCTGCCTTTTAATCCAGCCAGCCTTGCGGTAACCAGGTCACCAGGAATGGGCAGTCCCATTGAGTGGTTCTGATTCAGGAATATGGCATCTGTGGACACTTCTTTCTGCTCTAAGAAAAGTTGACAAGCGGAGAAGCACGGACAGCTCTTTGCCTATTGATGTGGGCCCTGAAGAGCCCATGATAGATGGCTCTGTGTGCCTGCAGGGGCCAGTACGAGTTGTCCTCAACTGTGACCAATTTTTTGAAGAAGAAGAGGCAGATGGATGGAGAGGAAATAAACCCAGAAGCTCAGGCAAAGGCTGACAGAGGGCCTAGTTGGTTCCAGTTAGCTGTGTGCTTAAAAAATGGTTAAATATTAATTTAGTTTTTTTCATATCAAAGGGCAAAATTCAAAGCAAGGAGGGCTAGGCAGGCTCGGTGAAGAGCGCTGTTAGTTCAGAGAAACAGCCAGGAGGCCTGCACGCCAGCGAGTGTGAACAATTTGATCTCGCTCCTGCCGGGGCTCCCTCCCAAATGGCCTGCCTTCTCCAAGCATTCCGCAGAGTTTATGCAGTGGTTTTCTTTTTAGGGCTTTGGGGGGTGATTGTGGGTGACAAGCTGCTGGTGGTGCCACAGGATGGAAGCCACTGGCTCAGTATGAAGGACATAATTGAGCCTCTCAGTGAGAAGGGACATGACATCCTGGTGCTGGTGCCCGAGGTCAATCTGCTTCTGAAAGAATCCAAACACTACAGAAGAAGAATCTACCCAGTGCCCTACGACCAGGAAGAGCTGAAGAGCCGTTTCCGTGCTTTCGGGAATCAGAACTTTGCTGAGAGGTGGTTCCTGAATGCCGCCCTGACGGAGTACAGAAATAACATGATTGTCATTGACATGCTCTTCGTCAACTGCCAGAGCCTCCTGCAGGACACTGACACCCTGACCTTCCTCAGGGAGGGGAAATTTGACGCCCTTTTCACAGACCCCGCCTTACCCTGTGGGGTGATTCTGGCCGAGTACCTGGGCCTGCCCCTTGTGTACCTCTTCAGGGGCTTCCCATGCTCCCTAGAGCACGCCATCAGCAGAAGCCCGAACCCTGTGTCCTACATCCCCAGGTGCTACACTCAGTTCTCGGACCAGATGACTTTCCCCCAGCGGGTGGCCAACTTCCTCGTCAATCACTTGGAGACCTCTCTGTTTCACCGCCTCTATTCCAAGTATGAGGACCTTGCATCGGGCGTCCTCAAGAGGGACGTGCACCTGCCCACCTTGTATCGGAAGGGCTCCATCTGGCTGTTGAGATATGACTTCGTGCTGGAGTACCCCAGGCCAATCATGCCCGGTATGATCTTCATCGGGGGGATCAACTGCCAGGCCAAGAAAGCCCTGCCTCAGGTCGGTGGTTTTCTTTCTTTCCGATGGACCCGTTTCCTCGCGGGCAGACACCGCTCCCCTGTGCTTTGCCTCCCCTTCCTCATGTGGCCCCTCTAGGTGGCTGTCGCCTAGGAGGGCTGCCTGAGGAGGGGAGGCCAGGCTCTGAGAAGAGGGGCCGGTAAGAAATCTGCGGCTGAGGCTCTGAATGAACACCAGGCTCATGCCCAGCAGCAAGAGGATAAATCTTTGGCTAGGGTATCTGGGGACAGTCACAGAATCACAGAATGAGCCTTAGACGTTCCCGGCTCAAATCCTACACTTACCTGTTGAGGAAACAGGTGGGGGCTTGACCTAGAGAACACAGAGCTCAGAGGTCACTTGAGGCTGAAACCCGTTTCCCCCTCTCTGTGCCATGCTTTTTTCCTGGGCTCTTAATGGGGGCCAACAAATGATAGCTGGTGGGCCACATCTATCCAGAGGCCTGCTTTTATATAGTCCAGAACTAAGAGTGGTTTTCAAATTTTTCAACGATGCTAAGAAACAACCACACAGGGCCTCCTCTCCCACCATGCACTGGGTCACCTGGCCCCAAAACAGTTCCGTTTGTTGTGTTTCCTCTGCCCGGGGGCCTTCAGTCCAGGCCGGGTGCTGGAACACACTCAGCATTGCCCTTTTGCTTCTTAGTTGGGACCCATCTATCCATGGCTTAACCTTTTTCCTACTGGAGTAGTCAGGTTTGAAATATCTCCATTTTAGAAGAGAGTTTAACATTTATATTTCCTTATTAGAAGTGCCATTATTGAAGTGTTTTTCCTAGAACAAAGGAATTCAGTGATACATCTTAGTCTCTTCCACTTGCAATACGAAGACCTGCTCAGCTTTGAGAAGACCGGGTTCTGCTCTCCCTGTTGTGGGCAACGCACAGACCTTCGAGGCAAGTCCTGGCCCGAGCTCAGGCTCCTGGGCCAGCACATCCTCTCTGCACAGCCCGCTCTGGGAGGAGTGAGCTAGGGTGGGGAAGGACCAGCTTTCCCTTCCCTCTGGCTCCAGGGATTGTTCCCTTATCCCCATACATTAGCAGGGAAAGAGTTACAAGACTAAGATTCCAACCCAGCTGTGTGACGGAGATAAGCAGGCTGTTTCTCCAGGTGAAATGGGAACTCTGGAAGCTGTGGTAGGACGCAGATAAGACCAAGTTCACAGAGCTTTGAAAACGGTACAGGCAGACAAATGGGACAGGGCTGTTTAGGCTGCAATACCAGGATGGAGGGCCCTGGGACAAGAGGTTGTCAACTTTCACATCAACAAGCAAGCTGCTGTTTCTGGGCAAGCTGAGTAAGCTAGGACAATGGCTGTAGCCAGGGGCTGAGGCAGGATAAGAACCATACCACTGTCACTTTCCCACCCTAGGTCCTGGGTGTGTCTGGCACTCTTTTTTCCAATTATGTAGACCTGACAAGTAACAGCCTGAGGGAGGGAAGAAAGGAGGCCAGATGATGGGCCGGCTGATCTGACCACCCTCCTCCTGGCCTTGTAGCCTTTGACTTCAGCTTCTTATCTGAAGATGGGGCTGACATCCGCCTCCCCCTCACAAGGTTGTTTAAGGATCAAATGCACATGAAAGTGCTTTGTGGGCTGTCAGGGGAACCTGTGACTCCTATCCCCCTTTTCTCTGACCCTCAGCTCAATATGGCTGGAACTCTTTGGGAGGTGATAAAAACAATGTGGTGTTGAAACATTCTTTGGGGGAACGCTTTCTCAGAAAATTAGACCCCATTCCTCAGAACTAGCTCTTCTGTTTCCAGGTTACCTCCTCTTGTGTTCTGGAATCATCTAGATGGTGGTTCTTAAACCAGGGTGATTTTTCCCCCAGGGGGACAATATCTGGAGATGTTTTTGGTGTCTCAGTTAGGGGATGACTAATTGTGTCACCTAGTAGACGCACCTGACTATTGTCATCGAGAAGACAGAGGCCAGGGATGCCATGATCAATCCTACAAAGCCCAAGAGATACCTGTTAGGCAGAAGGGCAGACATGAGTGGGGTGGAGGAAGAATAAAGCCAGTGGAGCTCACTAAAAGGGATTTAAAGAGTTAACCAGATAAAACCAGAGGGCCAAAAAGGACTCAGAGAGTTAAGGGGTTAATTAGTTGAAGTTTCAAAGGCCAGGAGTGACTTGGAATGTCAGGATAGTCCCCAGATAAAAGTCAGTCAAGGACTTCCTGGCCCTAGCCCATGAGGGAGGACAGGGAAATAGGACAAGGGTCATGCCATTGTAAAATCTACTTAGCTAGTGCCAAAGGCCCAGCTTCTTCTTTAATTTAATCTATATGCTGTTCTTCCAGCCCCTTAAGTAACTTTATAACTAAGACAGCAGATAGACCACCAAAGTATAAATAAACTTACGTGGATAAAGAATGATGAGATCCAGACCAGCACAGTCACTTGAATAATTCTATTCTTAAGACAAAACTTCAAAAGAATTATGAATCACCTGTATACGTCATGCCTTATGCTGACCCTTATCCAAAAGGCCCTATGAAACTCCAAACCCTAAACCCTTAAGTGAGCCTCCTTCTTGAAGTTGCCCTTTCTTCGAGTGTGTCACACTCTGTGCTCTACTCCAGATAAGTAGGGAAGGGCTACTGAGATCTCTGATCTGGGCTAGCAAGTTTCCATCACCTGGGTGACCCAGATAGGGTTGTAGCCGAACAATTGTGCTGTTTAGTAGCCTGCCTGAAAATCTCCTTTCTTTGCTTTGGGAAGTTCTTAGACCATAATCTCACCCCATCTAATTCTCTGAGGTTCCCCCAAATCCTGGGGTGGTAGGGACTTAGTTCCCATGCCATGCAGATTAAAATGGACACTGGATGCCAGTTGACCCTGGCTTTAGGAGCTGGCAAGGGATTGCCCAGTGCCAAGCAGGAGTTTAAGTAAATGTGTGTGGATCCGCCCCTGCGTTCTCCGGCCCTCCTTTGGGCTGTCTGCTGCGAGCACCCCCTAGTGGACATTTCGATGAACTGCCCTTTATGTTTGCCCTGCCTCAATACAGCTGCATTTTTGATTCAAGCTCTCACCTTGTATAAATGGCATCTGAACAGGACTCCCTGGGTCCAGGTGGACCCCTTAAATCATTCCCTACTTCTCTGCAAGTGATGTATTTCAGAAACACAAACCTGGCTGCTATGCAACACCTCTTCAGTGACTGCCCCAGCCTTCAGCATGAACCCCAGGCGTCTGGTTTGGCATACAAGCTCCGTGTTGACTGTTCCCTAGTTATGGGTTGAATTGTGAGCTCTAACAGAAAAGATGCATTGAAGTCTTAACTCTCAGTACTTCAGGATGTGATGTATTTCAAAGCAGGTCTTTACAGAAGAAAAACCACATTAAAATGAGGTCATTAGGTTGGGCCCTAATCCAATATGACTTGTGTCCTTATAAAAAGGGGAAACTTGGATACGTTGACAGCTGTGCATGGAAGGAAGATAATGTGAAGTCACACAGGGAGAAGACAGCCACGTGACTGAAGGAGTACCGGGGACCGACAGCCAACACCAGGGGCTGGGAAAGGCATAAAAAGACTCTCCCCTCAGGGGTTCAGTGGGAGTGTGGCCCGCCTGACCCCTGACTTGGACTCTGCTCTTCAGAATGTGAGATGTATACATTTCTGTTGTTCTAAGTCCCCCAGTTCTGGACACAGTTACAGCCACCCTAGAGGAAGGGAACAACCCCTCTATCCTTTCAGTCTCCTGCTTCCTGCCCTTGCACACTGTACAAGTCTCCCAAGTCATATTTTTCTCTTACCATTAGGAATGCTTCCTGCCATCTCCATGCCTCTATGCAGGGGTTGGCAGGGGACAACAAAGCGCTTGGGAACAAATTTTAGAGGGGTGATATAATAGGTGAAAAAGCCATAAAAAATGGTTGTTGGTAAAGGTAGTCTCCCTCATGCGGTTCCCCACTCGGCTGTTATAACTGTCCTCTGGAGGAACGGGCTGGGGTCTTTCTACTGTGGTGCAGGAGGGATGCACGGAGGCAAATGGCTCTGCATCAGCGATCAGGAGAGACCTGCTGGCCGGCGGGGTCCAGTGCCCTCCATCGGAGCGGACCTTCCGGTGTCTCTTCCGTGGCTAAGGCACGCTTCCATCCGGTGCTCGGCCGGGCTCGGTTGTGTCCTTGGGGACTCTGAGAACAAGATGCAGTGGGCAGAGGTGTTTGACCTCTATTCCCAGTGGCCGGCATAGTGATGTTCTTTGCACTTCTATGTGCAGTTGCTGCCCTACCTTGGTAACCAGTGCCTGGTACTAGGCTCAATTGTACGGTATAGAGAGCGCAGTTGCCAAGGGCACTCATAATGGCAGGGTGGAAACACAGGGGCTTGTCAGCCCTGTTGTCCCAGGGTGGTGTGACTTCACTGGGGCTGCGGGTGACTGAGGGGCTGGCCACTTTTTGCCTACATGGGGACAAATCGGATGTGGTCAGTGTCCCTGTGAATGGGAAGGACCTGTGCAGAGGTGAGGGCAGCAGCCTGAGACAGGGTGCTAAGAAGGGAAGGGAAATCCTGCTCTGGCTCTCGGCTACCCTCGCACTCCCATTTCATCCACCTTTCATTTCCCCCCTTCCATTTCTGCCTGCTTTTGATTGTTCTGTAGTGCCTTTGGACAGCATGTTAAAAAAACCTTTTGCAAGAATTTATAATCGTATTTGTGGGAGCATTGCTTTGATGGGAGCTATTCCTTTATTACCAGAAGCCAGAAATGCTTCCTTGTGAATTTGAAAATATTTTTTGGTCTTGTTAAAAATCCCAGTGAGATTTTGTTTGGGTTTGTATTAAACTTGTAGTTCAACTTAGGACAAAAATCAAGGGCGTTGAAACGTTAAATCTTTCCATCCTCTTCATTTATTCCATTTAGATTTGTATCTTTAATCAGAGCAGAGAAGGCACCACCACCATGACCAGCCCCGTTGCTACGCCGCATCTTCCTGCTGGCTTGTAGTATTTCTGTCGGGTTGGGTTGTAA